TCCAACTTTCAGAATCAGAAGACCACGGAAATATGAAGCTGAAATGATGGGAAATAGAAGAATTGAGGTCTTATATATTTACTTTTGCTGTTTATTTATATAATTGAACGCATTGAGCAATCGTGATGGTGACGTCACGGCCGCAATGAGACGCTCCCCACATGGATGAACTCATGGATCCATTTCTGGCATGAGATGATGCGCGATGCGATGGCCGCGATTTTGCATGTGATTGCGCGGTTCCATGTTTCTGGGCTAAGCAGGATCAGATCCCTGAAACCGAGGAAAATCAAGCGAAATACTGAGAGGTCGTAATAAATCATAGACTCGGCATCTGCACTTTTCACATGCAACTTACATCTCAATTCCATCAATCTATGTTAATTATTCGCCATCAACAACAACAAAAGACCACCAGAAGCAGCATCATGGAGAATCCAGGTATTTCACTTTCTCACCACAAAACCCTCTTCCTCTCCTTCAGTGCTCATAGCTAAACCAATTTCGCAAATTCTCCAGTCCAAGAAATCGCCGCCGTCATCAACACCCTCACCAAGGGCTCGCCGCAGCAGCAGCAAGACACGCTCAATACGTATTTTCTCTCCAACGCCACCTTCATCCATCCCTTTTGTCGCGTCCCGTCCATCTCCAAGGGCTCCATTCCGCTGGCCAGGGATCTGGACTCGCGCTGGCTCATCCTGGGAATCTATCGCTGGTATCGCACGCTGAGCCCGAAAATTGAGCTCACCGTCGATTCATCCGGTAAGTTTGCCCCAATCTACTCTTGATCCTGTCGTGAGAATGAGCGGTGTGCCGAATGTCTCGCGCATATTGTCTTCCTCGCCTTCTGCTAACCTGGAGGCCGCACACAGTCTTCGATCAGCGCAACAACACCCTCTACGTCTCCATCCGCCAGACATTTTCCATCTGGTTCGTCCCCTTCCACAGCTCATCCGTCAAGCTTCTCTCCGTCCTGCGCCTCACCCAAGGATCCTCGTCTGAGCCGGGCCAATTGGCGCCGAAATACCAACCCGACGGTCGAAACTCGTCTGCTCTGGCGGGCCCGGGACAGGAGAGGCTGAGATACTACATTGCCAGCCAGGAGGATTTGTACCAGACAAACGACTTTGTGGCCTTTGTTCTGCCGTATCTGGGGCCGCTGCTGGTGTTTCTGTGGCAGCTGTATGCCACGGGTGTGACTGTGGTTTGCTCCATCTTGTTTCTACCGCTGTATTATTTCATCAACAGCAGGCAAGCAAAAATTACAAGACAGGAGTAAGAGGGTCTCTGTGGAGTTGTTGATTTTTTTCTTTTTTTCTTTTGCGCGATTGTATAGACGATGGATAAATAATGTGATGGTGGAGGCCATGAATCGAATTGGGTCTTGAGTTGGGATTTAACAAATCAATTGTTTGTTTATTTCAGAATTCCTTGTGCGCGCTGTCCATTTTGAAGGGAAGACAAATGAATACATAGCCATGAGCGCTTCTTCATATCACATGAGGGTATATCAGCCACTGCTTGATGTGTACAACATAGAATCCACCATCCTTGCCAGCCATAGCACCAAACATGTACCCTGTAAATCCTTCCAAACTCCAATAATGTCAACCGTTAAACGCCAGGTAAATGCATCAATGTGTTTGTGTTTAGCCATCTAGGCCATCTTTAGACCTGAATCATTTCTCGCCGCTCTCGTCGCCGGGGTCGCGTGTGGTGAATGTGTCGGAACTCGAAAAAACACTCAAATCCGCCCCAGACGATGAATATAAATCTCCATATGCTATTTCTCCAGTCAGCGACCGCGATGCAGGATGAGAGTGAGTGCCTAGCAATACTCACACCACAGCTGTGAGCATCCACACCGCAACAGACAGCATTTTATTCTGCGAAAAGCCCTCTCTGCTGATGACGTCGGTTTCTCCCGCCGAGCCTGTGATTTGAGGCGACGAATCGCTCTCGAGAGCGGCAAAGCCATCGGCTTGGTATGTGTAGCGCGAGAATATAATCATGACGATGCCGCCGAGCGAAATGGCCAGAGCGAAGAGATCATGGAGGAGCGCACGGGCGGGCGAGAGTGGGTTGAAGCCCAGGGCACGATCGAGCTTGGCGACGACGATCCACGAGTCATTGAGGATGGCGATGGCGGACTGCACCGTTTGGAGCAAGGTTAGATTAGGTCAGACGATGACGATGGGGATAACAATTGAATTGATTGATTGAAGAACAACTCACGCCCACGAGGCCAGCCGCGATGGCACCGCCCTTGTCTGCCCATTGGTTGATGATGAATGCCAGAATCACCAACGTCGTGACGCTCGTCATCCAGCCCACCGCGCGGGCAACCATCTGAACGATGCCATAGGCGCTTGGACAGTAACCTCTCGTCATTTGGGGCCGTGGGAAAGCGGAGATGTTGAATGGTTGGTGGAGGTAAAAATAGAAGAATGGAAGAGAGCACAACAGCGGGCCAGTCTCCAAATGCTCACGATGGTTTCATGAATGGAGTCGACATGGGTGGATTCAGAAGACGATGGAGATGAATATGAAGATGACGATGAAGAAGCAAGGTTGATGTGCTGTGACTTGGCACTGGTGGAAAGATGCTGTATGTAGATGAGGAGAGGAGAATAGAGGAGAGCTGAAGGGCAGAGCTGAAAATAGACGAGCAGGCCAGGGCAGTGACAGGGCGTGACGGTGACAGTGACAGTGACAGGATAGGACAGGCAATCAATCAATCAGCTGTCAATGGTTGGCGCTTTTGCTTCCCACGTGAGCTCCCCTCCCAATCTTTGCTTCCCACGTCTGTCTGCACGAAAGCACGAAATGCCGTATCGTATGCAGGATCGGATGACGGAAGTAATCAAGGGCCAAGGGCTAGATGCAGGGGGTCTGTGCGTGATGGAGAGTGAATATTGCATGCAGCAGGCTGTTCTTTTTTCGTATGGATTTGTTGGAGGGAGAGTCAGAGATAAGATACTGCTGTACAAAGAGAAGAGAATACGGAGGAGGGGTTAGGCAATGAGGAGAATGAAAATGGCGGAGAGGAAAAAGAAACATATGGACATGTAGGTAAACAACAAATCAAGTGGTGGCTGGCGGCAGCATTATGTTGTTTGGACCATCTGAGGATAACGGGCCAATGAATTGCCAGGCGGCTACACTGGCCGGGATTCGATGCGGCACATTTTGCTGCTTGATTTGATTCGTGTCTCTGGTCATTTTCAGCTTGGGCAGACTAGCAAATGATTGCCTTTTACGCAAGCCGATACGATGCAGCCATTTCGTGTCTTGGATCCATGTCTGGCAGTTGATCATCTACAGGGATTGGGAGTACATAGACAAGTAGAGTAGACGAGGCAGACAGATTCTGGTGAAACTCGCCCTCCAGAGTATTACATGGATGTACGTGCTCGCGATATTATTGCCTGTACTATGAGAGTATAGAGTCGCCAGTTTCAATGAGCATCAGACGTCTGGAATGGATGCCAATTCGATTTTGATTCAAGCCGCTGAAACGCATTGACAGAGGCTGGGGGGAGCAATAGCCGCTGAGCCTTGGGGCCTAGAATGCAGCCAAAAATCCCTGCCATTGTGTTGGTGGAGGCGCGGGGATGCAAGGGAGGGAACATGAACTGAGCTTTTAACGCACGGATGCCCGTGAGATGATGATGCTTAGCGGATGACGGCAGTGGCCATGTTCGTGTTGGTTCCCGGGTTCAATAATAGTATACTAATACGAGTTTGTACAAGCAGTGGTGGTTTTAGTAGTACCGGCGATGAGGGCATCCTCACATGAGGCAGCACAAGCCGGGTTCGGCACGGCACAAGAGCAAGATCAAGATCAAGATCGAAACAAACATTAACAATTGATGCTGCAGTACATCCTGTACGCTCAGCCATTCATCTACTACAGATGGCCAAGGACTGGAGGCTTCTCGTACCCGCATTTAAGGCACCGGGCCGCGATTTAGTGCTGTGGATTTCTGGGCTGATGGCTTGTTGTGTTGCCGCCGCCACATGAATCAGCGCAGAATCGATCCGCGTACAGAGTTCAAAAGCGACATATAGATCTGATACGGGACACTAGATTAGGTTCAATATCAAAAAGCCAAAATTACTCATAAACGTATAGAAACAAAATAGGCGCATGTATGCGATGACAAACTGGACTGTTCTTACACGCAGCATGGCTTTGGCAGTGAACATGCGTGTTGTATCGGGATGTCGCACAGAGGTGAACAGAGTCTGAACACGATGCATCTGCATCTACCTTCTAATCATGCTCTTGTCAGCTCCATGAATCACACATAGGTATATGGAAATAGAATCTCTATACCATTATGCGAGTTTCAAGCGCAAGCATCTAATTCTGAGGCGTGTCGTGATATGCGCATGTATACATGTACACTGTCCTGATGCACTGCAAAGCTTAAACTACATCATGGGACTCGGCGCGGTTTTTAAACAAACTATCTGCTCGCAACAAACTCGAATAGATTCTCCATGACGAATATAAATGCGCCAATCACCACAAACTCCATATACAAGATGTACAAGGCCCATCACATCCTCACCTAGGAGAGGGGAAACACGATGGCGTCGTCACAACAGGCACGCCTTGGAGATTCCTCCCCCTATCTCCTTCATCAAGTTTCCATTTGGATAGGTTCCTAAATCGAAAAGATTGTCCGCATCACTTCACTATTCTTTGCTTGTCACCAAACCTTTACCAAATTGTACGGATTGCCTGCCGATGGCCTAAGACAATTACCCAACCTCGGGGCTGAAATCTTATACTTTATACGCCAAGCCTTGTCTGCTTGCCCAGAGCAACGGTAGATACATTCACTCTGGCGAGGTGGATCTGGCAAACGGCCAAAAAGTGAAGTCCCAAGATTGAGGCAGCCGTTGAACCCACTCTCCAGCTGTCCAGGCGACCAAGTTTCGGATTCTTCCATCAAGTTTTCTTATGTTTTTATTTTCTCCATTTCACAAATACTCCTTGCGCAGAGGAAGCAGAGATTTCATCAAAACATCTCGGAAACTTTCACTACGCATCTTGCAGAGACGAACCAACAACACTTGACTCTATCTTGGACTTGAACCAAACCTTGATTCAATCCATCCTTTATCATCTAGGAATCGCGCCGATTCTTCCCTCTTTCAGCAACATTCACACTAAATCTTAATCATCTGCAGAGAGTGCTTGATTCTTCGTTACCATCACCATCCAGCCACCGAAGATGGGCGATAAGATAGATGACACGGCGGACGACTATGTCGGCTATGCCAACGACCCCAAGGGCATTCCAACAATAAAACCTACCCCCAGGGACCCCATGATCCCCATCGAGCTGCCTGTCCGTGACAACGTGCACGAGGTTGTCATGAGGTATAGGAGCCGGACAATCCCATGCCGCACTGTTAAGCAGACGCTGGTCGATAGCCAAACCCGTGAGCCGCCATCATGAGCCCCCTTCCACTGAATTGACTTGGAAATACTGACGTTGAGGATAACCAGCCGTTGCAATTAATCTCCTGGCCCTCCTCTTTCTTAGCCACTTGATAATCCCCAAATCTCGAGTCTACACGAGGCCCTTCTTCGAGCTCTCCTACTACAACCCCGACACTGGACTGTATGCAAACGGCGGAAATGACCAATATTTCATCGCCTTCTTTGTCGTCTTATTCACTGGTCTGCGCCATGCTGTTATGTGCTTTGTTCTTTGCCCTCTGGCGCGACGTGGCGGCATCTCCAAGAAGAAAGACGTGGCTCGTTTTTCTGAACAGGCATGGAACATTATCCACTACTCCGTCTTTTGGCCACTTGGTCTTGTATGTTCCTCATTTCCCATCTTTGCATCTGCCCGTTGTCACTATAGATGGCTAACTGGCATCGATAGTACATCTGGTATACCTCTCCCTACTATCTCAACATGACCGAGCTCTGGACCGGCTGGCCCAGCCGCGAGATTAGCGGAACCATGAAGTTCTACTTTCTTACGCAGCTGGCATTTTGGCTCCAGCAGATGCTCGTCGTCCACATTGAGAAGCAGCGCAAGGATTACTGGTTGACAATTATTCATCACTTTGCCACCATTTGGCTGGTTACCGCCTCTTACTCGTACCATTTCACGCGCGTTGGCAACCTGACTCTCATCATCATGGATGTTGTCGATCTCATCTTTCCAGTTACGTCTAGGCCCCTTTCCCTCTCCTTTTCCAGAGAAGAGACAGTGCTAACACCTTGTCTGCAGTTGGCCAAGTGCGCCAAATACCTGGGCTACAGAAAGCTCTGCGACTGCCTCTTTGGCGTCTTTGTCGTCATCTGGCTTGCGACTCGCCACGTATTCTTCCTCATGGTCATATTCAGCGTTTACTACGATACCGGTCGCCTCGTGCCACACGAGTGCTTTCAAGGATCCATGGCAAATCTTCAGGGCCCTCTGCCCCAGTCTACCACCGGATGGACTCTACTCGAGCCATTTCACTCGCCACAAGGCATGATTTGTGCCAACAGCAGCATCTTCTTCGGCTTCTTTACGTTCCTCATTGCTCTACAGGGCCTCATGGTGATTTGGTCCTACGCCATTCTCAAGGTCGCAGTGCGAGTCCTCAGCGGCAAGAACGCCGACGATATTCGTAGCGACGTCGGCGAGGACGAGATGACCGAGTTTGAGGGCAGAGATCCGGTCGAGTTTGAGAACTTCGATTACTGGGCCCGGACTGTGTACGAGGCCAAATCAGAGCCCAAGGTGCTGCTGGCGGAAAAGGAAAAAGTCATGAAAAAAGGAAACGAAACTCAGACGGACAAAGGCGGTCTGAATGGTTGGGAGTGCCACCATAGACGCACACACGCCATTTCGAGCGGATTGCATCTGCCTGGTCAGAGCGAGCATAAGGAGCTTCTCAACCGGCTTGATGCCCAGCGTCGATGGACTACCTGAATGTATTCTTGGTTGTCTGTTGTTTTTTACGGATGATTTGATGGAATAGGGGGTTTTAGGAGTTTGGGTAAGCTTGTTGGCATGGCTTGATTTACGCGGTTTTGATACCAGTGAGCCTAAACTGCAAAGCAGAAACGGCCTTTCATGTTGTTCGACACCAGATATTGAACTGGTGGATATGAACTGTTTTGTATTATGGCATGGCACGGTCCATGATGTTCTAGATGGATTTCAAGAGGGGCCATATAGGTTCTAGAGTACTGGCTGTTAGCACAATCATCGAGGTAGTTGTTTATGAGTGTACATGTGCCCTCGTCAAGATCACAGCATTTTTTATCTTCTATGGCCTATCATTCGAGACTCCAAATCGGCGATAGCCACCACCCGCAACCCCGAGAGTCACACCGGTTCAGCAGCTGCTAACACAGGATAGAGCATAGCTTGTGGAGATAACATTGAATAATTTCCGAACGCATGCAGTTGCGGCAGTCGAAAGGATTTCGTGCCTATTGATCCTTTGAGGGAGCCCGAGCCCGCGGAACCCGTGCAGCCGTGATTTAGGGGGGATTTTAGCCAGGAGCACCAAGATGCCCATCACTAGGATCGTGATGGCCCTGAAAAAGGGCGATTTTAGCGTCTTGAACCCTGAAAAGCATTGGATCAGTCCATGTTGATCCCACAAGCAGCGGGTCTAACTCAGCTACTAGGTAGTGGGTAGAAGCATGTGATGGAAGTATCGACGGTACATGGACACTCCAACGATAGCATTATGGGAGACAGGAAGAGGAGAGTTTTACAGGTATTTGCAGTGGTCTTACAATAAGCATTCTAGGGGCTGTGATATAGAATGGATTGATGGCTTTTTCTTAATTGGATTTAAATCTTGCACCGAAATTCCCGGATCCAGGGCTGGCTGTCTGAAGACGTCATCGGGCGCTTCTCTGTCGGGCCGGGACTTCGCTGTAGCAGCAGCCGGTACTTGATCAGAGCTGCCAGCCATTCCGGGATACCAAGTTGGTACTTTCAGACGCCCGTCTCCCCACTAGAAGCTAGTGCCTATAACGGGCTCTAGCTGGCTCTAGTTGGCCATGGCACGCCCGTTTCAGCCCATCCTAGCCTGAAAAGCTCCAAGTACCGTACAAGTCGCTTTTCGGGCACACCACCCCGCGACCTTGTCCCTTTTAAGGCATGTGCTGCCACAAAACTTCCCTCCACAACACCATCACCAGACTTTCTTTTTTCCTTTTTCTACTTCAACCTTTTTTTCTCTCCTTTTTTTTTTTTTTTTGCTTACATCACCTCCGTTAAGCCCTTTCTCGCAGCAATGGCTCGGCTCGACGCCGCTCCGTTGCTCAGCTCCTCCTCACCAGCTCAGGCTGTTCGCCAACGCCAATCCCAAAGCCTCAGCCAGAGGCAGCATCAGCAGCTTTCCGGAGCTACCGAAACTTCCGCTGTCACGCCCAATGGCTCTTCCTCGCGCCTCTCGACGGACCGCAAGAAGCGACGAAAGGCCCGGTCTCTGCTGAGACGGTTTGCGCGCTTCTCCGTGCGAAATACTTGGGCTATTCCCCTGATGCTGCTCATCATCTTTGCTGCCGCTTATGCCGTCAACCCAACCGAGTCCAACCCCGTCAGTCACTTCATCTTTTTGTCGTACAAGCAGCCGAATCCAAAGGCCCATCTCGACCCAACGCTGCCTGTGCACTATGGCAAGGGGCTCTGGGACGTTGCCTTTGTGTCCTTTTACACAGTGGTGCTGTCTTTTACCCGCGAGCTGATGATGCAGGAGCTGCTCATCCCGCTGGGCCGCATCAACGGCATCAAGAGCAAGGGCAAGCAGATGCGCTTCGCCGAGCAAATGTACACGGCCATCTACTTTAGCTGCATGGGCCCGGCGGGTATCTACGTTATGAGCCGCAGCCCCGTCTGGTACTTTAACACGGCCGGCATGTACGAGGACTTTCCGCACCGCTCTCACGAGGCTGCCTTCAAGTTCTACTACCTCTTCCAGGCGGCGTATTGGGCGCAGCAGGGCATTGTGATGCTTCTTGGCTTCGAGAAGCCGCGCAAGGACTACAAGGAGCTGGTGGCGCACCATGTGGTGACGCTGGCGCTCATTGGGCTGAGCTACCGCTTCCACTTTACGCACATGGGCGTTGCCGTCTACATTACACATGACGTTAGCGATGTATTTCTTGCAGTACGTGTGACGATCGTCTCTTTTGTATAAATGATACTAACCCAGATTCCCTTAATAGCTGTCAAAGTCGCTTCATTACATCGACAGCCCGCTGGTGGTCCCTGTCTACGTCTCCAACATCATCGTGTGGTGCTATCTCCGCCACTACATCAATCTTCGCATCCTCTACTCCGTCCTTACTGAGTTCCGTACCGTGGGCCCCTACGAGCTCAACTGGGAGACGCAGCAGTATAAGTGCTGGATCTCCAACATCATCACCTTTGCCCTGCTGGCCTCGCTGCAGGCCCTCAACCTCTTTTGGCTCTACTGCCTGCTGCGCAGCATGTACAAGTTTGTCGTCTACCGGATCAAGAAGGACGACCGATCCGAGTCGAGTGGGCCAGAGGACAACCAAGAGGCCGAGGCCGAGTCTCTGTTGGAGGGCACTGGCGATGCCAGGCTCGCCAACGGCTCATTGTAGAGCAAGCATTGCGATGAATTACTCTTGCACTGCATGTACAAATACACACCACGGCTCTGCGAGTATCGACAACAGTTGGGCCTGATGTAAAGACTTCACTGAAACTGTAACATGGCGACCATTTTCTTCTTCTTCTTTTTTTTTGCCCGCAATTTTCACCATTTGTATAACACATTTTAATCCATGGCGATGACGATGACGACAACGAGAGGCTTGGGTTCTCTCGGGGGGACGAGGGTTGTGTATATCTTGGAAATACTGCATATTGCGCTTGCGCGAAGCTACAATGATTGTTTTCTGGATATTTATTGACTTGATTGAGTCATGTCGAAATGTATTCTACATCATGTCACAGCAACTAAACTATCAACCTTACCTACACCTAGTACGGTATGTATACCTACAACTAATAATGAATATCAACCATATTCATGCTCGAAATTACAAGACTGCTTTTTGTATCATATATATTCTTTCTCATCGTTACTAATGCTAGCTCCCTTGAACTATCCTTGATACCTATGCCCTATTTCGTCTATAGAAAATATCTAGACTTGCACAATTTACGCCGCCAACTCCTATATGATATATATTCCTGTTCCATATACACACGTCCGTCATTACTCATAATATACCCCTTTTCAAAACGAATACTCCTCGACATGCAGATAAATGCCCTGCGCACCAGTCCCCTTGTGCACCGCGCGCTCATCGCTCAACCTGCTCACGCAGTTGCGCGTCGAAGTTACAATCTCCGGGCCTCCACAAACAACAACAGCCGTCTCGCCATAGGCAGCCTCAACAGGCTGTCGGATAAGCTGCTCAATGCTAGGGCGGGTTGTGTATTCGCGGATGACGGGGAGGCTTGACGGAGGAGCCTTTTCGCTGCTGGTGGCGGCGCTGGCGTCCTTGTTGTCGCAGCAGCAGGATTTCGCGGCACCTTTAATGTCGTCGTCGAGTTCGGAGCTCGTGTTGCTGGCTGCTGCGGAGACAGCAGAGATGCGGGAGGCGCTGCTGTCGTTGCGGGAGAGGGGGAGGCCGTCGGTGCCGAGGGCGGAGTTTGTGATTGCGACGTGGACGTTGACGGTGACGCCCTTCTGGACGAGGGATTCGCCTGCTTTTTGCGCGCGTTGGACGTAGTATTCGATTTCCTTGAATGTTCGGGCGACGAGCAGCACTTCGACGCGCTTGACGCATCCCACGGAGTCGGCTTGGGCTGCGGCTTCTAGAAGAGGCAGAGTGAAGGACGCTCCGGTCGAGGCGCCGATGAGGACCATTGTCTCGTAAATGTCCCAGCGGGGAGGCGTGCCGTATGGGCCGGAGAGGAAACCGATGAGTGAGGCCTCGGGGTTCTTGGAGGCGTAGTTGTGGATGCGCTTGGAGAAGCCCTTGTGCTTGCGCAGGATCAGCTGGACGCTGTTGCAGCAGCAGGTTCCCTCCATCTTGCGCGCGCAGGCAATGGTGTAAGGATGGGCTTCGAGGGGGCCCAATCGCGGAATCCACAGGTAAATGTGCTGGCCAGCAGCCCAGTCGAAGTGGACGTCCTTGATGGTGACGACGGTGGTTGAGTCGCCTACGGCTCGGGCGAGGATCTGGTGGCCAACTCGCCTCCGCCCCTGACAAGCCGATCCGCCGGCCTTGATGCGCAGGTTCTGCCACAGGAGAAGTGCCCAGCGAGCGGCGCGGTCGAAGACGAGGAACGAGACGGCCAGCCAGAAGAGGAAGCGGGCGTTGGTGGGGATGTGCAAGTAAACCAGCACCAGCATGACGATGGACGCCGCAACGTGCTGCACCACCCAGAGCTCGTAGGCGATCCTCCGAATAGGCACGAAGCCGACGACGACGTTCCACAGCAGGATGGCCCAGGCGCCGAGGCCGTACTTGACCATGGGCATGGCGTCCAGCTCGAGCTCGACAAAGTCGGCGCGCACCCACTCGGTCCAGAAGTTGAAGCCGTGGACGGTGCAGGTGACGAACATTGTGCGGGCCACCCAGCGGTGCAGCCAGTTGAGACGCTCATGGCTGGTGCCGATGAGAAACCCGATGATGTTGACTTTGGTGGAGAGGAGGAAGAGCATGGGGAGCTGGGTGAGGGTGACCCAGGCGTTGCGGTAGCCGATGCGCTCCCAGAAGTAGACGTCGTGGACGATGGAGCGCCAGGTCATGAAGTAGATGATGACGGCCCAGTAGCAGAGCAGGACGAGGACGCGGCCGAGGGGAGGGGGCGTGAGCCAGGTGAAGTGGCGGAGGGGGATGAAGAGCTGGGGATGGGAGATTTCGCGGACCATGGCGGTTGCGGTGGCCCAGGACTGGCTGAGGGGGCCATTGGGACGGGTTGGATGGGGGGATGATTGTGTACGAGCAGCTTTGAGTCTGTTTGAAAAGAGAGGAGTTAGTTGAGAGTTGAAGAGGTGAGAGAGGGGGGAGAGTTGAAGAGGGGGGGTATGATGTGATATGGTGTATCTGGAGTGCAGAGTAGAGTGTAGATGAATGGATTCACATACCTCTTCACAGCGCCGACGTGATTGACGCCTCGAACCACCATCAACGATCCGACAACGGTTGCTGTAATGTACCAGTAGGCGCGGGCAAAGCGGTGGTTGACATCGGAGCCCATGCCCGTCATGCCAGTGCCGCTCATGTCCATGCCATCCATGGTGAGAGAGACTGTGAGAGGATATGCGAAGATGCGAATATCTATCTATAACGATTCGATGATGAGAACCAAACAAAGGATAGATGGAGAATAACGTCAAGTCAATAGTGAATAGGTGAGAGAGACCTGGCGCCTTTCAACCATGCATTTTTCGTCTTGAGCTATCAAAACCGACAAGACGGAAAATCCTCCTTTACCTGCTCGTGTCGCTCTACTACTCTTCTTGTATGTGTGAAAAAGACAACGACAACGACAATGTCAAACTTGTTCCTTGCCGTGTTCCGAGATCCAGGTGACAAGACAGCAAAAGAGGGTAGAGGTATAAGGTAATATGAGCAGGTTTGTCTGAGCGAAGCGGGCGGAGCAACAAGAAAGAACACGACCCAAATTAACTCGCTCACGGAGCCAAAATGTGGGGTTGGGTTTGAACTGTTCTTATGGTGTGGAGTTTTTTTTTTGTTCTTCTTTGTTTGGACTAAAAGCTGGAGCAAGCAAGGTATACGAGTTGTGTGTTTGGAGTGAGATGCTTGTGTGCTCTGCTGACCAAGCTGCGTGGAAGCGGACGGTTCCGAGATTTTAATGCCAGGGCTGTTGTGTGTAGGTGTTGCTTAAAATAAAGAAGATATAAAGAGGTTGAAGAGGAGAAAAGTTTGGTGATGTTGAAGAAGAAGAAGAAGAACTGGTGGTTTGTTAGAAGTGGTGGAGTAGATGTGTGGTTTCAGGTGCAAGGCAAGCGTTGCAAACGTTCGAGGTGCCACGAGGCCGGCCCAAGACATTGATTGCAGCCAAAGAGTAATACAAGAGAGAACTATCGATTTCATCTCTCCCTTCCACGGTAGATTCTATCCGGCACCATCTCCGTCCCTGTTCCTCCCAGCTTCAAAAAAGACGCCAAACCCTCAAAGCTGCTCCCAACCAAAAATAATCCGCCGCAAACGCTTTGGATAAACTTGCTCAAATGCTCTCAGATGGGTAACGCGGATGCGTGTGATTGGCTGGTTGTGCGCCTGGTCCCTGTTTTAGCCTCCCCGCCATTCGGGATCCGGAAACCGACTTTCTCTTTTGGACTGGCTGGAAGATTTGGAGAAAGACGGTATGCTTAATATTTGATGTAAATTCTTGTTGTTATTCACTCTATGTACCGCAATCGGGGCCTTCTTTTCGCTTGGCAGTTGGTTATGTTAGTACTTGGCATGTACTGTTACTGTATGACTCTGTAGATCTTCCATCAAAGGCCGTGAGACATTGCTCAACCCATCCGTGACGGATTCAGCCTCCATGTTTGCTACAGTCTCCCCCTCCCAATGACTTGACTCTTGTACAATCAAATCTCCCGTATCGTTCTCGTCTCACCCGGAAGCTGCAAAGAAATCTTGCTCAAACTTGATCCAAGCTACCGTTTCAATCTTTGCCCCCCCCCCCCCTGCCGCTCGTAGTCATACATAGTCCGGAGAGCCCATTGTTTAGTGGCGCCATCTCCCTTTCCAAGGGCCCCTGGTGGAGCATTGCAGTTTGTCCTGTTCTGTTCTCCATGTGTTTGCTATAAGTTGAAATACAGCTGGCAGCCTCGCCAAGCTTCTCCCCCTCAACCACCTCTCTCCAGCTCTCAATTGCTTTCCAATCTCTCTCTCTCTATCTCTCTGTCTCATCTGTCTTCCATCTTCATACCTTTCTCTTCTCATCACCCATCCACCAACCCAAAAAAAACCGCCCAAGATGCGCTCCTCCGCCATCCTCCCCGCCATCCTCTCCCTGGCCTCCGTCTCCTCGGCCCATTTCCTCCTCAACTACCCAACCTCCATCGGCTTCGACGACGACAAAGAGGGCACCTCCCCCTGCGGCGGCTTCACCCCCGACGTCTCGTCCGGCTCCAAGCAGCTCGTCGACTTCCACGTCGGCGGCGACTCGCTGGCCATGCGCTCAACCCACCCGCAGACCTCGTGGCTGTTCCGCGCCACCCTCGACGGCACCGGCGAGTCTGGCTGGCAGCAAATCTTCCCCATTGTCCAGCAGAGCGGCCTGGGCAACTTTTGCGAGCCTCAAGTTGTTCTGCCCTCCGGCTGGGCCGGCAAGAAGGGCGTCGTCGGCGTTGTTGCTGATGGTCCTGACGGTCTCCTCTACCAGGTATGTTGATGTTTTTCCAGGCTGTGTTGCCATGGGACGGTGATGTCTCAGAAATCCAATGTCTCTGAATCAAGACTAACCACAAACACAGTGCGTTGCCGCCAACTTCGTCTCTGGATCCGTCGACCCTCCTAGCGCCTGCAAGAACGCAACCGTCACCGCGTCCTTTGCCAGCGATCCCAAGCTCTCTGCCCTCGTGTCTGGAAGCGCCTCTGGCAGCTCCTCCAACAGCACCAGCACCGGATCGCCTTCGACTTCCACCACGGCTTCGACCACTCAGAGCAGTGCTGCTGCTGCCAGCACATCCAACGCTGCCAACGCGCTGCATGCTTCATGGTCCGTTTCTGCGGTCAACCTGGGCAGCGCCCTGACTGGTCTGTCCATGCTTCTTGCTGGCGGTGCCTTGATGATTTAAGAGGAAAAAGGGGGATTCGGAGGGGAAAATTGGGAATTTTTTCTTACTAAGGGGCGCTATATAAAGTCTGCTTTTTTTTTATCAGTCATGAGAGCATGCATGATGACATGGGAGTTTTAATAAAACGGAACTGATTCTTCTTTACCAATCAATGGTTTTTGTCTTTTTTATTCATTTGCTGTGAACTTCGCCTGTACCTTGTCTTGTCTGTGTCTTGGTTCATTCTGCTCCCTTGACAGACATGTTGATCCGCCCAATTGCAGATGCTTGAGCCTCAACCACATCATCAATTAATCAGTTGAATCTTCAAGCATCATCACTGAAATCAACAAATCGCATCGCCTCTCCTCACCACCCACGTGCGCCTCTGCTTACCCCCGAAAACTTCCAGCAAATCGGTTGAATCCTCCCTCTTACGCCTTCTCCACCGTCTCCACACGCATTTGTCCACCGCCACTAAACTCCAACTCTCTCTGTTCCTGAACCAGCCGCAAGTCTGCTTTACTTTTATCACCAGAACAATGGCCAATTGGCGTCTTGCTGTTGATTTCTCGGGGCGAATCAGAGGCTGAAATGGCGCATGCTCTAATTGCCGTCTGATAATACAAGGCGGACTCACTGCAGTTTCAATTGGTCGAATATTCAGCCGTCCACTGCATGCATTCATGTCCCGAGATACATGTGCCTTTCAATGATTGACGCGCTGCTATAGTCGCGATCTCCCATCAACTGGCGGCCAAAATTCTTCAAAAGCTTCAAGCCGCCTCCTCGCAGTTAATTGTTTTTCTTATACTTTGTTTCGGAATCTTCCATGTCTGTTGATACTCTTATACTTCTCGACTAACCTTATTCTACGCCATCACCATGGGAGACCTTTTCAACATGGTGGGATATCCCGCCATGGCTGGTATAGACATGAACAAAATCCTTCTGTCGCCCTCTTCCCATTCTCGTCCTCAATTTCCCATCCTTCAGAAACCACACATACCAGGCCACAGACCTTCTCCCGCCATGGACGTTACAATCACTCAAGCGCTTTCTGTCATCTCCGCCGCCATCTTCACTCTCTACATCAGCAGAAACATCATCAAGTCTCAGCTACCTCTATGGCTGAGACCATTTGCCCAAGAAACCGAGCCAGATGGGTTCAAACGGCGCTTCTGGTCCTTCTGGACCATTCCCTTGCTTATCATCAGCGTTGCTGGTGTCGTGCTCTCTTTTGTTCCCGTCATCATCAACCCGACTCGCTACTTGTATCTTTGGGAAATGATTCCGTGGGCTTTTGCTCTTCTCATCACCATGATTGATCGCCCGACCAAGACTCCTCGGCTCTTGTTGATCCAATATGTGGCCATTCTCGGTGCTAGCACCGCCATATACGCCGTCCGGTTCCTGGAACACACTCTGTATGCCCTCGACTACTTTCGAATTGCGAGAATGGCTCTCTGCTTCTTGTCCATCATCCTCATCGGCATGATGCCTCTCCGCGAGCCTTCGTGGGGGAACAAGGACATTGGCCAAGCAGGCGGCCAACCATCGCGCAATCTGCGTAGCCCAGAGGACGATTTGAGTCTCTTTCGCTTCTGGACCATGAGCTGGGTCAATCCCCTGTCCGCCCTCTGCCGCAAGAGAGAAATCACCGAGGAAGACGTCTGGCAGCTCCCCTACGAGTTCCAGCATTCGCGCCTGTACATGGCGTTTCGTGACCTCCAGGGCAAGCTTCTCTTGTGCCTTATTGAGGCCAATGGCCTTGACCTGTCCATTGCCACGCTGCTCGCCGTGTCCGAGAGAGTTGCCGAGGTATCCAACATTCGACTGACGAGCAAGCTTTACAATGCTCTAGATTCCGGCAATCTTGCCGATGCTACCTTTTGGTGTCTTGTGATGCTGGTTCTAGATGTCGTTCGCCAGTTGTGCAAGACGACGTCCTCTTGGTACTCTCGCAAGGCATATGAGCGCTCTCGCGGAGAGGCCTTCATCGCTCTCTTTGGCAAACTCCTGACTCGCGCTGTGCCAGGCTCAGACGTGACAGAGAAAGGCGCCGACGAAGACGGACAAGACACTCAGACACCTGATGCAAAATCCAAGACCTTCTTTGGCAGGATGCTTTGGAAAATGTCTGGCCCTCCCAAGCAGAGCTCCAAAGCAGTCACCGGCCCAGCCTCCAACGCAAAAGTCGTCAACCTGGTCCGAGGAGACACGTATGAAATCTCGCAGCGGTTTTGGGACTTTTCAAAGCTCGTCTCACAGCCCATCAAGGTCGCCGTTACCATGTGGTACCTGATAGACATCATGGGCTGGCCTTCAGCCATTGGCTTCGTGCTCATGATTGTGTTCCTGACGATTAATTCGGCGCTGGTTCGCAAGCTGATCAAGCTCGAACGGCAGAGGACAACCATTTCCGATAAACGTGCGCAAGCCGTCTCTCACTTCGTCGAGGCCAGTCGTCCCCTGAAGCTCAACGGCTGGACGGCCACTTGGAGTACTAGAATCATGAAATTCCGAGCCATGGAAATGGCCAAGCGCCTGAGTATCGCCCATGTCTCTGCTGCCATTTCTACCGTCAGCGTCACTGGCGGAACGTCTTATCCCCTGGCTAGCATTGCCTTGTACACCCTCATCCTTCGACAGGGTCTACCCAACGATGTCATTTGGCCGTCGCTGCAGCTGTTTTCTCAACTGGAAATGAGCGTCAAGGAGGCTTTTGATCTCATCTCTGCCTACTGGAAGGCCACCATCCCCATTGAGCGAGTCAACAAGTACATGAGCGAGCCCGACAGAGACGACATCTCCAATAGCCCCAGCAGCGTCACAGACATTGAATTCCGCAACGCATCGTTCTCCTGGCCTTCAACTAACAAGCTTATCCTCCGAGGTCTCAGCTTCAAGTTCATTAAGGGTCTTACCGTCATCAGAGGCAAGGTCGGCGCCGGCAAGTCCAGTCTTCTCCTCGCTGCTCTCAACGAGATGGAGCTTCACGAAGGCGATCTCATCAGACCAGACGTCCCCGTGGCCTATGCCCAGCAACTTCCGTTCCTGCAGAATAAGACGATACGAGAAAATATTGTCTTTCACCAGCCATTTGACTCTACGAGATACCGCCAGGTTCTGCATGCGTGCGCTCTCCTCCCTGACCTTGCTTCGCTCCCTGATGGCGATCAGACAAAGCTTGAAGAAGGCGGTGTTGGTCTTTCTGGTGGTCAAAAGGCCCGTGTAGCCCTAGCCAGAGCGGTTTACAGCCAGTGCAGGATTATGCTTCTTGATGATCCGCTGGCTGCTCTGGATCACGATACCGCCACTGCCATTGTCCGCCGGTTTCTCCAGGGCCCTCTTGCCGAAGGCCGCACCATTGTCATGGTGACTCACCGAGATGATCTTGTTCTCCGTATTGCCGACCAGGTGATTGACCTTGCTGATGGACAGGCAACCGTACTTTCAGAGGAGCAGGTCAAGCAAGAGCTCGAGCACCCCTATCATGAAAGCGGAAAGACGGCCCACGATGACACCGAGACGGCCCACGACATTCACGCTGAGGATATTGCTATGCTCAAGGACGCACCAGAAGAGCCGGCCAAGACGGGGAGTGTGTCCCTCAGTGTCTATACCGAATACATCAAGGCTGGTGGATGGCACCTTTGGGTCTTCCTTGGGCTTGCATACGGCGCATCTCGGTTCCTCGACATATCGAGAGCCCGACTGTTGGAGGCCTGGGGCGCGGATTCTGCCGCAAATGATACAAAAAGCGTCTACTGGAATCTCCCTAAACCAGATTCTCATCCTCTCCCCTGGCTTCTCGTACTGGCTGGTCTCTCTGCAGGACAAATCGTGACATATGCAGCCGCTCAGCTTCTCCTTGCTCGAATCGGCGTCAACGCAGCTCAGGGCCTCTTCAAAGGTGCCATTGACAGGGTCAGCCGGGCGACATTCCGCTATCACGATACGACGCCGACGGGCCAGCTTAAGAACCGGCTCATCGCCGACATGGGCATGGTGGATGGAGGCATTGTGGCGCCGTTGGAGTCATTTGTCTTCAACTTGATTGCCCTTGTCATGAGCATGGTGGCCATTGCAACTCACCAGCCGCTGTTGCTCGCAATTCTCGGTGCTGTTGCTATTCTATTCGTCTACTTCTTTAGAATCTACGTGCCCGTGTCGCGATGCCTCCGCCGCATGGAGATGCGCTATCTCACGCCCATCATCGCCAACATCGGCGTCATGCAGGACGGCCTCGTCACGATCCGAGCTCTACGAGTGGAAAAGCACTTCCAAGACCGCCACCTGGATGCCGTCGACGACTTTCAGAAGCAGGACCACTTCTTCTGGAGCATGGCGTTTTGGCTCGACTTTCGTCTCAGCTTGAGCTCCGTCGTCACTCGTACCGCGCTGATCCTGTTTATGATTTGGCGGAGGATGCCGGCCAGCGCCGTTGGTTTCGTCTTGACGCAGACCATCATTGCCATATCTGCCGTGCAGCAGCTCTGCGAGAAATTCGCACAGCTGCAGCTCGATGCCGTTTCGCTGGAGCGAGTCAACATGCTGAACCAGATCCCGGAAGAGCCCAAAGGCGAGCAAGATCCGCCTGAGGACTGGCCCAGACCTTGTGACAATGTCAAATTCGAGCAAATATCCTTCAAGTACGACAGCCATTTACCCTCGGTGTTGGATAAAGTGTCGTTTGAGATCCCCGGAGGCTCGACGTGTGCTGTCCTAGGCCGTACAGGATCTGGAAAGTCGACCATTGCCAATGCCCTTCTCATGACGCAAGCGCCTTTTGAAGGAACTCTCAGGGTAGGCAGCGTCGATCTTTCTCAAGTCGATCGAACGGCTCTACGAAACCGCATCACGTTCATTCAACAGGATCCGACGCTGTTCCCCGGCACTCTGCGCGATAACATCGACCCAGGCGCCGATTTCTCCAACGAAGAGTGTCTCAACGCAATCCACCGCGTTCTCGGACCCGAGTGGAATCTGGAATCGCAGATTGATGCCGCGGGCAAGAACCTCAGCCAAGGCCAGCGACAACTTGTAGGCATCGCGCGGGCTGTTCTTCGACGAAGCGGGCTGGTCATTCTCGACGAAGCAACTGCGTCGATTGACCGTGCTACGGCCGCGACGGTGCAGCGAGTCTTAAGGTCGGAGTTGTCTAAGAGCACGGTGATTACGATTGCGCACCGGCTGGAGGCTGTGGAGGACGCGACGTGGTGTTTGAGGTTGGATCATGGGAGGGTTGTTGAGTGTGGACCAGCGAGGGATTTGGCGGGCAGTGGAGAGAGAGATGATGAGTGATGATGGGTTGATTTGCATATGGTTACGTTTTCAGTGTTGAGCATGGTTGTGTTTGATGATATCATTGGATATGAATGGCTAATGAGTGTATGGATTTGACGGATAATGGATGCATCACGCTGTGTACTAGATAATGGTTGGATACACGTACAAGAGCTTATAGAAGCGATACACGTAATAACGGATAGTGTCCGAGTCTCTAGGAAAATAGATTCTTGTTAGTATTATTAGCATTTCTTAGTGACAACAATAGTCAAGTGTCAGACGGAACCTATACCCTGTCAAGTCATCTATAGGCGGACGCGAAACTGCAACTAGGAGTTACTATCTCGCGACAGCCGAAGAAGGGGGCGCATTGATGGACTATAACGTGGCTGCTTACTCTCGCCAAGAAGCTTGCATACATGTACTGTTATAGACAGAGGTCCAGGGTTGTTGCAGAAGGTTGCCATGCTTATCCGGTGCTTGTCAACTCAAGTGTAAGACTCCAGGTCATGATACCATCCTGTCAACTCTCGCCTCCGCGCCCTCCAAACAAACAACATGAAAGACATGTTATCTCGCGCCCTCCGTCTATAAATAACAGTTTGCGCAGTCCCAGTCAGCTGTTTCTAGTGAGTTTCTATCCTAGCCAACTAAAGCCTCGCGCCAATGTAACATCGCCTATCCTGCAGCATCTCGCAATTCCTATCCTCAATAGAACGCCGGCAATGCATCCGAAACGCCGCCTCCCCACATCTCCCTTTTTTATCCTATTCCCGGCAACTATCATGCCCCGACCCGACTCTGCGGGGCGCTATTTGGTTGGTTTGGTTCCCTTTTCCGCGGAGTTCTTCCTTGACCTTTTCCGTTGGCCTGGTGGTTTCGTTCAATACTACGAGTGTGCACGCGGATAGTAATTTCTCTTTTTCTAACGGGTCTCACAAAAACTTTTGGCAAAAGAAGAAAAGAGAAAGGAAAGACTGAAAGAAAGAAAAAGAAAGCAAATGACACGAAATCTTATCAAGGCGTGTCTTCGCTGCCACGAGCGGAAGCTCAAGTGCGATGCGCAGCAGATCGGATTGCCGTGTAGTAGATGCGTCGCCACGAGAGGAGACGAAGCCTTGGAGTCTTGTGTGCGGGTACTTCGACGGCCTAGGACGAGGAGGTAAGAAGAGAGGATGAAGAGGATGAAGAAGATGGGAGAAAACAAAAGTCAAGACACTGGGGATTTATTATATATGCATTTCCCTTTCCCGTTTCCGGAGTTGTGGTTGGTTGAGAAGAGTTGCTAACCACTTATTTTCTTTTGACGTCGGCGATAGACGAGTTGCCAAAGCGAGACACACTGTGGACACGGAGACTTTGAATCGCCGAAATGGCGAGCAAGAAGGCAACTCCAGCTGTACTACTCCCCATGTAAGTACACACTATCTATTGAACATACAGCGTATATTCAGTCTTTGACGGTTAATTCACTCTCAGAAGATTGAATCCTGGACGCCGCCTCTATACTTGGGCCAGACGTCCTCCTCTTCCGAAGATGACGCCCGCACGCCAGAGACCTGCATGATTGCGCAGGAATGCGAGCAAATCGCAAAGGGATCCAGCCTGCCTTCTCTCGAGATCATGCTAGAGCCGTCTCAGACGGGGCCGGATCTGGTTCAGTATCATAGCGAGATGCACTACATGACCATCATCAGCGAGCTCGTTGATGCAAAAAAGTCGAGTAGAGTGACTCGCATAGTTGTGGAGGATAGGAAGCTGCCCATGGCTACTAGACAGACGCAGATGAAGACGACGCAGGTTCGGGTTGTTATTCAAGGACTTGATCCGCTTGATGAGGAGTACTTGAATAACAAGTCGGCGTTTAGCTTGCCTTCAAAACACAGCTGGTACGACCAAACTCACTTCACTCACTCACTCACTCATCATCCGCCATGTTTTGTTTTGTATATTCTAACATGATGATATTGAAAAAAAGCGAAGCCATGTTACAAGCCTACTTTTCCCTCGGCCACCCTCACGTGCCCATCCTCGACCCCGTCGAATTCGTCAGGTCGTACTTATCCGGCTCATTCTCCCTCTTCCTCATGCAAGCCATCCTCGCCAACGCCGCGCTGTACGCACCCATGCCGCTTCTCGAAGCTTGCGGTTTCGGTGAGAGATGCGAGGCCATTGAGACGTACTTCTCAAGAGCTAGTTTGCTGTACCAGTTTGGCTGTGAGAGGAACCAGCTGCGGTCACTGCAAGGATCGATTGTGTTGGGGATGACGGCCGTGACGGGATCGTTTGATCGGGATTTCAGATATTGGATTCATAATGCAGTGAGATTGGCCGTTAAGATGGGGTTACATAAGAGGTGAGTGTTTATTTCCACGTTGTTAATTTCATAGTCTTTATGAGATCTTGGCAGACTAACAAAGGGTATTACCATCCGTCATCAGCTTCGCACACAAAGAGTCAGAATCACCAACATGTAAACTATACTAACGAATCTGGTGGGCTCTCTACGTAAGTTGAAGCCCATTCACTCCATACACATACGATAAAAATCAATCAAAAACTCACTCTTCAGATCCGCGACATTACGCTCCTCCTCGGCGGCGCACAGAACATGCGCATGATCCACGCAGAAGACAACGAAGTCCTCACCATCCCAACCCCCGAATCCCTCGGCGATGACATCCCAGCATGCTACGCCCACCTCATCCCACCTCTAACACAGCAGCAACGCGAGTATTTCATCGAATACTGCCGTCTCGCACGAATAGGTATATAAAAACCCCCCAACTCTCCCCACCCCTGAATACACTCTCCCCCCCCCCCAAAGACTCCTATATCGATCATCCTTATTAACTCCTCAAAAGCAACAAAATGTCTCTCCATCTTGAAATCTCATCCCCGCGAAACCCTCGACCTCATCCAATCCGAGCTCCATCTCTGGCGCTCCTCCCTCCCCGAATCTCTCCAGCCCGTCCACCGCTGGTCTCACGTCCGCAGCGACTCCATCTGGCACATGGTCCTCATGACTTCGAGCTACCGCTACGAGAGCATGCTCTGCCGCATCCTGAGGAAGGAATCCGAAGGCCGCGACCTAGAACTCCAGAAGAAATCCGCCCAGGCCGTCAGAGCGGCGATATATGAGCTCGATGCCATCATTGGACAGGCCATGGCGTACGATATGCTTTCCATGCTTCCAATGTCATGGTATGTCCTTGTTTCCCCCTTTTTTTCATTAAAAAAGCCTTCCATTCATATTACCCTCCAAAACTAAACAAGAAAAAAAATCCAGCATAAGCATCGGCCCAACAGTCTTAGCACTACACCTCGAAATCGTCCTCAGCCCCTCTGAAAGCGAAACTGTAAAATCTCGCTCCCGAATCTACATCCACCAAGCCATCGTCTTTCTCCAACAGTGCCGCGATCTGCCCTTTATGAAGATTGCTCTCGATCTCGTCGACTGGGCGCTCACCAAGCAAAATCTCCTCTCCATCGACAAGCTCAACGCCCCCCCGCCGCCTGTTGCAAGCCATTTACATCAACAGGAGCCGTTTGTGGATCTGGATAAGGAGGCCAGTGGCACGGGAGGGGAGAACCAGGCCATGGCGAATGTATCTGTGTTTGATGTAATAGAGAGGCTGGATGAATTTCTGGAGCTTGGGGCAATGGATGATACCATGATTTCGGATTTATGGCAGAACATTTCTTAGCATTGATAATTCAACAAACCATGGGAACATGAATTCCAAAAGATAGATAGACAAAGCCACGAGATGCTTCAGTCAAATTAATGTGATTGCTCCACTATCCATTCTTACGCTCATCATGCCTATCAAAACGAGTCTCCAGTGCTATGCAAACCAACAGTATCCCTCTCCAGCGCCATGCGGCTCATGACTGCCTCATTTCTATTCGAGTGTGTGTCGTTAGTCATTCGAGTGATCCATCACTCAGTATCCCAGTTTGTACCGATCCAAGATAATACAACACTCCAACACGCATTTGTACCCTTGGCTCCAATGCACAAAAGAAGAGAAGAAACGAGAAGTGGAAAACAGAAAGGGGGAGCAAACCAGGCCAGAGCTTCCAACATCTAGCCATGATTGCATCAGCTCATATTACAATGCGGTATTAGTATTTTTCTTTTTTCTTCTTCTTTCCAGCCATAAAACGTCAAAACTCATTTCTGTTGATTTACACCTCCTCTGTTTCAACGGCCTCGTACCCGCCGCGGGTTCTCATTCCAGTAATGTTCATGAGAGTGGGCGTCTCGTACATTGCCGTGTAGTCGACTTTATCGCCACCGAGGCTCGCCTGGCCCGTTTCTCGCTGGCCAAAGATGGGAGCAGGGTCACACCAAAAGTCCTTACAGTTGGTAACACAGCCCCTGCTGAACGGATTCTTCTTCTTGCGCTTGTTCTTGGTCGTAGCTGCACCGCGGCCGGTAATGGTCTCGATGAAGGGATCGACACCAAGCAGCTGGCTCCACTGCTTGAAGAGACCAGCCCCGTGCTTATGACCGTGGCCGTGGCCGTGGCCGGCGTGAGCGCCTCCTGGTGCCGTAGGTACAGAAAGGGACGGGTGGTTGGGGTCGAGCGGAGCACCCGTGGATGTAAAGGCTGTAGATAGAGAGGTGTTGACACGGATGCCAGTCATGTTCTCGTACGTGGTCATGGCACGGGCGACCTGGATGAACTGAGTAAAGAGCAGCATGGACACCCACAGAAGCTGGAGGGATGCCCAGATGGCCAGGAAGAGCGAGTACGAGTCAGCATTGATATATTTGCAGACAGATGGGCCAAAGATAGCACAAGTCTCTGAAGCTGAGGGAGTAATTTGTTCAAAATCTGAAACGACTGGTCAGCACCTTTTTCCGACAATGAAGTAAGCTATAGAGTCATCATACAATAATACAACAGCCAGTCGAAGATGGGAATTCCAATGGTTAGGGAGATTAGGTAGAAGAAGAATTGGCGGTGGTTGTTTACGCCAACGCAGTTGAATATCCATGGACAGTGGCTGTACGGACATAGTTAGTTACCCCAAACTTCCAAACAGAACAAGGAGTTGTATCTTACTGGTCATGTTTGGCCACACATCGCTGACAGCGCCGGCAGTGCTTGCTTCGTAGCGGCGTGCGGATCATGCAAACAACGCAAAAGTTGGAATCGTCAAACTTCCACGACTTGAGAAGGTCATCAATGACAGCCCGTTGCTCGGCAATGCCATTCATTTTAGGCACAAAGCCGGGATCGTAACGCATCGAGGCAATGTAGAAGAAGGACGTCAAGCCGAAAGCAGCTCCAAAGGCAACATTCAAGAGAAAGTGAGAAGATCCGCCCCACCACCCGATTGTTGCTGGTAGAATGAACAAAATCCAGTTGAGGCCGACAAGAAACAGAGATCCGGCAAAGATGCCCGCCATCCAAGGCTGTTCCATCCCCACGACATTAGCGATATGTCCCCATGTGAAGCCAACATAAAAAAGAGTAGGGCACTTACAGTCTTGTGAAATGATCGCATATCCGAGGGGGCATACTCGAGCACCTGCTTAGCGACCCAGAGAAGGCCGTATGCCGCGCCTACCGACAGCGGCAGGCCCAGGTAGAAGGGAAAGTTGGACAGGATCAGCAGCACGGAGAAGACCATGAGGAAGGGCCAGAGAAAGAGGAACTTTGTGAGAAAGGCCTTCTTGTCCTTGAGGAAGTAGCTTGCGCCGGGCCACGGCGGGGTTGCGACATGGCCATCCTCGTCATAGCCGCACTCGCGCAGCGCACGGTGCCATGCCGGCGTTGTGTTGAGCTCCGTGGCCGTAATGGCCGGCGTCTTGCCCGTGTCCGTCTTGGCGAAGCGGTCGGCGCCGTACTCGATCATCTTGAGAACGCAGGCGGCGTTGCCCTTGACCAGCGCCCAGTGCAGCGGGGTGAAGCCCTGCTCGTCCGTGGCATGCACATTAGCACCCCATCGCAGAAAGGTGTCGACCAGCTGGGGATAGCCCTTGTAAGCCGCCCACATGAGGGCCGTGTGGCCGTAGCTGTCCAGCACATCGACCGGGATGCCCTGGTGCAGCAGCAGGACAATGAGCAGAACGTTGCCGTTAAAGGTCGAGATGTGGAGGGTGTTGTAGCCTTGCGAGTCGGTAATGAGGGGATCGGCTCCGCGCTGGAGCAGCAGGTTGACGGTGTAATAATGGCATCGCTGGGCCGCCCACTGCAGAGGCGTAGCAATGGACTCGCCGCCCTTTTTGTTAAGCTCGGCGCCGTGCTCGATGAGGAACGCGCACATAGCGTACTGGTTATTGATAGCAGCCCACTGGCAGCAGCGAATAGCGTCAGCTCTTGAGCTCTTCAGCCCTTGGTCGGCTCATGGCCGCAACTCAAACTCACATGCAAGGGTGTGATGCCCTCGTCGTCGCTGTAGGTGGCGTCGTACTCGCCCGACTCAAACAGCTTCTCCATGCCGGCCACGTCGCCGATGCGGGCCAGCTGCATGATGTCGTTCTCCGGCGCGGGCTCGTCCGCTGGCAGGCTGCCCATCTCCATCTCGCTGTTGAGCTTGGGCGCCGCGGCTGCCGACTTGGACGAGGGCTGCATTCGCAAAGGCACTGCGGCAGCGGTTGTGGTGGAAGAGGCTGCCGAAGTGTTCCTTGCGCGGGTTGGTGGATCGTCACTACTCATGTAACGGGCAATAACTGATGCTGAAATTGGAAAGACGAGAGACGAAAGGTCGAAGTCGAGGTCGAGGTCGATTCGAAAGCCGAGAAACGAGCGTCGTCCGCGCTTCCGCCTAGCTGAGCTGAAGGGCTGAAGGGCTGATCCCGAAGCTGGGGATTGGCGAATACGAGAGGCCGTCCGCATTAATGCGGAGTTGCGGGAGAGCAGAAGCGAGAAATAAAAGAACAAGAAAACGCAATCAAAAAAAAGAAACGAAAAAAAAAGGTCCAGGGGTCCTCGGATTTGGCGGCTCGTTAGGCGAGGGGACGAGCCGGATCTAGAGATCGACGAGGGTGAGACTTGGTGGAGAGAGAGGATCAGGAACTGGAGACAAAGCTGACGATGCAGTTGGGGGATTAGATATCGATAACAGCTCCAGGCGGTGCCATGGCCGAATTACGCAATGTGAGTGGAGGGAGGAGGATGGCGCAGCAAAGAAGGGCCTAAATATCGCTGAGATTTTAGTGGCCAGACGGAAAAAGAAAAGACGATAATGGATGATGGATGAGAGAAGAGAGAGCGTATGTAATGTCAGTGTGATGGATGTGATATGTCTGATATGCAGGGGAAAAGATATGTCAATAATACATCCATAGGTACGCACGGCTATGCTGGAAGGATCAATCGCTGATCAATCTAATCAAATACGAAATTAGAAGTCCCGTCATATACTGCTTGCTAATGGATAATAGGCCCAGCCCAGGCCTGGAGGGAGCCCATGCAGCGCTTGTAGATTGCCGGCCCAGCCACTACGGAGTAATCGATACGGGGCATTTACAGAAGCCGGGAGATGGAGAGCTTAGCAGCTGGAGAGATTCAACTCCATCCAATGTCACGATGGACTACAGAGTACAGCACATGTATTTGCTGCAGTATTCTATTATGTTCTGTATGAATGACCATAACGGCTCTAATTCATTCATTCAAGTTCATTCTATGGTACCCGAAACAATGCCAGCATCAGTCATCAAGACATGCAGCAATTCTAAATCATTGAACCAATCTCAACTATTCTAGCCTGTTTCCATCCACCAAGCCAGGGGCAGATAAGACTTCAACAGCTGTTAGCGTCCCTCAGTAAAGGACCAGTAAAGCCACACTTCAGCCCGCTACCCAGCTACCCAAATCCATCCATCTCAAAATGTGGCGCACCCAGCAGTTCTCTCTCTCTCCCCCGCCACACTTCCCGCCTCCAGCTAACCAAACCCTGGCTCAGCTGCTGCACCCCAAACTTGACAGAACAGCATCATCTCAAATCTCGTCCGACTTATCGGCTGCCCCAACATCCGCAGCATCTGCATCGTTCGAGGCGAGACCGGGGCAGAGCTTCTGCGCTGGAAAATCGCATCAGGCCACGTCGCTGCATCTCTAAAAGGGGGCCGCTGGACTCGCCAATTGCTGGCTATCTTATTTTATAACACATCTCCTCTTTAAAAAAGTTCAAGCATCATCAATATCTATACCTTAACCTCGACGACACAAACCCTCCAAAACTTCCTCGCCCAACATGGCGTCCCTCACTTTCACCGAGCTCGTCGAAATCATCATGACGCCCTCCCTCCCCGTCATCCTCATCGGCATCATCCTCATCCTCGGCGGCCCCATCCTCTTCCACCTCGTCCTCTCCTCCTCGTCAACCTACACCGTCCCGCCCAGCGTCCTCCTCCTCGGCCCCGACAACGCCGGCAAGACGGCCCTCCTCACCCTCTTCGAGCGCGGCGCAAAGCCCTCGGCCACGCACACCTCCCAGGTCTCCCAGTCCATCGAGCTCAACGCCTCCACCGACTCCGTCACCAAGGCCTCGTTCCGCAACCACGACGACGCCACGGGCACCCACACCAAGTTCCTCCTCGTCGACACCCCCGGCCACGGGAAGCTGCGCAACGTCGCCATGGGCAAGCTCGCGCGCACCGAAAAGACAAAGGCCGTCGTCTTTCTGGTCGACGCCGCCGCGCTCGGCGAGCAGGAGACCCTTGCGCCCACGGCTGCGTACCTCTACGATGTGCTGCTGTTCTTGCAAAAGAAGGCCACTTCCAAGGGCAAGGACAAGGCGTCCATCCCCGTCCTCATCGCGGCCAACAAGATGGACCTGTTCACCGCGCTGCCTGCCACCATGGTCAAGTCCCACTTGGAGACGGAGCTGACTCGGATTCGCGCTTCCCGAAGCAAGGGCCTGCTTGACTCGGGCGTCGGCATTGACGACGTCGGCTCCGAGGAGCAGGATGGCTGGCTGGGAGAGTACGGATCTGAAAAATTCACGTTCCAGCAAATGGGCGAGTTCGACATTGACGTCGAGGTGCTAGCCGGCAGCGTCTTGACTGAAGAGCCTGGTGCTGACAAGTGGTGGTGGTGGATTGCTCAGAGAATATAAAATGGGATGGGATGGGTATTATTAGATGGATTGTGTATGAGTACAATGCTGCATGTTGGGTACGGGTTCTTTAATGACGGGTAACGGCAGAGGATGGAAATGAGAAAAATACTTAATAATAATGACACATATGCACCGCAGGTACAATCACATTTGTTTGATACTACGTATAGACGAGATTGATGAAAAATCCATTCATATTCAAATTCATATATATGTGCTTTTCCCGAGATGTTGAGTCTATCAGGCCCCGCGCAATATTGTTGATCTATATATCCCAGTTCCCTGTCCTCTGCAGATAACACACCGTCGCTGATCCAAAAACTTGTAACAAAATGTAAATGACGCCCCGATGTAAGAAAAAATTGGTCGCCTGTTGGCAAAACTCCTCAGATACAAATCATATTATCTTTAAATCCAAAGGAAAAATAATGGAGATGCCGTTTACAGCTTCTGGTTGACCATCCAGGTAAGCAGATCAACCTTGGTGACGACAGCGATGGGCTTAGACAGAGAGTGAGAATCACCCTTGCCATCGGTGACAACGGCAGCGCTGTTCCACTCAAAGAACTTGCTGAGGGTGGAGAGAGGCGTCTCCATGGTGATTTCGACAAACTTGCGCTTGCTGCCCGCCTTGGTTCCGCTGGTCAGCTTGCGGGGGTCGGTGACAATTTCGTCCAGTCGTGCAAAGTCGAACATGACGTCCTTGACAGGGGTCTGAGCTGTCGCACGGCCGCGGGAGATGTAGCTGAGAAGGTTGCCGAGAGTGACAAGGCCAACCAGCTTGCTGGAGGAGGAGAGAACAGGCAGCTGATCGAAGCCCTTGTCTCGCATGGTCTCGATGGCCTCAGAGCACAAGGCCGAATCAGCAACAGAGGTGACGGGCTTCAGGCGGAGAGAAGCAATGGTAGCGCCCTTGTAAGGGTCAGCGGCAGCCTTGACGCCAGCCTCGGGCGCCGACTCGGTTCCAGTGGGAGCGAGCAGGTTGTTGGCGGCCAGCCAGTCGTCGTCGGCAAACTTGGACAGGTAGCTGCGGATGCTGTCGGGGAGAACAACAACCACCGTATCACCCTTCTTGAAGTCAAACTCCTTGACGGCCAGCAGCATCGCGGCCATGGCAGAGCCGGAGCTGCCGCCGACGAGAAGACCCTCCTCGGCAATCAGTCTCCTGGCAAGGTAGAAAGACTGCCTGTCATCGGTCTTGTACCACTTGTCCACGATGTCACGGTCCAGAACGTCGGGGATGAAGTCGTAGCCAATGCCCTCAACCTTGTATCCCTCGTTCATGTGCTCCTCGTTGAGTGCCTCGGGCAAAGCCAGGATACTGCCATGAGGATCAGCAGCGACAATCTTGATGTCCTTGTTGTGCTTCTTCAGTCCCTTTGCAATACCAGTGATGGTACCACCAGTTCCCGCACCGGCAACAACAGCAGTCACCTTGCCACCAGTCTGCTCCCAAATCTCCTCAGCGGTGCCAAACTCGTGTGCATCGGGGTTGGCCGGGTTGCTGTACTGGTCAAGAATGTGGGCGTTGGGCAGCTCCTTCTCGAGGCGGCGGGCAACACCAATATGAGACTCGGGGCTGTCCCAGGCGGCCTGGGTTGGCGTACGGATGATGGTGGCGCCGAGAGCTCGCAGGACGGAGACCTTTTCAGCGGACATCTTCTCCGGCAGGGTGATGATGGTCTTGTAGCCTTTGATGGCGCCAACGAGAGCCAGGCCGATACCACTAGAAGAGAGAGATGAACGTGTTAGCAAACAAGCCACTCAGCTTATTTCGGGGCTGCAAAGAGGATGGGCCATTCCATACGTATTTCCGCTGGTGGGCTCGATCAGAGTGTCGCCGGGCTTGATTCTGCCGCTCTTCTCGGCCTCCTCAATCATCCTCAGGGCGATCCGGTCCTTGACACTGCCGCCGGCGTTGAACAGCTCCGTCTTTGCGTAGACTTCGCACTCGATTCCCAGGCTCTGGGGGACCTTGTTGAGCCTGACGAGAGGCGTATTGCCGATGAGGTCGGCGGCCGAGAGGACGGTAGGGGCATTGCGCCTAACCTGGGGGATTTGGGAATCGGCCATGGCTGGGGAAGCAGATGCTGGTGAGAATGTGAGATATTAGGAGATGCTTCAGATTATAAGGCGGAGAATAAGAATCGAGTCGAGGATGAAGCAGCGGTTTGGATACAGGTGGAACAAAAAGGGGAGAAGCCAGGCGTCCAGCTTTTTATTTTGCAGCTCCAAGGATTCTTATCCCGTCTGCCGGCGATATGCGCTGCCACTTGGAGGGGTCCTTTTTTTCTAGTCAGTCCATAAAGCTTAATTGGGCGGTGGCGGGGTTTTGTTTTCGCAAAAACTGGTTAATCCGGGGCTTGTGTTCGCTGCAAAACCTCCGTCGGTGGTTAAGAGACTTGGACAACAGCTGCGTTTACATGTGATTTCTAAGTACCTAAATATCAAGGAGGACGATTACAAGTCCGATTTCATGGATTCACTATAAACTCCGTATCATCAAAGCTTTGGATCTGTGACTTTGCACCGCATGTTGAACGCATCCCATCTCAACTCAACTCAGCTTAGTCCTAATTCAAGTTATTATTAGGTCACAGGAAATGTCTATGGTGTGATTCCGAATACCGATCCGAGGCTGACATAATATGCCGACAGTTGCGATCCGTACCTTTTTTTTTCGCATTCCGTTCTAGGGTAGCATATCCCAGAGAGGCAACAAGACAAAACCAATACATTACTCGGATCATCTTGTCATGAAGAAGGCATCTCAGTGGTATAGTTGTAGAATTTCTACTCATTATGCATATATATATTCCGTGTCAGCTCTCAGAACTCTCCTGTTCTACTATGGCTCATGGGATAAGTGTAAATATGAATAGAAAATGCAGGGACACAGAGTCGTATCGGAGCTACTAATACATGACGGATGCAACATGAACCACTGGAGTGCAGCTTCATTCCGACCAGCGGTTGGTCAATCCGACATGCCAAGCTCCGTATCAAGGTACTTTTGATTCATCTTGCAATACATTCACGATGCTTCTCCAACTTTGCCCCTCAACTACATGTACTTGTAACCTGTTCACTCCGCATGTTCCGGCTAGTGTATGTACACATGTCTTGGCCAACCTCGTCAATTCCTCGCACAACACAATTGGGGTTACATGGGGAGCAACCCTTCGTCTGCATGCTCTTTCAGAAGTTCTCACAGCGTGCCATTGCCCAGCCGCGCCGTCCATCTTGGAAGTTGGTCCGCCGTGATTCTACACTCGATACACAGTGATTCTCTTGTCGGACAAGATCAAAAGTCCTTGCGGGCGCCAATCGGCTCAGTGTCTCGTTGCGCCAACCGGCTCCGCTGAGGCGTGAGTGTCATCGAGACCTGCCCGTTCCGCTGCCAAGACGATAAGGTGTCGAGATTGCCTCTTGCAGCTTCCGATTGAGGAATCGGGCTCAACAAGCTTAACTTGGGAAATGCCAGGGCTTTATTGCGAATAGAGTCTTGGCTGGCAGGGGGTGGCGATTAGCCGATAGTCAGAGCCGGAGCAACTGCCTCTATCGAAGCTGCCTCTCTATTTCTCCATATAGTCGGACGTGAATTGATTGATAGATAAAAGGTTGAATGGTGCCTCGAACAATTCGACTCTATGCTTCTTCGTTCCACTGGCATGTGAATAGGAGGAGTGGTGATATACTATATATACTATTAGTATTACCACTACCACTGCTACACCATTGCATATATACAATTCACATTACAGAGACTCTACTCGCATCATGAGGTTCTGGAACAACCTGGCCTGCACTGGCCTCCTTGCTACGGCTGCTGTTGCCACAGACCTGCTTACACCAGACGCGGTCGAGAGAGACATTGAAGAGAAAAAGTAGCCATTGGCCGTACCTATGATGCATTTCATCTACTGACCCGAATTCTCGCAGTCTCCAAAATGTTCTCTGGAATCTGAACCATATCGCAAACGACAACGGCGGCAACCGAGCCTTTGGCCTCCCCGGCTACAACGCTTCTATTGACTTCATTCTTGAACGTGTACAGACACGCTTCGGCAATGAATTTGACACCTACGTCCAGCCATTTACTCACTTGTTTGAGAGCACCAGAAGCATCTCTGTCAAGGGGCCTCAAGGTGAAGACGTATATGTCATTACTCTTCAATACAACACCGCCACCCCTCTTCCCGGCGGCATCACTGCCGAGCTGATCGACACACCGGTTGACGATGTGCGGGGAAGTGGGTGTTTCCCCGACCAGTGGGAAAATATTGATGCATCGGGAAAGATTGCTTTGGTGAGGCGAGGCATCTGTGCGATTGCAGACAAGCTCAAGCTGGCCAAGGCGCATGGTGCGCTGGCAGTCATCTTGTACAACAACCTCCCAGGCAAGCCCATTGGGTCGGCTACCTTGAGCGCTGACAACATCGGATTGCTGGTTCCTGTTGGTGTCATTACTCAGGAAGAGGGCACTGCATGGAAAGCTCGCCTTGCAGCAGGAGAGACTCTAACCGCCACTCTCGTCGTGGATTCCGTGAATGAAAACAGAGAGAGCTGGAACATCATTTCGGAGACCAAGGAGGGTGACCCAAATAACGTGATTTTGCTTGGTGCTCATCTGGATTCCGTCCAAGCCGGTGCTGGTACGTATAGACACCTATTGTTTTGCTGGCATAACGTTACACGACGTTAGACTAACACACGACGTGAAATGTAGGTGTGAACGACGATGGCAGCGGAACTGCTGGTCTTCTTGAGCTTGCCACTTCTTTCCGGAAATACAAGGGCTTCAAAAACAAAGTCCGATTTGCCTGGTGGGGTGCTGAAGAGTAAGTTTCTTCTGGCCTCTATACGTCCACGAAGTCCACTGGCTAATCAAGATGCATAACAGGAGCGGTCTCATTGGCTCTCTGTACTATGGCCAACATCTGTCTGAAGAGGAGGCAGATCGCATCCGCTTCTACTTCAACTATGACATGATTGGTTCCAAGCAGCCCATCTACGCTGTGTATGCCGATACTGATGCCCACAAGACTGGAGGCTCCATCCTCTTTGACTATCTCCAATCCAAGGGCAAGCCCGTCGAATATGGGTGAGTACTCTTATTCTTAGTTACAAGGAGATTGAAAACTAACCTCTTGAAAGCGGATTCGGTTCATCTTCTGACTATGTTGCCTTCCTGGAGCTCGGTATCCCCTCTTCTGGTCTCTTCACCGGCGCCGGTGCCCCAGAAGATGCGTGCTACCACCAAGCCTGCGATAACCTCGACAACATCAACTGGGAGGCCATCACAGTGAACACCAAAGCTGCCGGTCGTGCAGCGGCACAGCTTGCATTGAGCTTGGACGGCATCCCTCCTCGAGAAAAGTCTAGCCTCAACCCAAGCAGCAGACGGGCTATCCAGAGGCAGCTAAACCGGGCTGCACAGATTACAAAGGTGATTGACAAGTCTCACAAATGCGGAGGCTTGGGCGACAACACAATTTAAAGCAAGATTTTGGGTGTCAAATGGAACATATCATAAATTAGTCATTACTCATTAAAAGAATATCGCTATGATTATGATTCGCCGTGCTTTCTGATGCTAGATGTCGTGCATCAATCCCTGACACCATCACCATTTGATGATGGCCCTCAACACTCATTACTACCCACCCATCATAGTGATTTAGCCTGCTTAATTTGATTTGAGGCATAGATGAGAGAGAAGCTCATTGTGCCTTTTGGCGTAGGACAAGTCCATCGAGACTATGCAAGCCATGCGCCATGGCCGATCTCTCTGTCAGTCCTTCGATCTCAGTACTGTCACTTTCATTATTAATATTCCCCTCCATTGCCTCGAAATAGACAAATTTTCATGACGATCGCCAAACTTGGGGATTTCGAGGGTTCGATATTGGGATAGCGCGGTATGTAGGAAACTTGGGGCCTCCCGGAATCCTCTCAGTCACGACCGCGGCTGCAGGTTCCTGAACCTCAACCTTGACGCTGGCCCTCCTTGAGGACGATGACTTCTTCCGTGAGGGCACATAGTATATGTCCTCTTCCGTGTACTGGTATATACCGCGAGTGGTACGAGAGCTGCTTCTTCTCTTCCTCTTTGTCTTCTTCGTCGTCTCCTCCTCATATGTGATGGGCATTCTTCGCCGCCCGACATAGCAAAAGCCGACGATGAGGAGCAAGACGACGACGCCGACTACGGAGCCGAGGATGGCGCCGATTTGCCCACCCGAGAGGCCATGGTGGTGGACGGGCAGAGGCACGACAGCGATTGTCTCTGTGGCAACTGGCTCGATGGTGCCGAGGGTGATGGTTGTGACGATGGTGGTGGATGCGCGGACGACGGTTTGTGTAAGGATGCGAAAGTCGATTTGGCGGTTCTGGAGGGAGGGGGCTTCGGTGGGAGCTGGAGGAGCTGGGGGGAGAAGCATTTTCATTGAAACAATGAATATTTGGTGAGGAATGTCTTGATGTAGGGGTGGTGTGGTTTTGGGGGTATATGGAATGAAAGAGTGAAGAATGAGACAACACCACTTGACGTGTAAGTTGAACAAAGAGAGAGAGAAGACAAAGAACGACGGCGGAGAGAATGATGAGGACGGTCCACGCTTTTTATGAATGAAACATTTGTTCAATACGGCCCTTTGATCTCATTCCTTTAGTAGATTAGATTAATTACAGGTGACTTCTTTGAATGCTCCCACGCACACGCCCCCCTTCTTTTGACGGCATCTGCGAGCTCTCACGCGTGTTGCGTGTAAGTATTGTACTGTAGCTCGTAATAGCTGCCCGCACCATACCTTGTGCACTCGAACAAAGGGGAAAAAAACGAAGAAACAAGATATTACCATTTATTCAAAGAAGGATTCCACCCATCTACACTAAGAAGTGTAAGATGTAAGAAGTCATATGATGCGTCCATGAGGTCTAGCTAGCGCGCACCCACCATGTCCGGCTGGCGTGTACCTATTTTTCTCTCACTCTCTCGATCTCTCGCGATGCGACGCGTTGCACTTCCAAGTGGGAATTTTGGGGGGCCTTGCTCACGTCTTTTTTCTTTGATGATGGCAGATTTGCGTGCGTGTGGGTGGCACCAGGTGTTTGCGTATGCATGTGCTATGATGGCTGCTGGTAGGGGTTCGTTGAGGGTGTCTGGGCAAGGATTGCTGTTGGCTGGGAGGGGAAAGCTAGCAGGGGGTTTGGGTGGGCATGTGGTTGATGCCATCTGCCTGGTTTGACGGATGGGCTTGAAAGGGATCTGAGGTTGATCGTAGAGGTGGGAGATGGTATTTGTTGAGACATGATTCATGATTTTGCGGGAAGATGATTTTGAAGGGACGGGCGGTTCTTGGCTGTGTCTTTCTTGCGCAAGTATGGTTTGTATAGACAGATATCATGCGCGTTCAAGACAAGAAAAGGCTCGTAAAAGTGATGCACTCAGAGTCGAACACGGCTAGAATAGTTGATTTGCTGTCATGTCGTCTCCACCAAAGCGAAGCGAATACTCGTCTGTTCCAAGCTTCAGAAATGAACCGACAGTTACATGGTATGAGGATCCGCATTCACGATGGGTGTGCTTACTTGTAATCATCTTCAAACGTGTCGAATATAACATTTGATGTTACAACGAAGACATGCACGAAACCAGGTTCTCAGCTGGTCCCATGTGGATGTCAACACCAGAACAGCCAGTAACTGATTGCATCTCGAACCCTGTCTGCAACCTTGGCTCGCCTCGCTTCACTGCCGTCCAACTACGGATTTGGTCATGATGTAGATTCACAGGATGCAGCATCTACACCGCTCCTGTTGGCATCACGTCGCGTTGCCATGTTGGCAATGAGAGGCGCCGACAGGGAAGATGCGGATGGCTGCATGTGCATTTCGAGATGTGATGAGCGAAACGGCTACGCCCCTCAACATGTTGCGATTCACCGTATAATGCTGAATAATTTGGCTTCTTATGAGTATTTCTCATATTGCTCTATATTAAGTACTGGCAATACACAATAGACATGACCGTTCACCAATCTCTAGTCTCGTTGCTGCCTATACATCTATCGACACTAGAAACAACACATGCACACATCTAATCAACCTGATATTAATGCTACCCAAATGCCACAAAGCATTGTTTTGAGTATATGAAATAAACAATGAGAGTACGACAGCCGTCTCAAGTATGACACAAGAAGAACCGCACGCCAAACCAAAAGCAAATATGAACGGCAGACTATATCGGCAACATCCTCCTACTAGCAGATCTATCCGGGGCCGGACCAAATCTACTGGAGGGCCAAAGTGACCGAAGGTCCGAGAATCCTTGATATCCTTCTATCACAGAGGTCAGCTTCCTGTATCGATATGCCATGAAAAGAGAAGAGCACGATGATGTACTAACCAGTCGGAGCCAGCTCATGCTTTCATGCTGATGCATTGCACAATCCATTCCCCGTCAATTTAATGAGCGTCTGTAACCCCACCCGCTCCCTTTTCAGCGGCGTCCTCATCTCTTTGAATCACTTCTCTGGTCTTTCCCCACTTGAAATCATCCGAATTGAAGAGGGAGTAACCCATGATGATCATATTTGCAAAAGGCGAGACTAGGAGATGTAGGAAGAAACCAACAAAATACTGGCCACGTTCCGTCCAATTTCGGGGAAGCCAGAAGCCAACACAGAACGAGTATACCTATGAACGAAGAGAGACAATGTTAGTCGCATGCTGATCAGAAAAGAAAGTCGTGGTACTTACGTAGCGAGAAGCCAAAACAGAGAGGAGGCCGAGAAACATAGGGTTACGCAATAGCACACGGCCGTCCGTGATGAGCAGCTTAATGAGCTCAGCGACGGCGGCCACGATGAAAGGCGTAATGGCCCATGTCATTACGGCTACGAAGCTTTGTATCCTCTCTGGGAAGATAATACCCTTCCTGAACAGCATGACAAACTCATTTGAGATGCTACCAAGGGCCCAGCGCTTGCGCTGTGACAAGAACACCTTGAGGTTGGTCGGCACAATGGTAAATGCCTTGGCACGTAGGGCCTGGGCAGTCTGCTTCTTGGGGAAAAGGCTGAAGATGATGGCCGCATGGATACTATCCTCAGAATAGTTGCCCAAGATGTGCGACGTCATCGTGTCGTTGGGCTTGGGACAGTATCCAAAGCGCTCACGAAGAACCTCGTCGCCAAACGTCGACTCATCGACACGGATCAGCTGACAGCAGCCGGGCAAGCAGTTGACCTTGCCCGTGATGCGAGACTGGAACATGCGTCGCAGACCTTGGGTCTGCGAGTACTCAACCGACTGATAGAGAGCCCAGGGATTGAATGGCTTGCCATCAAAGTCGACGCAGACGTGGCCGCAAACACCAACCAGCTTGTCATTCGAACGGATCTCGCGGAGCATCTCAATGATGCAGAACTCATCAAAGACAGTGTCGGCGTCCATGCCAACGAGGTAGTCGACCGTGTCCATGCCATGCTGGACGAAAATAGTGCCAATGTAATCGTACAGAGTCTTGTTGAACATGGTCACCATGTTCGCAGAGCGCCTCTTGAAGTGATACAAGAACGAACGGACGAAGCACAAGCTGTCACGTTTGCCCTGGTTGTAGCTCTTGCCAACAAAGACATACGGCAGACCCTTGTAGTAGCCATATTGAACATTGACCGGCATGAAAAGACCATCTCGGGCACGGTATCCATTGTCGAAGCGGCGGAAATGACCTTCACCCAGAATGTCCTCGAGCAGGTATTCCTGCGTGGTCTTCTCCATGCCTGGGCCACGAGCATTACCGTCAACGATGATGAAGATGATCTTGGGGTGGCTATCAATCTCCTTTTGGTCCACGAGAGAGTCAAGGGACCGGGTCAACTCATCGCGGGTTTCATTGTAGCAGGGCAGCAGCAGGACCAGCCTCTCGGGATCAGGGGGGGTACGTTCTTTTCTAGCAAACCAACAAGGCAGACAGCGCCTCAACATGGTACTCGTGATGATGCAAATCATCATAATAGCTTGAAGTGTGGTGTTTGAGCTAAGAAGAACGAGAAAGAGGTAGTACAGTTGGTGGACTGTCACGGCGGCGTAGATCAGCCCGCCGTTGATGATAACCAAACCCAGAATGAGACACCATTTTTGAGTCCGGAGCAGATTTTTGGAGACTTTCTGGAGCTCTTCCTCCGAGTCCCACCGCAACTTTGCCTCTTCTTGGGTGATAGAGGATGAAAAGGAAAGGTCGGAGTCGAATGAGTTCAATGAAACGCGATTTTCCTCGAGTTCAGTTGGGGGAAAAGCATTGTCGACGATGGCGTTGCGGGAGACTGACTGTAGTTTTGTGTTAGCATGGGAACCATGTAGCCGAAGAAGACAAGCCATGTCTTGTTTGCCAAGTCTGCTTACAGATTCTCGGGAGCTTTCTTCAGTCGATGTGGCGACAGTGGCATGATTCGAGACGTTGAACATGGACACCGGCGGCTTCCTGGGCATCTCCCCCCGCGGAAGCCGTTCAGGGGAGATGTCCCCTGTGTCCACAGTCTCCGTAGAAGGAGACTCGGAGTTCATGATGAGTGACGGTATCGGGTCGGATGTGTCAGACATCTTGCCTTTTCTTCAAATATTCAGCAGCGAACCGCAAGGAGCTGAAATTTGTTCTTGGGAGGGGGTATATAGCGGTCGCGTGGGATGCGAAGAGTGCCGTGCGTTTTGTAAACGTCGAAGAGAAAGATCGGATCGATGATGGAAAATATGGGCCAGAGGGCTTTATAAAAGAAAGTAAAAGTCAGTAAAGGACAGTAAAAGACAGTAAAAGCTAGTAAAATGAAGATTGAGGCAAACCCAGTCAGGGCTTTACGCACAGTTTTGACAAAAAGCTAGAGCTGGAGTCTTCCACCGAGCTCTGAAAGCACCAGGAGCCTATTGGGTTGGTAAAGAGGGGATACTCCGTAACGAAGAAAAGCTTAATTGAGAAATAAACATTGAGAGATGTCTAACGAGCGAGTGTCAAAGCAGGGCTGTACCAAGCTTTGGAGAGATAGAGGTCAAGGCATCACTAAGCCGGCTTTCTGTAGGCTGTCTCTATGGAGAATATTGAACCATATCCTAATGTGTGAGCAACTTGAAATATTAATCATTCATATCTGAAGCCGCAAATCCTGCCAAGCTTTCAATATTCGAACAATGACTTGTGTTCTGCTTCGATACTAGTAAAGAAAGGTCAAAGCTGTCTTCCCCGGCTCAATGCCATCACAAAACTCAAGCCTCGCACAACACCCATCTCGTATACAGGTGTCAAGCCCGCCTGAAATCTGAGCAGCACGGTGATACGCCACGCAACAGGAGCTGAGAAATCCTGGCAGAGCATTCGAGAGTGCTGAATGGTCCGATCGAAGACGCATCTCCTGCAGCAGTCGTGAATACGAAGGCATCGTGGACTGCAGGAAAAAAACATTATATGGCTTGGGGCTAGTGGATTTGGCTTTTGGTGCCAAGGCCAGACAGATTAAGTTTAATGGTCTTGGAAAAAGCACATGGTAGTACATGAGCCGTGCCTCGGTGTGTATCTGATGCTTTTGCCGTCTGGCGATGCCGATGGAGCTTCCCTTACGTGTCATACTTCCATGTAGATCTGTCTCTACTTGGGGTTATAAGCTAGCAGACACGAGCTCAATGATACCGTTACACTCTTCTCGTATGTGCCTGAAGTAAAAACCTTTTCGAAAACGCCACGCTGTTTACGCTTCTCTGGTCGGCCTGTAAGGGGGAGGGAAAAGACATACCCAGCCACGCCTCAGCAGAAAGAGCTGCAGTAGTCGTCTCAGCTTGAGGGACGTGTCAGTCATTGTAACACGTGGGATTTAGCAAAAAAATTCGATTGCTTCGTGTCCTATCGCGCACTTGCAGATTTATATATATTGCTTGGCACGGGACCGAGTCTTCTCACGACGTTCCATGCTCCCCTTGAAGATATGTACGGGCCCGCGTGTAAGTCCACAAGGCAAGGCACAGAAAAAAGTGTGCCACTCAAGCAGCCAAAGCTTACCAAAAGCGTAACTCACCATCTCAGAGGCGTCAAGGGAAAAAGAGGAGCAAACTCGGCGTGGCACCTCCAAGTCGAGTTAAGCTCCAAGATCGGGCCTTTGCGACGGAGATATTCTTCCCTCGCCCTCCCGTCCTCCCTCCCCACCATCTCACGGCATATCTAGGTTAGCCTGTGTATCTCAACCTCAAGCCACCAGAAATATGCTTACTTGTTACTAGCACTTGCGGGCCATACCGTCCCCAAGGTTCGCCTTGGCGGCAACGAACCGGAATGGCTTCCCCTGCACGGGCGAGTCCGTTCGTCCAGTAACACAAGGCCCCGGCGTTACCCAGAGTGCTGGCTCTCACCTGGCTAGGCTGGGATCCCGACATGAATCGCTTGGCCTTGTTTTCGTCCGTGTTAATAGACATCCGATAGAGATACTGGAGAGCTGAGAGGGATAGGATAGTCCCGACGGACCTGCAGTAGTCTTTGAGCTAATCTCCCCTTAGCGCAGCCAACGGCAAGTTTTACATCTTGGTCCGGCGGCGCGAATACGAAGCTGCTTAGACTTTTTTTTTTTTTCAACTTCAGATGATCGACATCTTGCCGAGATAGATACGCAGATATCCTTCCGACGGAGCCTACTGCTGCCGGTAGCTTCTAAGCGCATCATACTCCGCTCTTGTTACGGCCAACAGAATCACGACATTTCGTATAAAAGACTAAATTATTGGAGGCGGCAGAAAAGTTGCCGTAGGGGAACACGAATCCTGCAAGTATCTTTTTATCCGATGTTATCATGTCCGAAATAGCCAGCCACTGAGAGGTGAGAGAATCTACAGCAGACTCGGTGCCAAGGTATGGAGAATGCTGTGCAACAGTAGGCGTGTCTCGCTGCTTGGCTAGTTCAGCGATGCCGAGACGGCGCCGAGAAATCAGGCTCCTAGGCAGGCGTTCGGAGATCCGTATAGCTGTCGTGTTTATACCTAAGAATAGTATTCGAGTCCGTTTACTGCCGTGTTCGTCGTGTCCAAGTATTCACCCTTGGCTGATCCCTACCACCACTGTATTGGCTCCAAAATAATACGAGAGCCCATGGCATCATATTCCGTCGCTCAGATTAGTAGGTATCTGGTAGAAACGGCAAATACTAGTAAATGAAACTTGGCAAGGTTGAAATCCCCCTGAATATCAATTGTGCCAAGCTGAATGAGTCCTCGAAATATTCCACAAGACAGCGAACTAGACCTGTGGCTGAAATCAGGGTACAATTTGTGGCTCATGTCACGGCTACGCTGTCTTTTCCAAGTCATTTTCAATAAAGCTGCTGTCTATTCAATACCTATGCAGTAATCAAAAGACTAATCATCTAGACATAATTCACACCCCAGTAAAATTGCCTGGGCTGAGGCAAAGACCATAACCCTTTTGGCATCCAAGTTCAACGAGACAATGCTTGTCGCTATTGCCGCTGTATCATTATTTACGTCAGTGGAAACGATCATAACAGTCGACGCCGAAAGAAACTCACCAAAAGCCCCACTGGGAACAGCACTTCTTTTTCCCAAAGTGAAGACACGTAGCTGTATGGGCTTCTCCGCAAAGGCCGTTTGTTGTGGCGAGAATGGGTGCCTGTCCTTTGCCGTCGCCAGGCGGAGGAGGGTGGCAGTCTCCGAAATTGCGATCACAGCTTGTGATACAATAATCGTCGCTTCTTCCACTATGATGTAAGTCATGTTAGCAGCTAATTGTTTCTCATAGAAGCGCGGGTAAATAAGAGGGAGCGGGGGCTGAGTGATGAGCCAGCCAGAGTAGTACGAGCGCACCACGCATTGTGTCATCTCACTCCATCTCAAGAGGAGGGGTTGGTATATGGCTTTCTTACCAGTAACCAAAATATGAGCAGCAGTCACCAAAAAGAGAGCCCTTGCAAGTGGTATTTTTCCCTTGGACGCCACATCTCTGGTCCGTTGAGACATTGAGCTTTGGCGTCTCGATGGGGTCGGTGTTGTTCTCTGGCGGCGTCCATGGGTTTGTATTATTCTCCGGCGGCACCCATGGATTTGTGTTGTTCCCAGGTGGCACCCATGGATTTGTGTCGTTGTTTACAGGCGGCAACTCGTGATTTGTGTCGTTTACCGGTGGTATCTCCTGATAGGTGTCCAACCCGCGCCTAGAGGGAGCCAAACGATACCAGTTCTCAGGAGGATCGCCAAGACACTCGCCAACTGTCACCAGTTTGTACCCTCGCTCCTTGGAGGTTTCAATCATGTACTTGGCAAGCGTCACCACGGTCTGATAATGCACATCGTGTGCAAGAACGATGTAACTGTGATCTGTCTCATCGGATGATTGCACGGAGAAGAACTTGTCCTTGGACTTTTGGATCAACACAGGGTCGTCATTTTCATAATCCTTGGTATCCAGATTGGTGCTAATGACGTGGTAGCCGAGTTCTTCCATCGTATCGATGCATCCAGAGCTCGAGCCGCACTCCAGGAAAGGCGGACGCATGTATGTCGGGACGAAGCCAAAGATGTTGCGAAAAGCCATCTCGTTGTAGATCATTTCTGTTCTTTGGACATGTTCGCTGACACCGTTAAGATTGCGATGGGTCCAAGTGTGGCTGGCCAGCTGATGCCCGGCGTTTCGCATGCGCCGCAGAACTCTTGGATACCCGGTAGACTCATCATCAATGCGGCCTTTGCCTCTGTTGTGTCCGGCTATGAAGAATGTAGCCTTGACTTTGTATTCGTCTAGAAGGTCAAGCAGCTGGTTCGTGTACTCGTAGGGTCCGTCATCGAATGTCAAGGCAACAAGACCCGGAGTGTCACACTCAGTGATAGTCTCCGCTGCAATATGATTAGCATAGCTCCTGGCCTCATCATTTGAGATGCGAGGTGTAATAAGAGATTGCTTGTTGAAGCTCACCGTATGGGACGTCGCCAAAGAAAGGCCGATCGATATTTTCAGTGCTTCTTCCACCAGGGCCGACTCTGCAAAGGCATCGTTAGCTTGGACGTCTCTGACACGGATCATATTCCTCCATGTTTGATCACTTACTGTGTGTCGCAGGAGTCGCTGTAGTCGAGCTGGCATTGCGATCCTGAGCAGTATTGCGTGGTAGTACCACAATGACCAAACTCAGAGCAGCATCCCCCAACACAACTTCCGAGACCAGGACCGCAGAGAGTATTCTGAGCAGCAATACTAGCCTGAGGAACGGCAGCCGTTTGAGTAATCAGGAGGGCGATCACCCCGATGGCAACTTTGAGGTGCTTCATGATCCTTCTTGTCATAATATTGTTGCTTGGTGTGGCCTCAGGATGCAAGAGAAAAGAGACGACGACGACGCGGATGATGGATTAAGTAATAGAACAATAAACAATCAAAAGGGCAGGTTACACCCTCGTATGATATTACTACAGCAAACTATCCAACTGTGAGAAAGAATAGGTAGGTACATATATCTATAAGCAGCTTCTCAGGGCCATCGCGATCCTATGTGCGCTAACCTTTGGGAGATGTCGTTGGACCAGGAGCTATTGATTCCATACTTAGTCAGGAGCAGTCAAGAGATAAACCGAAATACGAAATAAAAAGAAATAGTGGCTGGCAAACTTAAAGACCTCATTACGCAAGAAAGCCCCGCGCTTTCTCTTGTGAGAGGCGATATTGGACTCGCTCTGGTTGCCTCGACGACTAGTGAAGGCGCACCGCAGCAGGAAGCTGCAGCATCACACCCTCTTCCCTCCAGATTTTAAGCCATCTGGCCGAGACCACTCTCTGCCAAGTGTCTAGCTATTTAGTCTAAATATACGCTTAATGTCGTATAGGAGTGCGGATGATGGCACGGGTGCTGTGGTGCGTCGGGCGTATGAAGCAACTGGAAAATTTGGACAAAGCGAATGAGGCAAAAAGACGTATGATTCGACGATCCCTCGTATTGCGATATCCTTAATTACGCCATACCGTATTAAAAGTTTTGTTCCTGACTAGTATTAGACGAAAGTTTAGCCTATGATGCCCTTTGCTGATTGTCCTGCCGAGGTATCGGCTATCATCGCCAGATGATACGGTGATACGGTGAGCATCTGAACAGCTTTTAACAGAGATATCCTCTACTACTATAAATAACAATAATTTTACTTCTGAAGACGGAGAGCCGAATAGAGAGTAAGCTTTGGCAGAACATTCGGTCGTAATAGAAAGCATTTTTTGAGCCCTGGCTTGCCAAGATTTGGGATTTGAACGCAGTGGTAGGGAGTCCCTGACACAACATCAATAGCAGCGACATTGACGTGTCACTTCAGTTTAAAGGGAATATAGATGGTAGGACTGATTATCTCATAGGAATGTTGTGCCTGGCTCTGGGTGCTTCCAGAGAACATTGCCTGCTAGATGCTTGCTGCCACATCTCGGCCATACCTCCTAAGACCCTCGGATTCTTGCAATTTAGTTTTCCTGCTTTTCCGTTTCGGTATAACCTCAAAGAGGGTAGATATTAGCTCGCTTTTATTGGATTCTGTGCCTTTTCGGCTTGATTTGGCGCCCCCCTGAGCTCTCATCAGCGACAATGGCGCAAGTTTGGCGTTGGTTCAGCTCGGTTGCGTGTGTCTACTTGGATGCTCGTCGAACATGAGGCTTCAGTATGCCACAGAGTACAGAGGCTGTGACGACGAGATTGTACGATTTTCCCGTATCGTATTAGAGATTTCTAGTGACACCGTGGCTGCCACAAGTCTACGCCCAAAAAGCCAAAGCGCCCAACAGAGCTAATACCAGGGGAATATCTTCAGGAACAGAGACTTGGTGTAGATGTTTCGGTTGTATCTATCGCCCTCAGAGGGAAGATATGATGAATAAGGAACTGTAAAATCATGTTTTTGTCTGTGATTGCATTCAATCAGCGGAAGCTTCCTTGTCAGCCCCCTTCGTATACCCAAATATGTCGTCGCTTTTTCTGTCCTGTCTGGGAAGTTTCTTGTCTTATTGCCCGAACAAAGTTTCTTAGTCTACTCAGCTCGTATGTAAAACTTGGACGATACTTTGATGTTAGGTAGAGGTACCAACTTCATAGTTTCCTCCTTACCTAGTATGAAACTTGGTCAAGATTTGCAAGAGGGCTGCAAAGCCAAAGCTTAGCGTTCTCCTATTGTGTTCGCCTTTTGCTCTGACGGAATCTTACGGCAGCCTCTGAGCAATGAGTTGGAATTTTTGCATTCGTTGCAGTTGCCTATAAAATCGTTTCGCCGGGCTTTTCCTTTCTGATCTTCATTTCTTCCCAAAATCTCTCCGCAAATATCAGCAAGTCTTACGACACCCCCGCACGTTTTAACATCGCATCACTTTCCCGCCTCAGTCACTCGCTAAAACATTGCATATTTTTCATCGTCTCTTTTTGTTCGTGATGGATTCATCAGAAGCTTCGTCGACCTCTAAATCGACCGAATGGAGCCGTCGTCGGAGGGAGTCAGATGAAGAGTACAAGGATATCAGCTATTACGATCTGACTCCCCCAGGCGAGACTATTTCTGATCCAGAGCCGGAACCCATCACCAATGAAAATGTCCTATCCGATACAGAAACCGACATCGCCACTGATGGTGATGTCGAGTTGAAAGACGCCAGCATCGAGCCTCGTGTCGCCGTCATTGGCGTTGGATACGTGGGCGAGCACCTTGTCGATGTCTTTGCTCGTCGCTTCAACGTTGTTGGTTTTGACGTCTCCGAATCCCGCGTCAAAGCCCTCTCTCCCAAGTACGCACAAAACGACAGAGTACAACTCACGTCGTCCTCGTCAAGACTCTCTGGTGCCAGCCACTTCCTCATCTCAGTTCCGACGCTTTTGCGCCCGGACAATACAGTGGACACTTCTTACCTGCGAAGTGCTTTAGATACTGTTGAAAAGCACGCCAGTGCTGGTTGCACTGTCGTTTTTGAAAGCTCCGTCGCCGTTGGCATGACGAGAAAGCTTCTCGGACCCGTCGCTAAGAGGATGGGTTTATTTGCAGGAATGTCACCTGAACGTGTTGATCCTGGTCGCGTTGAGCCCGCGGCTTATGAGATCCCCAAGGTGATTTCTGGCCTGGAGGACGTCGTCCCCGGCTCGTTGGCTTCCATCTCGGAACTGTACTCTGCGGTCTATGACAAGGTTGTCACCGTCTCTCAACCTGAAGTCGCAGAGATGACCAAGCTGTATGAGAACTGCCAGCGGATGATGTGCATTGCCTTTGCCAATGAGATGGCTAATGCCTGTACCCCCTTTGATATTGACCCTTACGAGGTCTATCGTGCCGCCGCCACAAAGCCGTTTGGCTACATGTCCTACTCCCCTGGGCTTGGTGTCGGAGGCCACTGCATCCCCGTCAACCCATATTATTTGCTGTCTACCAGCGAATTCCCGCTGCTCAAGGCGGCGACAGAAAAGATGAATGCCCGCCCCGCAGAAATTGGACAGAATGCCATCAAGATTCTGTCCGAGGGACCAATCAAGGGAGTCCTGCCCCATGTTCTTGTTGTTGGCATGGGCTTTAAGCGCGGCCAATCTCATCTGGTCAACTCACCTGGCCTTGAGCTCGCCAAAAGCCTGGTTCTGTCGGAGAAGGTCGCCGTCTCCTTTGCCGATCCTCTCGTGGGACAAGAGGCAGTGCCTCAGATCCCGCGGTTGGATGAGAAGAACTGGTCTGCCGAGTATTTGGAGCAGAACTTTGACATGATCATCGTGGCCTTTAAGCCAGAAGGCCTTGACTTTGGTCTTGTTGATAAGCTTACTGGCGTGCGAGTTCAAATGTGGTGTGTTTAGATGGTTGATAGATAGCGGCTCATATGCATATGCCACCGGCACAGTGGTAAATGATCGAGAATAGAGATCATGTGCCAAAGGTTCATATTCCATGGCCCAAACATCTTAGTGCATGGCCGGGACAGGGGAGGAGTAAGGGAGTTTTGGATATCTTTTGGGAGGGATTAGCTAGTGTCGAATTTCATGCTTCCACTGGGCCTGTAAGGGCTGCATTTGTACACCTAGATGAAGCATATTTTGTTATTTTATTCGTTTTGATTTGGAGGATATGAATCTAGTGCATTGTATACGGTAGCAAAGTGCTACTTTGGCGTATCTCAGAAGACAATGAACTCCCCCCGCTTTAATTTTCGTTTTCATTTTGATGAGATTCATTTCATATGATATGTTTAAATATCCATCTATTCTTTTCAGATTTGTATCATAATGATATTTCCTTGTAGTCGCGGAAACACGTCCATATCACGGATTCCTTCCCATAGAAGATTTTGGCCTCGCCGCCAACAATAGACTGGCAATAATATCTTCATTTCCCTTCTTGGCAGCGTATGCAGCAGGTGCCTCGCCATTTTTGCTCTTCAGCTCAATATCTGCCCCACGAGCTAATAGCAGCTGTACCACGGCTTTATCCTCTCTGTCAATTGCAGTTAATAATGGTGTACTGCCGTTACCATCATGGAAGTTGACCTTGGCACCATGCGAGATCAGCAAGTCCACCACTCCTTTTCTCCTTCTGAAAACTGCCAGTGATAATGCCGTACGCCCTCCACTATCTTTAGCTTCTATATCAGCCCCTTCGGCAAGTAGCAGCTCTACCATGGAGATTTTCCCCCACATGGCCGCGACCATTAGCGGTGTCCAATCGCCATAGGCCTTGAGATCCACGTCGAAGACATTCAGGAGAACTTTCATCGCCTCTTCCAAGCTAAAGCGTGCCGCTAAATGTATCGCAACTGACACTCCGGGTAATGCCGCATATTCCGTTTGGTCCCCAGCTCCATGCAAGAATAATACCTGGGCCGCCGCCGCAACATTCGCCTGTTTCCCAAGAAAGAGTAGTATATCAGGACATTCTGGTACCTCGAGAGCGTAGTAGCCCCAATAACAAGCCGCATAGTCATAAAGGGGATATAGTTGGACGCGACTCTTGAGGTCATCCACACTCAGGGCTATTCCACTTTCAAACGCCGTAATCGAGAGATATGTCAGGCAGACTCTAGTGAGATGAAGTTGAGCATCAGGGAATAGCTTGTTGCGCCGTTCGATAATCCAGCTTTCCACGGACTTATGACAGAAACGGAAAGCATCTCTTTCTGTATCGATAACAACTAGACCAGCACAGACCGAGGCTATATCATCGGTATCTGGAATATTTGCTTCATCGAAACTCGATTCTCCAACTTCCACTGCAAGCGCATGTTGTAGTTGTCTTATTCCCAGAGGATAAAATGCGAATGCCATCCATAAAAGAGTGTTCATAGCAAGGTCTCTCCTGTCTGCACTTTGGCCTCTTATTCTCGTCATCATCGCATCAAGAGTATCGTTGCGACGTGACTTTTCCTCTAGAGTATCCATCATGCTCTCAGGTGTCTTTGAGTCCACTATCGAGTCAAGAAGAAAACGGGCAGTACGAAATCTACTTCAGTTAGTAACTGGCTATCTTTAGATGGGTTCGGAAGATAATTATTCTTACAATCCATCAGAATATTTTATAATAGTATTAGTTACTTGTTCCAACATATTAGGACTGTGGTTCAAAAAGTCCGGGAGGCGTTTCGCGTTGCTTTTAATGTATTGACCAATATCGTCAGCAGCTGAATTTGAAGGCATATCTATGATGACTGAATTATGCTCTCGGAATTTTCCGATAATATTAGGAAGGGATCTCGAAGTTGCGAAGAGATTTGCTCTCGTATCGACCAGTAAATCCAGGATTTTCGATACGAATTGTGATGCACTTGAAGGTTCACATTCGTCCAAGCCGTCAACAATAATGAATGCCTTTGGGTATACAGAGATTAACAATCTCAGGGCACTTGCTGCCTCATCAAGCGATGGCTGAGTTCTTTGACTCCTGTGCCGGGCGAATAGATCTTCGACACTTTGAGGTAGAGGTGATTGGATCTGGCATAGTTGCTTGAGTAGATTGCACATTATGTTTTCAGCCCTCTCCTCATTTGCGCGATAAAAGTTACAAAACGCATAACAGAAAACAACTGATTTCTCTGAGAGAAGTGTAGTAGAGAGGTGATCAAGAACCATTGACGCCATCATCGATTTTCCAGAGCCAGGGGGTCCGTGTAGCAAAAGTGCTTTACCATCTAGGTTACACCATTCTCGATATTGTTCTGATTCAAGAAACCACTGGCAGTACCCTGGGGCACATTTTGTCAGGTTATGGTCCAGTTGAGACTGATAATCGATTGCTGACAACCAGCGAAAAGGATCCACTTGGGAAGATCGTAGGGGAGGAGTATCTGAAATATTATTAGCTGATTGAATGATACATTGAATAATGACCAATGACCAACCTGGTTCAGTATCTTGAGATGGAATGTATTCCACAATGCCTTTTGCACAAGCCACTGCATTAGCTGTCGCAAGGTCCTGCCAAGTCTCGTTTTTGTGTGAATCTCCATAGTCACAAATGCCGCTAATCAGAAGATACGGTACAGTTGTCCTGAAGTACGCTGCCTTTTGCTCTATACAAAGCATATCAATTGTATAATCAATTTCGAGCCCATTCCAGATGGTACTTCTCTCAATGACCCAGGTTTCAGAAATGGTCTTTCCGAAGTGGACTTTAATATCTCGGGGCGGCCTGGGGGTACTCTGCGAAACATCGCAATGATAACACGCTGCAGATACTTCTCCAAGCCCGTCGCCTACTGAAGCGGAACTGTTGATAGTTTCAGGCGTATCCACATGCTTGTAATTTGCATAAAACAATATATCTTGCGTTCGGTCTGGATTGAGGCGTAAAGAACGCAGATGAGGTGCCTTCTCCTTCGCTTCTTCGATATGCCTTGGTATTGTGCCCGAATAGAAATCTATGAACGCCAATTCTACCTGATTTAAAGCAGAGAGTAAGGAGGTAGGAAAGTGTTCCCAAGCTTCAGGTGGGTCGTTTGTATATTGAGTCGAATTCACTCGTTGGAGGTGCTGCGGGGGTTTGGTGACGACAACGTCGCCTAGCTGAAGAAGTGGCGATATTCCGCTACCAATTCCAATAATGAAACAGTATTGAATAGAAGGAAATGACTTGCGCAAGTCATTTGGATTCAGTCTCTTCGTCGGATCCTCGATAGAATCTTCGATACGCGGACATGAAATGACGATATTGTGATGGCCAATAGATCCCTTTATATATGTATAAGAGGCATTGATTGGGGCCGTCGGATAAGCATATCTTTTATCCAACATAGCAACCGCCAGGGATAGCGTCTTTGAATTCGAGCATATCCATCCTATGGTGTATTCCTCTGTGAGACGGAAGCGTTTGAGATTGCTCTTTGGCGGCGAGCGACTGGATGAAATATCTTCGTGTGCTGTGTTTGTCTCCTCTGACGACTCTTCTGTAACCAAATTGTGCAACCATTCATTGACATTGGGTACAGATATTGCTCTAGAAACAGCACTGAGAGTTGTTTCATTCAAGATAACATCAGATGGGGTATTAGCTGTCGTTGTCTCATCCCTTGCTACAAGTTCTGCAAATGATGATTCGTCTTCTTCTGCATCAAAATCTCGAAATATCGAGTCTTTTCGACCCCGCAACTGGCCTTGATGACTTTGTGATGAATGCCCAGACTCGGTATCGCCGTCTGAAACGTTCGGACCATTGTGGAGGGCAAGTTGTGCAAGCCGTTCCAGATGGAAAATCAGATGTGATTGCATTTGTGCAATATCAGAGAAGCCGCTTGGACAGAAGGGGCAGTCTCGGTGAATTCGCATTGAAGGGCCGACAACAGCAGCAACTAATGCAGGTGAGAAATGCTCGGGAGTACTGTCGGGATGAGAGTCTTCTAAGTGCTGGATATACTCTGGCTGAGTTTCAAATTCTTCACTGTGTTCATGACAATGCCAGACGCGCGTATGCCCGTTTTCATGATTAATCCATTCTTGTCGGCTTCCATAGACTTGGTTCGGGTCTAGGCATTGTTCATACGTGCAATGGTACGGCTGCAAATCATGGATTAAGTGAACGCTATAACAGCCGCATTAGAAGAAATTCATTAGATGGAGAACAATCCACATGGTAATACTTACATCCACACATTCTTTTGGAGGTACTTCTCGGGACATAAAGTCTTGCAATATGGACAGATGAAATAACCGCCTATGATGTCTACTTTTGGCGGATCTGGCCACTCAAGCTTCTTACCACCAGGGCTAATGACTGTCGATACCCGAGTCTGGTATGAAATGGCAGATCTGAGGTCACCGGGCTTCAACGTTGTAGCTGTCGTCGTCGAAATTGGTATGACAGGTAACGCTGCCTGTTCTGTGTTCTCAAACTTCGGATTGGCCTGCAAAGGACTCTGGACAGGCCCATCTGTTCCAGGGTGAATCTGAACAATTTTTCGCTCAGGCAATTCAGCTCGCATCTGGTTAAGCCTAACAACATGCTCTCTCCAATAGATAAACTGTTGCTTTCGGCGGGCATTAGCAATGCCAGTTCTCCGGAGAAGCCAATGTCCTGCGGACGAATATTTGGCGAACATTTCAGCAGCGTCATATGCCGTCGCTGTCTTGTCGGTATTCTCCATTAGGTACTGGCGATGCAAATAACAAACGGCCGCAATCTCAACTTCCTCTCTCTCCTGTATCTCGGCATCTCTCTTTTCAGCCGGCACATGCTTGTATAGCTGATGTATGTTGCGTTGTGGCCGATGAAGTGAGCTTCTGATCTTGTCTGCAAGGCTATAAAGCGTCGTGATAGCGTCATTCAGGCCATTAAGTCGGAAATCAACCTCATGGAACGAACTGTTATCGCTTGGAGAGGATAATTCACTAGCTTCTGGGGAGTTATCTCTCTCGGAATTCGATCTATCGCTGTCGTTATCTACTGTCTCACGATCACCCTTCGGGATTTCCTGTGCTTCGTATGGGAGGCGTTCGTTACGTTCTATCGCGAGAAGATTCTCTATCTATAATTACGATTAGACAACGCTCCACATGATGACACGCTATTGAGTTTAATACACTAGAAGGCGTATACAAGTTTGACTTGAAAACACTAGCGATCACTAAACGGCATTTAAAGGTACAACCTACATGTGTTTGAAGTTCTTCAAGGATGCGGGCGAATCCGGACTTGACGATTTCAGCATCCCGAACCCGGTAATCCAGAGATGCATGTCCTTGCTGATATAACCCAAGACTGTGCGCCCACAGCTGGAATCGCTGTTCTTCTGCGACCAAATGCCGATAATTCGGCGATTGCCTGAGTTGAAAGAGGACAACCAGTTGAAGCAAGTCATTCGATATTTTTCTACCGCTTGTAAAAAGCTCAGTAGAGTCCATTTGATCCGTATTGCCCGCAAGGTCGAGTCGTCGATCAACGAAAGATGAAGAGAGGTAAGAGAAGGCTGTATTTCAGCCTAGAAGAGGCCCTAGAAACAAGGCAGGGATTGTGAGATAATTTGAGCGCTATCCAATCGAAAAAGAACACAGCCCTCCACTGCCTCAACAGTGCACAAGGGTGCCTATAATTGAATATTACCCCTCTTTCAGCCTCAAAGAATTTGCACTCGAGCCATATCTACCAAACAAAGAGCGCTGTGCAAACAGCTCCACGCAAACAGCTTGGAAACATCATGTCTGGTTTCGAAGTTGCTGGACTGGTTCTTGGGATCATACCGCTGGCGATATCTGCACTTGAGCACTACAAAGCCGGACGAGGCGTTGTGGCGACATTTGTCAAGTTCCATGGACAGTTGGACACACTTATATACAGGCTTAAGCTTCAACGAACGTTCTTTTATCTAAATATTCTCGACTTACTGCGAAATGCTGGTGTTAGCGAAGTGATCAACAAAACAGACATAAGCGAAGAAGAATGCATCACCATTCTCCGGAATGCGAAGACCGCAGAAGAAATCAGAGATTACATAGCGTCCGAACACCTGTATGATACCTTTGATGAAATATTGAGAAGATACGAAACCTGTTTGAAAGCAATCATAAGCAAACTAGGTCACATAAAGAGACCACCAAAGGTTTGTAGATGCATAAAGGTGTCATAAGAGCAGGCGACTGATTCTCATATCACAGGCTGCAAAAGATGACTTGAAAGCGATTCTTAAGACAAATCCCGTAGGAACCTCTGTTTTTGCATTTAGAGAGCGACTGAGCTTTACCATTGAGAAAGGGAGTCTCAAACAGCTTGTAGAGGAGCTGAGTGAAGATCGGCTTTCCCTGAGGGAGATGGTTGATAGCTTGAAGACGCAGCAAGTATACACAGCGCGAAATCCGTCTCATGATGCCCAAAAACTGGCAAGCATGCTTTCAAAAGTCCAGCGACAAGCAACGCCACTGTTCGAAGCCATGCGTAAAGGATGTAACTGTGGCTGTGAGAAAAAGCACAAGATCTTCATGAGACTGGATAGCAGGGTTCCCTTGAAGAAAAGCAGACAAAGCAAGCTGAGAGAACAGACTGAATTCAGTCTCATCTTTGACCATCATGGATACCTCCAAGAAACCCATGTCAACGTTCACGAAGATGATTTCAACGAAGACTACGACATTAAAACTACCTCCAGAGTTGTGTTCGTCCAAGAAGTTACGGAGCAGCACAGTGAAAGAATAGTGACCCTAATTTGCCAGCATGTTTCTGAAGCACAAGCGGCGGGCCACATTCTGAAACTGAGGCTAAACAATGAACACCTTTTCCTTGTTGACGGTCCGTCTGAGAATAGGCGGAACTTCACAGCTCCGATAACACTAGCGGATATCCTCAAGGCCGGATACCAAGACGATGACGCCAAGATGTTCCCAAAGGAACAGACGCTGTTGGCTCTCAAGGTCGCATCATCAATTCTACAACTACAACAGACGTGGTGGTTGGGGCTACCGTTCAACAGCAACGAGATCAAGATATTGAGTCCGCAAGAGAGATCACTCATCACTGCGGGCAGCTTCCCTTTCATTGAACAACTTATGGGAGAATTTCCACCACCGCCATATGTAAAGGCGATTGAGAGCGACGCATGCATCGGTCCAGATCCTAAAACAGCTTTGACGGAGCTGGCAATCTTGTTACTCGAAATCTGGCATCACAGGCCACTTGAGGCATGGTGTCAAAAGTCGGGTAAAGAGAATCCAACTTCGCCACAAGGACGTATGATGGTAGCCATCGAATGGTTGCAGGCCACATCAAGACGTCTACTGCCGTATCAAAGCCAGGTTATTGAACAATGTCTACAAGTATGTGCCGGGTCTCTCCGATTCTGGCATGAAAAGGAATTTTTGAAGATGTATTGTGAGAATATCATCAAGCCTTTACAAGAGATTCTTGGTACATGGGATGCGTCTGGGAGGGCATATAGCTAACCCGAAACTTGACATTTCTTCATGCTTTGCCATTCAAAATTCCAAGAGTAACACTGTACTTAATTTGTTTATAGATACCTTCAGCGCTTTTTCCGGTTACTTCAGGCCACTCCGATAAAAAAAAATGCATGGATATACTACAAGACGACGATGCAAGCAAATAGAACGCTGATGCGAAATCACGTTCTTTATATGACCATCATTACCATCAACGGCTGCTTTAGCATTTTGTAGCTAGACTAACTATGGGACTTAGTTCGTCTCATCTAAATCATCTCAATAAGTGCTAGGTTGAGACATTCTGGCTTTTCAGGAACTGCGCGCTAAAAGGATAGTCAATGTAGCCCGATGCCTCGTATGGTGTATAGAATGTCTCGCGTTTGTAGTGAGTAAGTTGCAGCCCTTCCTTGATCTTATACACCAGATCGGGGTTTGCAATAAAAAATCTTCCGTACATGACGACAATATCCTTGGAAGGATATTTATTGATTAGTTGCTGGGCATCTTCAACCTTGTAGCCACCAGCAATCAGAAGCGGTTTGTCCCAGAGTTCATAGGCGAAGTCCAGTGTTTCGCTGCCTTCGTAGTCTTCGGCGCCAGATATGCGAGATTCCACCAGGTGAAGGTAAGCCAAGTTCAGCTTATTAGCCCTGCGTATGATGTCTGAAAACTGGGGAATCGGATCTGTCATTTTCATGCCCTGAAATGAACTCCATGGGCTAAGACGAAGCCCGACTCGTTCTGGCCCTATAGCGTCGACGACAGCTTTCATGACTTCGTCTATAAAGCGGGATCTGTTCTCAACGCTGCCACCGTAGTCATCATGGCGCTGATTGCTATTATCTTGACTGAATTGGTCAATCAGGTAGCCGTTTGCACCATGGACTTCGACACCGTCAAAGCCTGCAAGCATGGCGTTTTTTGCAGCTGTTGCAAAGTCTTGGACTGTTTGCTTGATCTCCTCAAGTGTCATAGAGCGTGGTACTGGTGCGGTTTCATCAATGGGGATAGGACTAGGGCCTACAATGTCGACTCCGTCCTTTTTAGCTGTCTCCTTGTCCGCAGCACGTCCGAAGGCAAAGATCTGGCAGAAGATGAAGCTTCCTTTGTCATGAACTTTATCGGTGACTGATCGCCAGGCGGTAATTTGTTCTTCGCTCCATATACCAGGCGCATTTGGAAATCCACCACAAGACTCGGGTGATATTAATGTGCCCTCGCTGATGATTAGAGTGCCCGGCACGGCCGCCCGCTGGCTGTAGTATTCGGCCATAAGCGGCAGAGGAACACGATCGTCCGTTGCACGGAGGCGAGTTAGCGGAGCCATTCCTATGCGATGGCTCAACACTATATTGCCTATTGTCAAAGGTTTGAAAAGGTTGTTGTTTTCCATTGTTAAAGAGAATTGGGGTTGTTAATAAGCTGGTTTAGTTGTGGTTTTTGTCTGCATGCACGAATGTTTCTACTGGGCAGCATCTACGGCTTTATATTTTCTATAAATGAAGAAAAAGACCCCTGAGACATATTTGAGATTGTTTATTCACGTCTCAATCTCAGCAAAATACTTACACGTAGTTCCAATTACAGCATGGAGGATGCTAGTCCAGAGCAACGTACTTCCAAATCGGGCAATAAGGTGCATCCCGAAAAGAATAGTGGGACCAACGCCACGGTCGGAAGAGACTTTAACTCATGATTTATAAGCGGATGCATCAAGTTATCTCCTTGCAGGCTCCAATCTTACATGTAGGTCCTTTTAGCAAGCAAGTTATAGCAGACTGATGATGAACCAAGAGAAGCAGAGCGCAGTTTGATGTGTCTTGCTATTGAGTCCTTTACAACCCAAGCCAGAACGTGGTCCGCTTAGCTGGTGACTATTACGCAATGCGCAATATGGTTGCCCGGCCTCTCACACCAGAAGGTAAGCAACGCAGATCCGATTAGTCTCGCATCAACTAAGCTTTAAACCTGGCCAGCCGACGATTTCAAATTCATATCAGTTAAAGGCCCTTACAGCAAACAGGGCCGGGGTGTGAGTCGCTTGGCTAAATCACATGCGACCAAGCGAGGCCTAAAGGCGAAACGGCTGCTCGAACAAAAAGCAAACCACAATTTTCGGGTAGCAGTTCTAGGGGAGGAGAGCAATGCGCTAGTTAATGAGTCCCGTCTTATAAATCCACCAGTATTACACCGGTCTTTATCTGCGGGCAAGATCGATCCATTTGGCGTGCTTCCCGTGGATACCTCGCGGCTACAGATACTACTAGGTGACAGTGAGTAATTACTCGTTGCAAAGCGCCTGGATTCTTTTTAACAATAGATGGCATAGGCAGAGCCAGGATAGCCTCCGAGCCTGTCTTCAGTACTACCGAGGAGCTCGCATTCCAAAATTTCTACGCCGTATTTCGTACAGGCTTAACTGACCCTGCACTTTCAAATGCCGTCATGTTTTCTCTATTATCTGCAGTGACAGAGGGAAATTTAGACATCGAATGCCTAAAGTACAAGGGCTGTGCTATCGGATGTATTAGAGATAAGATTGCCTGTATCAAAGGGGCCGTGTCAGAGTCTACAATCGGAGCTATTCTTCTATTGGCGGGTGTAGAGGTGGGTAGGCATCTATGCCGGACTTGGCTTACAGGAGTATTAACTCATCTTACTCAAGGCTCAGTTGGGAATGACCTCTCAGGTCGTACTTCACATGTCAGCTGTAAGACAGCTACTCGACATCTCTCGCAGCGATGGTATTTACCTCACGGGTGGCATCAAGCGTGCAATATTCTGGTGAGTCGGACACTCAATTGGAAGACAAAGGTTGATACCTGACAAATGTATAGGCAAGACTTGAATGCATCAATTCTGTCAGGCTCTGACCGAATAGTCAATCACAATACCTTCTCAGAGCTACGGTGGCAACGAGACTCATTCACACCAAGTTTCTACCGACTTTCACCGGGATTTGACGTAATATCCCACTTGCTCAGTGAGGATTTCGTCGAAATACTGGAAGATCTTCATGCATTGCAATGCATACGAAACTATTCAAGCTATGAAAAGGGCGATCCGTTTCTGATGGCCTACATAAACAACCATACCGCCTCTATTCAATCGAGGCTTGCGAATTTTTTGGCAACTCCTTCCCCCATACTAAAATGCTGCTCTACTGCAGCGTATATATGTTCTATCATGCTGTGTTGCCATCCTTGGTGCGCTCTGGTAATTCCGGTAAGTTATGTTGCTCTGGGATTATAGTTGGTAATGTGCTAATGTGTAATCTGCAGTCATTTTTATCCTCCCAACTTCTTGACCAATTACAAAAGGTCGAAAAAGATTTTATGGGTGACGAATACTCCCACTTGCTGCTTTGGCTGCTGTATGTCGGCGGCACATTTGCTTCACCCGGACCAGTTCGATCAACCTATGTTAAACTTCTTCGATCGAATATAATTACGAGGTTCCGCGGTATCGATAATTCTTATTCGAAGATATTTGAGATTATGAGAAAGTTTATTTGGTCGGATTTCGCTTTCTTCTCCAAAGCATCGTTGCTGTGGGAAGAGATAGTCGTATAATGAAAAGGCTATTTAACTAATACAGAGTTAGTCCGATTATAATTGATAGAGTTAATATACTTGGTTCAGAGATTAAAACGGAGCACTTAACTATACCTTAATAACTCGAGACCCTGTAAGAAGTTTATAGTACGAGGGTTGGTGTTGATCACAATGATTGGACGTCGGTGGTGTCTGCTTGAATAACAAGGTTTCGTGACACTGGCCCTATAATAAAAGTAATCGGCGTTATGAGATAGTCCCAAGAAGAATCCCTAGAAGAATCCCAAGAAGAATCCCAAGAAGTAAACCCCGTCTCTTTGGGGTAACCTGTGATGCTCGAAGAGTTCACTTAATTTCGTGAGATTGAAGGGAGCGGCGGTACCCCAAGTACCGATAGCAACTTTGAGAAACCATTTGCCACTTAATTACTTATACTACAGTCCTTGGCAAAGTCTAGCGGGCCCGGGGAACTGAGCATCTAGATCAATAAGGGAAGGGAGTCACGGGTGCAAGTCTGTTTCCTGGTGAGGTTAGGACGGCAAGTAAAAACACGAGATTTACTCATAGAAACATCAGGCTGAAGATAATTAGCAGGAATTTACTCGTCTATAGGCCGCTCTGACCCGCTTGTTTCTGTTTTCTAACCAACAGCTAGACGCTGCAACCCCCCGGGTATTCATGTAAGAAGTGCTTCTCCGGCATTTCCACGGAGGAGCTCATCTCTCTCAGCGATGGAACGTTGATTCTATTGCAACGATCGTATATACGACCATTAAACTTCCATGTTCGCTTACTTCGCTTGTGTCGGCCGTCATGGGATGCTCATCTTTAACCATCTTCATCCCTATTCACGGGAAGTTGCTTGATGGCTTATGTGGAGATAATGGCCAATGCTGGCTGACTAGACCATGTTTGGTAACTGTCAGCGAGAATAGACTATTGGCTAGTTTCAGCAAGTTCAGGCATTGTTTCCAATATTAAATCACTAGTACGGAGAACAATTCATGCTCATACGTCATTCCGTTAAAATTCTAAATCGCTATCCCTACTTAATTCGAATGATGCCCAACCGCCTCAGTTCATGCGATTCATGCTACTCAGACATCACAAACACTCAGAATCATGAAATTGATATTAGATATCGGTGGGGCTGAAGAGGTAACTTTTGGCCCTGAAGATGAAATCCGGGGTACTTTGAACATTCTAGGCCACGGCGGCCAAGCGCTGTCCCATCTAAGGGCTACTTTTGGCGGTAAGACGAAGCCATATTCACAACTCGCGATTTCAGTCATTAATAGCGGCTAGGTCGACTCACAATTTCCATACCGGCGCAGATTGCTGGCCCTAATCCAAGCAATTTGGAATTTACGGTATGAAATAAGTCGTCGGATCGCTCATGTGACTACTTGACGCTAATATAGGGAACAGCTATTCGAGGAAAATAAAGAATTCGGACATGATGATGCCACATCGAACAAGGATGATCCCGTCAATGGCATTTACATTGTCCCATTCAGTTTTCGATTTCCCTCTCATGCCCCATGTTTCAGGCATAAACACGCTTTACATCTACCTCCATCAATGAACATACGCGAAGCAGAATCAAGAATTCGGGTCGAATACTACGTCGTCGGAGCCGTGGATCGACAAATATTTGGCCCTCTATCCAAGACAACGAGAGTTGTCAAAGGGTTAAAATTCTGCAACAACGCCCCCATCAATAGGTCGCCTATTTTGCAGCCTAATGCTAGCCTGCCATTGATACTGCGACAGAAGGATGGCTCAGGACGACTCGAAGATGGAATTGACGGGTTACCAGCATATACGCCATCTATACGCGTCGAAGCACTCCTCCCAAACCCACCAGTTCTTTTCAGAGGACAGGCAAACCCCATCAAATTCATCTTACACACTCCACCAGAAATAGTGGGTAAAATATTCGTACGAAAGGCAGATATTATCTTCAAAACTTCCACAGCAACCGTTGTCGAATCAGTTACCCGGCGCGTTGATGAGCAATTCCTAGGGGCAAGCACATGTGGAACTTTCCCTGTCGATTCGGAGAGGCTGGTGCTTGATTCAGGTACCTGGGAACGACTTTTCAGACTCAACTTGAAACCGTCATTTGAATCATGCGTGATGCAGATAAAGCATTCAGTTGAAATCAAGGTCGGCATATCGATTGGATCTGAAGGAAGCATCTATGTAAGATTTCCATACGAACCCCTCCCATTATATGTTTTTACAGAGCTAACAGTATGTAGTATACTTCATCTTTGTTGGATGTGCTAATAACAGATCCACCACCGGCGTATGAAGATGCTGAATGAGGGAGGACGAGAAAGAAATGAGAATTTTACAGACATAATTGTATTATAGAGCGACCTAGCTTCGGCAGGCAATTAGAGCATAGATACCATGAACAAATCTCACTGTATAGATCACTGCAAATACTCGCGCTTTCGGACTTCAAGGGAGCAAGCAACTCAATAACGCGGCCAAGGGTCGTTTTCTGCTGTAACTCGCCTTCATTAATCACGCAAGTTTGGTATATAGCACGGCCGTGTTTTAATTTGGTACAATTCACGCCGCATCAGATAGACCACGTTCTAGGTTGGAATTATTGATCATTAATCCATGGATAACCTAGTCATGGCGGTACCGCATCGGATGCCGAACGGCGAGACTCGGCTGTGGAGTACAATCGATCATCAGCATCGTTTCGGCAACCCTTCCGATACGTGAGCCCTGTTGCCGGATTAAGGCATAGCGAGCGAGCTCATCCCTGCTGCCTAGTTGTTGAGATGCTCTCACAAATGCGATTGGGTTTACTCTTCATCATCTTAACCTCTCATCAGCGTGATGGCAAGCATAACATCCCATTATGGCTATTACCGAGCGGCTAATCTATTACCAACAACGAAGCAGTTATTGGCGGCCTGGATGACTAAGATAATTGGGGCTTTGATGAGTTGGTGTTTCAAATCTAAAAATAAAGGCACTGTGGGAGCTGTTAATCTGGGCTGCCAAGGCTGCATATTGACTTATTTCACACATCGCTAGGAGCATAATTTCCGTCTTTCTACCGACTTGCAGCATCGCAAATATGTAGACATGCTAAGCCGAGGCATTCATACTAGAGAAATTTAGCTTACTGTGCTCATTAATAGGATAACGGCTGAGCAACGGTAACTTTTGGTTCCGCACTGTCCATGGCTCCATTGCATTACATCATCTATCGCACAACTGAACAGCCATTTTTGAGTAATGGAATCATCGGAAGAGAGTTATGAACAGCCATTTTTGAGTAATGGAATCATCGGAAGAGAGTTATGAACTCACTATCGCATTAGATTCCATGTAGTTTAATTGGCAAATAATCTTTGGAGGTTTATGAATGCCTCAACTGTAAGTGCAACCTAGGGGTATGCATACAGCCTGGCGATCGTATAACTTAGCCTAGTAATTGTTATTGAAAGGCATTAAATCAGACGAAATTTTTGTGTCATTATCTACTGCATCATTATGAAAGCTCTATATTTTATAATGAAGTTTAAATACATAGTGTTATGATCAATCATATACGGTCGGCGGGCATTGACGTCAACATAGAATCACATCTTACATCGTGTGTGTCTATGACGGTGATGTATGAGTGACGGCTCGACGCAGTACGTCGCCACTCTTAAGCCCATGGCAGAATTGATATAGAACAATACGTATAAAGTATGTGCTCGCAGTTTAAATACATTAAAAATTACTCGTAGCATTCTTATCCAAAAACCACTGCGGGAAGAAAAATGTCGAATATCATTCCACCATCAGTGAAGCAAGCAGTCATGGGTCACAAAGGCGCAAAGACGGACCAACTGGCGGCGCACACCGTTGAGCCAACCAAGGATAGTAGAATTACGTCTGATTTTGGCACAAAGCAGACAAACACAGATGACTGGCTACGGGTTAATAGCAAGGACCAGATAGGCCCAATGCTCTTGGAGGATCCCTTCGGACGCGAAAAGGTTTGTCCCGTGTTGACACAGCGGAATGATGTTTGCTCGGACGGAGCTAATTGCGAGAATCGCAGATACATCGATTCGACCATGAACGTATTCCAGAGCGAGTAGTCCATGCCCGAGGCACTGGAGCATTTGGAACGTTCCGTCTCTTCGAATCTGCCGAGGATGTTACCCACGCCAATGTTCTCACGGATACGTCCCGCGAGACCCCCGTCTTCCTTCGCTTTTCAACTGTGCTTGGGAGTCGTGGCTCGGCTGATACTGTCCGTGATGTACGCGGCTTCGCAGTCAAGTTTTATACACAAGAGGGTAACTGGGATATTGTGGGCAACAACATCCCCGTCTTCTTCATCCAAGACGCGATCAAGTTTCCCGACCTCATCCATGCCGGAAAGCCAGAGCCGCACAATGAAGTCCCACAAGCCCAGTCGGCTCATAACAATTTCTGGGATTTCGTCCAGATGCACTCTGAAGCCACGCACATGTTCATGTGGACCATGTCGGATCGCGCCATTCCTCGCTCATACCGGATGATGCAAGGATTTGGAGTTAATACATATACACTCACCAATGCCGCCGGCGTTCGCTCATTTGTCAAGTTCCATTTCACTCCAGAGCTCGGAGTGCATTCTCTTGTGTGGGACGAGGCACTCAAGCTTGCTGGCCAAGATCCCGATTTCCACCGAAAGGACCTTATGGAAGCAATTGACAACGGAGTATACCCCAAGTGGAAGTTTGGCATTCAAACAATTGAAGAGTCAAATGAAGACGATTTTGACTTTGACATTCTCGATGCCACAAAGGTGTGGCCGGAGGATTTGGTCCCCATTCGTTACATCGGCGAGCTAGAACTCAACAAGAACGTGGATGAATTCTTCACTCAGACCGAGCAGGTTGCATTCTGTACAGGCCATGTCGTTCCGGGAATTGGCTTCTCAGACGATCCTCTTCTTCAGGGTCGTAACTTTTCCTATTTTGATACTCAGTTGAGCCGCCTGGGCACCAATTGGCAGGAATTACCCATCAACAAGCCTGTCTGCCCCGTCATGAACTTCAACCGTGACGGCGCCATGCGACACACCATCAACAAGGGTAAAGTCAATTATTGGCCCAACCGATTCGAAGCACAACCGCCAGCAACCAAGGAAGAGGGCGGCTATGTCGACTACCCGGAGAGGGTTGTCGGCATCAAGGAGCGAGCAAAGAGCGCCAAGTTCAAGGATCATTTCTCTCAAGCTCAGCTCTTCTTCAACTCACTCTCCGAAATTGAAAAGTCTCACATGCTGGCCGCATTTTCATTTGAGCTCAGCCACTGTGACGAACCAATCGTGTATGAGAGACTTGTGAAACGGCTCGCTGACATTGATCTCGGCCTCGCCCAATCTGTCGGTAAGATGGTGGGAGGGGCAATCCCCGACAAGGCAGGACAGGCGAATCACGGGAAGAAGGCCAAGGGTCTTAGCCAAATGGAGTATCTTCCTGATGAGCCCATCATTGCTTCTAGACGAATCGGCATTATTGTGGCTGATGGATATGATCCGATTGCCTTCAACGCCATCTATGGAGCAATCCAAGGAGCCAAAGCTATCCCGCTTGTGATTGGCACGCATCGGTCTGAGACGTTTGCAGATGGAGAAAGCCAATCTGGCAAGGGCATTGTCCCAGACCATCATCTAGAAGGCCAGCGCAGCACCATGTTTGACGCTCTGTTTGTGCCGGGGGGGAAGCAAGCCATTGAGACGCTTTCTAAGAATGGCCGAGCATTGCATTACATCCGTGAAGCTTTTGGTCATCTCAAGGCTATCGGAGCTACTGGAGAAGGTGTTTTGTTGGTTGAGAAGGCACTTCAGTTGCCAACAGTGGTGACGTCGAGTGATAATGAAGCTGTGGAGAGCTACGGCGTGGTTACACTTAAGAGCGTGCATCCCGAACGATTGGGCGAGCTAGTGTCTGCTGCGAAGAATGCAAAGGGTTTCTTGGACAAGTTTGTCTATGCGATTAGCGTCCACCGTTGCTGGGAGCGTGAGATTGATGGGCTCAGCGCTATGGTAGCATATTAGTCGAGGGCAATGGAGCCAATAGTCTAGTAAGAGCAACGAGCTGACAGAATGTTAATAAACCTCCACATGCAAATGGAAACGGCTCCCAACTTGGAATGATGCTGGTAAAATTTAAGCTTATTCGAGATGTCAAAAACCCAACTTGGACGTTTCCAGGTATGGAGTTTGCGTATAAGGTGACATCGTTTGGGAATAGTGAAACAAAAGTCTTAGTTCCAAGGGGCTGCAGTTCATGCTTATGCAGCTAGCTTGTTAGCTATCCCCAGATGATCTACCGACGGCAATATTCAGTTTGGTGTAACCCCATCTGCCATTATTTGGGAACACATCGCCATGCGTGCTCATTCACTTGGACAACCAGCGTCGCGAGGCGAGACATTGCTTCGCCTTGTGATCAATACTTTTGAGTAGTTCGATGTGGTACAAGGAGAACAAACTCGCCTGTACCTCCTAGATTGTATGAAGATGAGATGCTAGTTGAGCTGTGATTGAGTGTACAAGAAGGCACAATAGAAGGCACGAGGCTCGTATTTGCGGTGTGGGATTGCAGGGGTGATATCTACCTTCCAAACTGCGGGTTAATTAACGATATGGATATGTTATATATATCCACGGTTTCCTATCTGGAAAAAAGGCTCACCCATTTTCACATCGTGGAAACCCGACAAGCAGAAAATATCCCGCAATGGGCGCCTCAAACTCTACTCTCGCTCTGGAGACGTGCATACAGAGCGTCTGTAATGGACGCTTTGAATGCTACCATATCCCGAGCAGCAGTGCAGACGTCGCCTGGATCAAGCCGTACAATCTCGACATTCCTCGATTTCCTCAGATGGTCGTTCGTCCCAACAATGCCACCGAGGTCGCCGGCGCAGTGAAATGCGCAAACGAAAATGGTTTCAAAGTCCAAGCTAGATCTGGCGGGCACTCTTACGGGTGAGGAGTGGAGGAGATTACCGTGTAATAAATTTCCCGGGCTATCATCACTAACTTGTGACATGCAGAAATTTCGCTCAGGGTGCCGGCGATGAGACTGGCATGATGATCGACTTGGTAAATCTTCAGAGCTTCCAAATGGACAACACTACTTGGCAAGCGAGCGTTGGATCAGGATTCAGACTGGATGGACTCGACAAACTGCTTCATGCAAATGGCGGCAGGGCTATTGCACATGGTACTTGTCCGGGGGTTGGAGTTGGAGGGCATGCAACTGTGGTAAGTAAATACGCGTATTCCATGTCCCTACTCTGAAGTGTCATGGATGATTGAGCCATGCGTTGATCGGTTCTTGAACAGGGAGGACTAGGCCCCATGTCCAGAATGTGGGGAGCCGCACTCGACCATGTCCTAGAAGTCGAAGTCGTTACAGCTGACGGTCAAATATTACGAGCCAATGAAAACGAAAACGACGACCTGTTTTGGGCCATCCGAGGTGCCGGAGCCAGCTTTGGCATCGTCACTGAGTTTGTCTTCAAGACGCACCCTGAGCCCGGCAGTGTCGTCGAGTACACTTATAGCTTCAGCTTTGGCAACCAGAAGGAAATGGCGCCCGTATTCGAACAATGGCAGGAGTTGGTGTACGATCCTAATCTTGACCGACGCTTCTCAACATTGTTCATTGCGGAGCCTCTTGGCGCTCTCATCACCGGCACGTTTTACGGTACGCAAGAAGAATTCGACCAGACAGGAATCAAGGATAGAATTCCCGTTGGTGGAGACGTCAATCTTGCTATTGTAGATTGGATGGGAAGCTTGGCTCATATTGCAGAGACGACTGCGTTGTATCTGAGTGACCTCTCCACGCCGTTTGCCAGCAAGTCGCTGGCATTCGACAGAAACGACAAGTTGAGTAAAGACTCCATTGATGGATTATTCAACTACATGGATAGCACCGACGCGCAAACTTTGCTTTGGTTCATCATCTTCAACTCTGAGGGAGGCGCCATGGCAGATACCCCATACAACGCCACTGCTTACCCGCATCGCGATGCAATCATGATGTATCAATCCTATGCCATTGGAATCCCGGCGTTACTCCAAGGAACGAGAGATTTTGTCTCTGGAGTTCATCAAAAGATTCAGCAAGGAGCTCCTGAGGCCAACACGACATATGCTGGTTATGTTGATGTTTCGCTGAGCAGAACGGATGCCCAGTGGACGTACTGGGGTGACAAGGTGCCGAAACTGCAGGAGATTAAGCAACGTTATGATGCTGGGAACATTTTTCTGAACCCTCAGAGCGTTGATTTACCATGAGAAGAGGTTGAGAGGGAGTCGGGAGGGTGGAAATATTGATACCAATCATGATTATCGTTCTCTCACCGTCGAGTGTTGTTTCTAGACATTAGAACAGCATTGTTTTTGGATGGGGCTTTTAGTTGATAGCTTCAAGGTGTTGATGAGCAATAGAAGGATGCAATATCTTTCTAGATTCATTTTAAGCTACTGTATTATAATTTTCGAATAGGTCCATAGGAGTTGGAAGGTGAGGGTTTTCCTTTGTTTAGATATGTGTGATCTGTCAACGTTGTCAATAGCAGAATACCTACCCTACTACCGAATATGGCTACGCATTTCTTAATACCACATTAGTACCAACCTAGGTATTATATGAGATGAGAAAAGCAATTTATCTATAAAATACCTATATATCTGCTAAGATAATTTGACACATGTAGTTGACATCTACGTCATGGCAGGTACGTACCTCGAACCAGATGCACGAATAATGGCAGGTGCGGCTGCTGGAGAGGCGTTGGGCAACCGCCCGAGGGCCGCCGACGTGGTGAACACAGTGGGGGCAGGGGCGACCGGTGCCGGACTCTTACGTTTCCTGCCCAAGACGCAGGCGAGTTACAGCAGGCAGGAACGGCGGCTACAGCTGGGGGACACATGACTTGTGTTCCATTTGTAGGTGTTTGTTTTACTTGGTACCTCACTCTTGTTTCATTATTTATTTTATTCCGTATTCCGTAACTGCCGATGCAATGTTTTTATTGCTTTATCATTATATGCAAATACTGTACATACCTATTCTCTTTCTTCTCCTTTTATATCATCCACTTAGATAAACTAATTAAATAAAGCAAATCCAGAAACGGAATATTTCTGGAGTAATTACAGAATATACTCCGTATTAGACAAGTTGGACCGCTCAGCTAAGACATTCCCATCTCCACTACCCCGCGTTATTGCAGCTCTCCAACTCTCCTTGTTGCTACCGAGAGGGGCATCTAATCTGTCCGTTTATGAGCCAATCGGGGTTTCACTTCCGCGGCCAGTCTCGGCACAACTACCAGATTACTCAGATAGGCGACTATGGGGGCATCACGAGGCTCCAGCGGGCATCACCGGACATTACGCGGAATCGCCCTAAGCATAGCGATTAGATAACGTTATCCTTTAGCTGGTGGGTAGTTTTCCAAATAACTGCCCAACAAGGAACTACGCGCGCACTTGGGAGAGCTTCGGATACATGGATTGTGTGTTCTTGTTGCATAACCTCCATTGGCGGATACGCATCACGGGAGCTGTCCTCCTGTCATCTTCTTTGCGTCCAGACATCTTTCAACATTGGCATCTTCATTAACCAACCGGGACTTTCCTTTCCTTTCCTTTCCTTTTCTTTCATCTTCCTCTTTCTCCAATCTCTCTTACAACCCCCAAGCAACCACCACCTCCAAGATCCCCACGCCAAGGCACTCTGCATCCCGTGTCTATCTTGTAACAAACAACCCACGCAACTAATACCCACCACCCTTGCGCTTTCTGCAGATGTAAGTTCAAGTTCCGCGATTCCGCTTGTCAACATGTCATGTCAAACATGTCAAATTTGTCTTCTTTGATACGCCCTTGGATCTACCAAAGCCCTTTATGTCATCACGCGTGGCTACATGGTAGTTCCAACGGAGACTCCCATCTCTATCCTAACTCGATGCCGAACCACAACAGCCGCCCCCTCACAAGCTTTCCCCCTCCTTTCAACCCGAGTCCAACCCACCAATCCCCCTACACCATTTATACTCGCCAACATCTCAAATACCACATCCCCGTTCTTTTAGTCTGCTCCATTCAACTAATTCCAAAAACCCGCCGCCAATAGCGAGGCGGCAATGGCTCTTCTACACCGTTCCGGGACATCTCTACCGGCTCTCTGGAGAAGTCGCCTCACCGCACCGATCATCGGCGCCGTAGCTTCAACTCACACTTGCACTTACAGCCAGCCTCCATCTCGGCTACGGCATTACTCGGGTTCATCAAAAGTCACATCATCTAGAGTGCGCAGTCTCATTGATAAAAGAGCGATCCCCTCCACGGCCATTGTGAGCTCCAACAACAGACACGCTTCAACCGCCGCCATGGAGAAGCCAGATTATCAAAACATGTACACAGCCTCATCGGCCTTTTTTGAAGCGCTATGGGAGGCTGGTGTCACTCACTGCTTTGTGAACTTGGGTTCTGACCACCCCAGCATCATCGAGGCCATGGTCAAGGGTGCTCGTGAACGCAAGGGAAACTTTCCCAAGATGATTACATGTCCCAACGAGGTATGTCTCTACTTTCTTCTTTCACTCTTCTCATGTCATATATCTGATATGATCTTACATGAGTTGTTACGTATGAGTATAAATGCTTACTGATTCATTCTAGATGGTTGCCATGTCCATGGCTGATGGCTATGCTCGATTAACAGGCAAGCCTCAGTGTGTCATTGTTCACGTCGACGTTGGCACACAAGGCCTGGGAGCAGCCGTACACAACGCAGCTTGCGGTCGTGCTCCTGTTCTCGTCTTCGCTGGTCTATCGCCATTCACTCTTGAGGGTGAGCATCGCGGTACCCGTACCGAGTACATCCACTGGATCCAGGATGTTCCCGACCAGAAGCAGATTGTTGCCCAGTATTGCCGATACACTGGTGAGATCAAGACGGGCTCCAACGTCAAGCAGCTGGTCAACCGTGCGCTGCAATGGGCCAAATCAGGACCCCAAGGCCCAGTTTACCTGTATGGAGCTCGAGAAGTCATGGAGCAGGAGATTAAGCCCTACCAGCTGAGACAAAGCGACTGGGAGCCCGTCAAGCTGGGTAGTCTACCCACGCAAGCCGTCGACACAATCGCAGATGCCCTTGCCGGCGCGAAACGTCCCATGGTCCTGACGGGATACGGTGGCAGAAATCATGAGTTCCCGGGAACTTTGGTCGAGCTCGCCAATATTGTTCCCAATCTGAGAGTGGTTGACTGTGGAGGCAGCGACATGTGTTTCCCCTTTGACCACCCCGCTTCCCTCGGTCTCAACTATGGAGGCGAAATGTCTGTTGCTGATGCCGATGTCATTGTCGTCCTCGATGCTGACGTACCTTGGATCCCTACTCGCGTCAAGCCAAACCCTGATGCCAAGGTGTTCCACATCGATCTCGACCCGCTCAAGCAGCAGATGCCCGTCTTTTACCTCGAGGCTCAAGAGACGTATCGTGCAGACAGCCAGACTGCAGTTGAGCAGCTCACGGAGGCTCTCAAGACGGGTGATCATGCGAAGAAGCTGCAGTCCCAGAATGTGGTGGAGATAGCTCAGAAGCGCAAAGAAGAGCATGAGCAGCGTCTTGCCAAGATCGCCAAGGCTGCTGAGCCTCTTCCCGACGACAGCTTTGGAACTGGCTACTTGTGCCGGCAAGTCAAGAAACTTGTCCCCGAGGATAGCCTTTGGGCTATTGAGGCTGTGACCAACACCCTCTTTGTGTACGACAACATCCAGCCTTCAACGCCTGGCTCATGGATCAACTGCGGTGGTGGCGGTCTCGGATGGTCCGGCGGTGGTGCATTGGGAATGAAGCTCGCCACCGACGCGGAGAATGGCGGAAAGAACAAGGGCAAGTTTGTTGTCCAAATCGTGGGTGACGGCACATATCTCTTTACCGTTCCCGGTAGTGTGTACTGGATTTCAAAACGCTACAACATTCCTATCCTGACCATTGTGCTGAACAACAAGGGTAAGTCATTGACCACCACACAACACATTATGATTTGTTTCGAGATGGAGAAGAAGTACAGCTAATAATTGTATCATCGTATAGGTTGGAACGCACCACGCCGGTCTCTGCTGCTGGTCCACCCCGAGGGACTGGGCTCACAAGCTTCCAACGAGGAGATTAACATTTCCTTTGACCCATCACCGGATTACTCCGGCATTGCCAAGGCTGCTGCTGACGGCGACATCTTTGCCGCCAGAGTGAACGAGAGGGCTGAGCTGGAGGGTGTGCTGAAGGAGGCCATTGCCTATGTAAAGAATGGCCAATCAGCGGTGGTGGACGTCAAGGTTGCGTCGGGATGTTAATTGTTGCATGAGCGGATGATTAGAAGGCGGATAGAGGTCCGGTGAATACATGACATGGTTAGGTATCTTAGACATGAAGCATGCTTGTACGTACTGTAGAACGAATTAAACTGCGATAAAGACAAAGAATGAATGATGCTGCAGGGTTATTTTTAGCAACCTCATGATGGATGCTACAACATTGAAGGTATTATGCAGCTTCAGCTTCAGCTTCCTTTGTATCTTGTTTCCATCTGCATGCCAACTGCTGCTCTCCCACGCAAGGTACGCCACGTTACGCTGCATCTACACCGGCATTCAGCTTCAGCGAACAATCCTATGCAGCCACGTCTATTTCCTAGGGCGCCATTACCGCTTGTTTAATTTGGTATTTATATCTCGGCGCATCTGACTGCAGCATGCGCGAGGGCACAGGTAGCCGCTGATAGGAAAGTTGCTGGGATAAACACGAACGACGATTGGTCCCTTCGTTTTTGCTCCCCCAATTTTTGGTTACAGGGCCCAATGGGATGAGAACATAACATATGAGCATCATCCCACCAGGGGCTACCAACAATTCATGATGGTTTCCGTAGCTCTCCCGTGGCCAAGGCAATTCGCTAGCTTGTTGAGAATCTAGACCGCCCGAGGCCAGACGCCACGGAGGAGGAGGTGATGCATTGGATGGGCGATATGCAGGAGTTGTGAGTTTTGAATCTTGCATTGGCGCCGGGTTGGTGGATGGTGTTGGTGGGTGGGGGAGTCAGTGCATGCAATAAGCTGCAGAATCTCGGGAAATGACCTGTTATTTTTTTCGTTAGTTGTCACATGGATTGACAACGATTTGCTCATAATTTTCTGTAATTTTTACTGTTGTTGTTAGTATTCCATCTCTTGTTCAGTTCAGTTCAGTCCAGCTTCAGCTTCAATTGCTTTTTGATGGGCAGCTCAAGTGGGGGAGAATCCTTTGTGGCGTCTAGCTTCTGGACGGAACAAGCAATAATGTGATAAAAATGGTCACTCGGCAGACAGAAAAGAAGGGGTCTTTTTTCACATGGAAAGTAAAGTAAAGGGTCCTGATCGATCGGCCGTCAGAGGCTGTTAGTGTGGATCGAGAGCTGTCTTGTTGCATGTTGGGCGCATGCATGAGTCTCGGTTTAAGCTGGATATGGAATGCACTACAGTATGCATTTGATAGATGATGGTAGTTAGTTAGTAGCACAAGTAATAGTTGCTTCTAGTTATTAATATAGTATGCAATGGATTAAGAATATTTACCAATAACACATGCACATGCACCAAAGATGACAGAGAACGTTGATGAAAGATGAAAGAACGAAAGACGAGAAACCCATCCGATCCGATCCGGCACCTCGACAGCCACCATCTCAATCTCCGGGGGGCCAGATTGACTCCAAACCGCCAGAATAGAATAGCCGCTAGGGATCGCTCTCGGCTCTACTTCTCACACGTGGGGAGGCAACAGGCGAGCCATGGGTGCTTCCAATTTAGGCGCCAGCTCAGCATTTAAATTCACTTGTAATTTGCCTCTCAATCTCGCCATCTGATCGTCTGTCTGCTCATCTTCATCTCGTGCTGATCTTATTTACATCCAATAGACAGACAACAAGCGCCTTGAGGACGCTCGGTCCACTAACTCGAGCCGCAAGTGGCCCCACGGATTTAATCTTTTTTTTTTTTTTTTTTTTTTCTTTTTTTCGATCTAAGCGCTGCTGCAGACCTTGGCTGATCACGAGGTCACTTGATGCAAAGCGGGAGGAATTCCATGCTCGACTGGCTTCCCGATAGAAACCGCTTCCGGCAAAGAACTTCACGTGGCGACGACAGAGCCTAAAGGCTGAGAGAACGGGGAGAGAAGAGAGAAAAAAGAACAAGAAGGCAAAACGAGAGAAAAGCGAATTTCAGAGATTTCCCCCAGAAAGGGATCATGCGAGTGGCCCAGACCAAGCACATCCACGCCAACTCGATTCTTGCCGCCTTGAATCGATCCAGGCGCATCCACGACTGCGTCTCTTGACAACGACGGCCAGACAGAGACCAGGATTTGATTTGCGCGTCGTCAGCCAGAGCGAATCCCGAAGTCCGAAACCGACTCTGAAACCGAAAGCGGACAATTACCCAAGAGCGACAGCGAACGAGGCAGGTCACGATACGATTCGATACGATACGCGCGCAGCTTCAAGGCCAGACTTTGACAACTTTGATTTTGATCAACACAACACCTTTGGCGCGCGCATTCACGTTGCCTCCTCTGTATCTCTACGATCGATAAGAATATACAATAACCAGCACAGCCAACAGCAGCTGCAGCATCACGCACGCGACGTCTGACTAGACGAGGCGAGGCCAGGCCAGCAACAAGCCAAATCCCACGGCCACGGCCAACCACGCAGCCATGTCTTCCTCCGCTGCGACCGAGACCGAGCAAGTCGAGGCCACTGCGGCGATACAGTTGCAGCAGCAGCCAGATTCGTCCTCTCTCGACCCCAGTCCCGTCCACGAACTTCCTCCTCGTCCCGTTCCTTCGTCAGATCCGCGACTCTCCATCGACCAGGACAGAGGCCCTGCGAACTCGCCGCCCACCGATAACAACGATGAGCACGACTTGTTCAAACTCAAGCCGGCCGAGGCACTGCAGCTCCTCAGCGCTAGCGTCGAGCTGTTGGTCCGCATCACCGGCGATGTGCCTCCAACGCCGCCGCCTAAGACGCCTACCGACCCTCAGATGAGCAACATGCAGGTTGAGAAGGAGAACATTGCGCGGTCGCACTCGGAGAAGAGCCTGGCACGACTACGCGCCCAGGCCCTGCGAGAGGAGCAGGAAGAGAAGCTTAGAAAGCAGCGACACCAGCAGCAGGAGATACAAGAGAAGCTGCAAAAACAGAAACACAGCCAAAAGAGTGGCTCGTCGTCGGTAGGCAATCTAAGCAAGCTCCAGGCGTACAGCGCGTCCATGTCAGCACAGCTGATAGCCCAGCAGGACGCTTATGCGCAGTCGATCGACGGCGTGCGATTGAAACACAACTCCTTGCGACACGCGAACCCTTCGTCGTCCGCCCCGAACCTGCATCCCCCGGAACCCTACATCGTCGTTGGCGCCGACTCGCAGCCGCTTAACCTGCAGCACGGCGCCATCACCCGCAAGTTTTACAGCAAAAACGAACCTCCCATCTCGGTAAACCAGTATCTGCTGCGGCTTCACCAATTTTGCCCCATGAGCACGGCCGTCTATCTCGCCACTTCGTTGTACATCCACCGCCTCGCCGTTGAGGAGCGCGCGATCCCCGTAACGAGACGAAACGCACATAGACTAGTCCTCGCTGGTCTGCGGGTGGCCATGAAGGCACTCGAGGATCTATCCTACCCGCACACAAAGATTGCCAAGGTCGGCGGAGTGAGTGAGGTCGAGCTGGCGAGACTGGAGATTAGCTTCTGCTTCCTGGCTGGGTTCGAGCTAGTCGTGGGAGAAGAGATATTGAAGAAGCATTGGCAGGTATTGAGAGAAGGCAAAGTAGGGCGGATGGTGGACGGCGTGGAAGTTCCGCTGCTGAAGCTGGACAAGAAGCGGAAGACGTCGCGAGAGGTTCATCAGCTGATGCAATGATCTCGTGATTGTTACATGCATGGAAGAGGAGAGGAGGGGGTTTATCGGCGGCAAAATTGCTTTGCTTTTTTCTTTGTTCTCTCTTGTCAGGGAAATCGGAGTTTTTTGGGCAGTCTCTCCTCGATTTGACCACTGTAGCTTGGCATCTGGCATCTGGCGGGCATGGGAGGAGGTGAAGAATGCGTATTAGTAGGGAGAGATTTTCTTTTTTCTTTTTTGGCATTGGCCTGGTGGGCTACGGACATGCAGTATGGGAACCATCAAATGTCTTGTTGGATGAGCGGAGCTTTTTTTTTTCACCATTGTTTGCTTTTAGAGATACCCAAACAAATGGGGGGCTATTTCGCAGCGATAGCTATATGATATTGCCGTCTCTATTACCAGATTGCCTTGACTTGATGCTTTCACTTAACTATTGTCATGGTGTATATTTCATTTCCCTCTTGCGCATGTGTCCTGTCGTTGATGTCTACGGCATGAAACTCTGGAATGAACATCTTATGGCTGGCCTCGATACCCTCACTCATGATTAATGCCTAATGTCTCGTATTTAACAACTGAACTGTCTTATTCCGTGCCTCTCATTCGGCAATACACACATTTACGGACGTTTGTAGTTCCGAAATGTCGTGGGTTCGAATCGCCGACCCGGGCGAAGCTGTATGAAGACGGCCCGAACTAGGTCCCGAATAGCCGCCATTGATGTCAAATTCTCTTTACGTTTCTCGAGACGCCATTCTTCCTTTGTATGTTTATTTCTTTATGAAAAATTTCCAAAGTTGCTTTGAATTATCTTCATTATGCCTCTCTCTTCAGCAGCTCGTCAGCGGTCAATCCGCCTTGCCCAAGTTCTCGTCGGAGGTCCGGTTATAACATTCGGGGGTCTTACCTTATGGACTCGGAAATGCGCGTTTGAGCCTTTCGGTCCAGATACAGACGCATTGTTCAGACATCCCATATTAAAGGATCTAAATCCCCGGAATAATCCTAGCACTCACGACTGTTGTGTCCGAAAAGTGCCGTTTGGGGAGCTGAGGCCGGAGCTGTTGGAAGATGCCAGAAAGGGCGGGAGTGCTTTGGTGGAGGAGTTTTCGCGGGGGATGTGGGCGGGATACGGTGCGTATTTGTTTGCCAATTGACAGAGAAGAGGTTTAGAAACTGACTGAATTGAGTAGGATATGGAATTCAGAGGAGGATAATGGAATTGACCAAGAGTCCTGAGAATCGTACCGATTTGTGGACTCCTGATGAGTTGGGACGAAGCACATATGAACCTAGTTCGTCTAAATATCGTTTTCTTTCAGATATAATAGCTAATTAAGCGAAACAGAAACAGTTGCGACAAACCACTTTCTTGTCCTGGATAAATCAGCAACGTCAATAACATTTCGCGGCTGCCCTGCACCCAAGGAATCTCCGTTTAAACCGCGAGACCTGGATAACTTGTTCTCCTTGACAGCAGAATTAAATGAGAAGCGTAAACAGGCTGAGTTTAGACTCAAAGCCATAACTTTTGACGCGGTGACGACGACGCCAAAGGAAGATCCGTTTGGTGGCGTGCCGGGTGCGTTGCATCGGATTTACGCGAAGCTGCTTGTTGAGGCGGCTGTGGGATGGTGCATCAGATAGAAAGGGATTTGAGAGGGCGAGTTTTGTAAGATAGAGAGAATTGAAGCAATGTGACAAAAGTAGTTGGGCGGCAGTAGCTTCTAATGCAGTCGCCAAGCGGTGGACTCTATGGGAAATGGGTGAAGAGCTACATCTCAAATGCATTAAACATTAGGCAAGCATAAATCTTGTCGCCAGCTCCAACCTACAACTTCTCAGCCCCGCGCTTCTGATCCGGCCCAGCAATTCCATCTTGATACCCGCTGGCAACGTGTTTTCCCTCGGGACTCCAGATTCTGCTCTCCAGCGTTGCTCTTCCGGCGCTGATTCGTGGCCAACATACTTCTTGGATCCACCACCCGTCTCTCATCACGGCCTCTTCTGAGTTGACGTGCACGGTGAATGTGTAGCTTAGACTCGCGGCGACGCCCAAGTTGTAGCCCCATCCAAGATAGTTGCTTATTGTCAAGAGTCCATTTCTGTCTGCTTCGAATGCGTGAACAAGGATGTGGGAATTGGTGTCTTCTACGGGAATCGGTTTGTGCAGTTTGTATAATAGTAGTTCACGACGCTCGGGAATTGGTTTGTTGGCGTTGTACGGTTTCATGTCAACCTTGTACATGTCGACGATGGGAAACCCACCATGTCCGGCATTCGGAAATGTATCGTTTAATATATCAATGTCAAGTTGCGGGCTTGTTGGCCATTCGTCAGGTTTTCTCTGGGCGAGGATACTTGCGAAGCGTTCTTGTGCTGATGATAATTGCAAGTCCGCAAAGCTCGGTACAGGCTGCTTGAATGTGACATGACAGCTGAAGCATATAGGCCCTAGAGGCAATTTTGAGTCTGACTCTGGGAAGGGACCAGAAGGATTGGAAGAAGGTTGTTTTGGTTGGCGAGCAGTGATGAGACAGGTTTGAAAACTGCGGCCAGCGGCAAGTTTCGAAACCTGGTAAATGAAAGGCCGGTCTACATGCCCCGGATTCGTAAATACGCCTTGTATTGTCTATTTCTCGTTAATACATGCAGAATTCCCTTCTTTACGCAAGGACAATAAGCAGACTCACGTGAATACCCAATTTGCCCGTATTTGGTGCCCCTTTGGCGGTTTCGTCTTCGCTCTCTACAACCTTCACGGCAGCGAGTGGCGCCTGAATGTAGACATGCCCTCCATATGCTCTTGTCGTAAAATAAACCGCAATTTTGTGTTTGGAGATATCATCTGTTTCATTCCAAGGTAGCTGGGCTCCTGGTTGCCAAGCTGGTTGGCGGCTCATGAACTGGTGAGTATCATCGAAATCACCATTGCCTGCCAGCCGGACCATCTCCATGTTCTCGAGGAATCCTAGCCTCGGGAAATTTCCCGAGGTACCGAGTGGCACCGGCATATCGAAAAAAGGTGCCCTAAACACACTGTTACGTTGCGGTCGTAGCTTGCGCAATGATTGAATGCCGGTTGTGGTAGTTTTCTTTCGTGTTGGTCTTGAACGAGTGAGACGCTGTGAAGCCCCCAACGGCTAGTCTATCCTGCTTAATCTCAACTACCACACTCTCCGCATCAGATCGTAACTTTGACCCTGGTCTAGAGCTCAGGCAAAGCCAGAGTGGCGGGATAGCCTCTCTTTTAAAACAGGCGATGAAAAAAGACAAATCATCCAAGGGCGAGTTCTGCTCATCGGCTACATGACGGAAACTCTCATGCCCAGAATAAGCTTCTCCACAATCTCCGCTCAGAACGCCCGTTTCATAAGACAACAAGACCACCATTTTGCAATCTTACTAAGCCTTAGAAGCTTGACTAGCTATAAAGACCGCCAATATTCGGCAATGGGAATGAAATGCGGAACAAAAGTCCTACTCGTGTTAAACTATCGAGAATCAGAGCTGCGTTTCTGGCCAATTGAGACAAGGTGCCTCTGCTAACGGAGAATTTACCACTTACCTGTAGGGCTAGGTGGGGGTGGCGAGCTTCTCCAAGGAGCCAAGACTTACGTGAGGGGAAGCGAAGATAGCCAATGCAAGAGCTCTCCCTGCATCTAATATGCCTTATCACAAGATCATTTCATGTCCCAGTCATCAAGTTGCTATGTTGGTTCCATTTGGATCCCAAGTTGAGGTTTTGAAACGTCATGACATATCATATTCTTCTGTAAGGGAGACGGAAGGAGGGCATTTCCCGTGTCAATGTTCAGCTTCGACAACGATATAAGCTCTATTTATACAACTAGCTTCCCTTTCATCTTAACATGCGCTGAGTCTGAAAGAACTTTTTGCCAGGTATTCGATCTGCAATGATAAGCATTGAGAAATATGATTCTCAGAATCCTTAAAGGAAGTAGATCACGTCCACTGAACATTACGCAGAAACCAGAGATACTTACCATTACGGTAATTGTCTGATTACTCATGAAGTAAGTATATTTGTTTAGGTTTCTAAAATTCTATGCTATAAGCTCTTTGAACGGTAACAGACAAAAGGACTATCATGAGATAGGAAATAAGTAGAAGGCGTCTCGTAGTAATACTATCATCGGCTAATGGGTCTCATACTGCAACCAATCCGATTCTACACTAGGCATTTCAACGCCCATGCCAAGTGAGGCGCGCCCAGAATCATAATCTAATAGATGCTGCTCTATTTCGTACGGAGCGGTAGAGCCATGGTCAGCCGATCGAGGGTAGTTGAAGAAATCAAAAATCTCGAGGTAATCTAGCTCGTTTGCAGAAGAAATTCGAGTCGAAGTAGGTTCCAAGCCACTCAGTCTCGTCGAACCAGAAAGCATCGAGAGCTCATGGGCGTATCTGTCGGAAAAGTGTTAGCTTCAGCAGCCCCCTATATCATCTGATCCGGCCAAACTTACTGCCTCATCTCCGTAAGGGTTTTGTCTCCTTGTCGCCCCTCCTCGGTCACTCGGCCCAGGATCGCCGAGTAATTTGCAGCAATCTCCCAGTATCGGCCCATCTCGGCCAAGGTGCCCACAAAGAAATGAACGTTGGAGTCGATTTCACATCCCGTAGTCGCAGCATGTACCAGAAGAAGCCGAGCCGACGTCCATAGCGAGAAGGCGAAGTGTGGCCCCAATAGAGACAAGCCGCTGGTCTCGATTACGTCTTGGACGATGCTTCTGAGGCTTTCCACTGCAGAGAGACAAGTCTGCATGGCGCTGTAAGAGGGTACAAACACGTCGTTTTGGATCACGGGATACGCCGCTGCAGAGTTGAGCCGAATGGTCGATACCACAAATGCGGCATGCAGCATTATCCAATTAATAATTCTGGCCCCGGGATCAGAATGGCACAAGACTGATATCTGACCGTATTCCGCAGGTAGTTCACGAAGCCAGGTGGATAGTTCGCCCTCCAGTGCGACAAAAGTGCTCTGCCAGCTCCGGACATCCTGAATCGAGTATATATCCAGTGGCTTCGCCAGGAAATTGTGAACACGGCTCAAGATCCCAAGGACCTCGCAGTGATAAGAAAAGCTGCCGAGGTTTTCTGGCGTGTTGACTGTGAGTCTCAACTTTGTTGTGTCAAGACCATTTGGCCATCTTGTCTCCACTGGAAGATCATTCGACCACAAGTCGTATCGGCAAGGAAGAAATCGTTTCATATCCTCTTCTGCCAGTATGAATTTGTATGGTGTTGCTAGGGTTGCGTATCTGTCCAGCACATATACCATCCAGCAGAGCCTGCGTCGCCCTTCATCTTCAATCCAGGAATCAGGTTCTGGGAGTACAACCCTGCGAGGCAATGCCTCATTTGGCAACATTGGAGCGGCAAAGTAGACGCTTTTCTCCATGCAGAGTTCAAGATGAGTAATGTTCTGCACAAGGAGAGACAAAAGGTTCTGTCCCTGTAGTTCGTTGGACGTCCCCAAAACATCTAATGCGAGAAGAGTGAGGGCTCTAAGCGAAAAGAGGTTGACATTCTCTAAAGCATACAGCTCTACCTTCTGTTTGCAGTCATTGTGAAGCTTTTGCTTTGCACTTGGCGTTAGGCGCGCATCTGTTGCAAACCGCAGCGTTGTTGCAATAATGGCAAACAACACCACACGATCGCCTCGCGAGACAGAAGTAGAACCAAAATATGTTCCAAAGGTGGCTTTGCGGTCAAGTAAAGGAAACCATGTGTTGATATGTTTGAAGAAGAGATCTACCAGAACGTATAACAAGTCGCTGGGAGGGAGGTCTGGATCCGTCGATAGATTAATCTCTTGTTCATAGACAGTCTTCATGTTTGTGCTGAAGCTTCGCGGTAACTTCACACCGCCTGTGAGGTTGAACGGCCGATCAAAGACAATCGTGGGAGATCGAGCGCCTTCAGATAGCATATCCGAGCGTGTGGACTCGGGAGATGCAGTAACATGCCAACTGCGATGTCGGTCATGATGTGTTGATGGACTCTTGGACATGGGAGAATGAGAGACTTCGTGGTGAGCATCATGGCGCGAAATGTGATTGTCAACGCGTTGTCTCAGGCCTTGCACCAAAGCATCAAGGTGACCAAGTCGAACCTCCAGCTGGTCATTCCTCTCGCTCTCCTCAACAGCTTTCCGCTTCTCTTTGTAGACACAAACACGACTGTTGCGCGTACACCAACCGCAGGCTGGCCTCATTCGGTCGCATTTGACCTTTCGCCGCCTACACATCTCACATCTTTGGGTATTTCAGTCAGCTTCAGCTTGCCTCTATTCACTGTGACAGGGCCATAAACCTACGAGGCTTTAGAGATTGGTTCCTCTCTTCTTTCATGGTCCGATGACACATCCATTGGGGTATCATCCACGATCAAAGCTCCAGGAGCCATTGTTGCGTCCAAGGTGTTCCTAAAATGCTTTGATGCGTTGAGACACTTGGCGTTATATGGCAGCAGTCTCCTGTCCTCCTCTTTAGGCGGATTATCACTCAACTGCGAAAGATCCGCTAAGACGCATCACCATCCCTACCCCAATGAGGAATCCTTCTAGAAGAAGCTAAAGAGACATGCTCCCTCCTCACCCCACAGGGAGTTTGCGGGGCTTCATGGGCCATGAGGTGGACGCCACGAGCGAAGAGTTGCATTGATTCGTAGCGTTAAGGCTGTGTTTCGAGTCATATTCCCCGGAGCCTGTCGACTCCAGGACCAATCGCCAGCTCTCTTTGGAGATTCCCAAATCTAAAACGAATCCAGATACCACGTGGTTATTCCGCGATGCCCGGGCTACTGTACAAGCTAAACCGTAAAACGGGACTAAAATCAACACCGCTGGACCTGGCGTCTCTGCTCAAGGGGTGGGCACGGTCTCTTCACCTCATCAGCTGACGAATGGAGATCTCCGGAGCTTGGAGGGGGTTGAAACCGTCAATGAAGCCATCCGATAGCACTCCATTACAAGTAGAAGTTTGTATTTGATCTCGATCCTGAGAGTTGGTTGGCGGGCGATAAGCGCTACGGAGTTCCCGAGTTCCCCATCCTTGGGCGCCATCTACCCACGGAACGAAGCTAGAATGCAGCTAGAACGAAGCCCTTCTTGGAAGGTCTACCTCGATCCAATTAGTCTCGGGGAACAAACGTTGAAAAGGTGGATATCGCGTACAGCTTGCATGGACTGATGAGTAAAGGAGCCGGAGGTTTACTGATACGATACTTCCAGTATAGAATGAAGGCGTGCGCATGCAGAAGTAATGCTTGCAACTGCAGACACCTAACATGATAATGGTTAGAGCCCAGTTCTAACCTTGTCTTTTACTAGAACATTCATGGTGGTCCATGGAAGGGGCCTATCTGGAAATCTTACCCCAACTATTGTGTTACATATTGGTTGGACGTGATTTAAACATTGATCATTGCGTGATTTGGTACGGAACACATGCACGCCATGAGGAGTGGTTCTAGGCTCACTCTACGAATTGTACGTCACATTCTTGGTACACGGTTTTTAAGCAGTGGAAAGATAGATTAATTGGAATGAGAAGAGGGGCTCAGAGGAAGACTCCCACGCATCCCCATACTAGATGAAGGTAGTTCTGGAGATTTGTAATGTATCCAGATCGTCCGAGTTGGTGTATTGGCGATCTCAGACCATTGCTGTTCTCCTCGCTTTGGCATGAACACCCATGAATCTCGTGAAACCCATATATGGGGCATTGATGGGACTGTCACCGGTATATATAAAAGTATCGTAGAGAAAGCCGCCGAATGTACAGCCCAAGAATGGCGCGATGACGGGAACCTATCACCCACTGTTAGTAACTTGGTCGAATTCGAGGGCCGGAATCTACATACCCAGAAGTAATAGTCTCCTGCCGTCCAGACTTGGTGTCCATAACCAACTGCATGAGACATAATCCGGGGGCCCAAATCTCTTGCAGGGTTGATTGCATAGCCAGTGTTGGAGCCAAAGCAGGCTCCAATCCCGTAGATGACAAAGAACAGGCCAAGCGGGGTCAGATTTCCAGCACCAATGTTTCCATCGTCTAGCAGAGCATAGAGACAGAACATTAAAATAGAGCTGCCGATACACTCGTCAAAGAATTGCCCCGTCTTGGTTAAGAATGGAGCTGGATATGTGCAAAAGATGCCTGCAGTAGACGTATCCAGGCCAACAGTCCGTATACCTTGTCCACCCTCGAACACGTCGATCGCGGATTTGTAGTTTCCGTAAACAATAAGTGACGCGGCCATGGCTCCTAGAAGTTGAGCGAGAGCATATACTGGAAGCTTCTTCCACGGAAACTTGCGGAAGATGCAATTGGCGAGAGTAACGGCAGGATTCAAATGGGCGCCTGAGACGCCGCCGCAGTAAACACCAAGCATGACCCCTAGTCTTTTCATCTTGTCAGTAACAGTCTAAGTAAAGGCCATGGGGTTAAACATACGCCCATCCCCAGTTGATATTGTTCCAGTCTCCCTTGGCGCCTTTTCCAAGCACCACTTGGGCGACAGATCCGTCGCCAAATAGGACGAGGATCAGGACGCCAAAGAACTCGGAGAATGGTTCACGCATGACTTTTCGAAACTTGGACCAGGCGGTGGTATGTTCTTCAGACACGATTATGTTCATTGTAACATGTTGGTCTTTCGAAATACCGTCCTGAGAGAGAGATGACTTCTCCTGACGACTCTTCAGATCGTCTTCGACACCGTGAATGTGTTCAATATGGCTCATGTCGACGGACATTAGACGGTCTTGAGCCGGTGTAAACAATATGTATGTATTTTCAAGTTATAGAAGAGAGAATAACAGGTGTGATATATCTGGTTGGCTGTTGACTTTTACAGGTACGATTAACAGGCCGTAGAGGCATATATACTGGAATACTACACTGATCATGGCTTTCGCCCCAGGAAGCCCACTTTGCGACTTGTCCAGAATCTGGGGAAACACGGGGCCCCATTTTCTGGCCTGTTCAAGTTCAAGTTCTCCAAATGTTGCCCGTTGTGGAGATATAATTGAGAGTATAGCTCGGCAAGAGTGGCGTGTGTTCAGCCCCGGAGTCTCGGCCGCGCTCTGAAGTGACAAGTCTTTCGTCTGTCATGGGCTGTATCATGCTTGAAAGAGCCACCAGACGGCCATATTGGCTGAGAAGCGGCATATAGGGCCCGTGATTCAATAGTTGGAAGCTTTCAGCACTGTTTGCTTCCACTAGTGCAGGTAATCAGCTGCACATTCAAGCCACGATGCAAGGGGGTCTCGCCCTCTGCACCATTCCGCCAGCAATATTAAGGTAAAATACATAACACCATAGACTTTCAATAAACCAGAGATTGCGTGATGCTGTCTTTTTCTGGAAAGTAAAAACGCACTGACGTTCATGTCCATGGCCTGGTTAGCCCTGGATATTTCCGCCTCGCTGTTCTCGGAGCTGAGGCCGAGATGATGCTTACCGGAAGCTGAATACGAGGCTTCACCATGTTAGCCATACTAATTAGAGTCAGATACAGCGCTGAAGGGCGTCTCGGACTCCAGGCCGAACAACCGGACTTCTACTGACAACTACTGGCAATGGCCCGGCCCGCTGCCACCTCTCGCCCCTTTTTCATGCATATTCGGAAACTTATTGACTTCTTCCACAGCATTGGACCAACACCGGAAGCAAAGGTAGCCGGCTTCAGGATATGCAGAGAGGATAGGAAAACAAGCTGCCATTGACTTGTGTAACAAGAGCTCCGCCGTTGATTCCGCGTCAGGCACGATCCAGAATTGCCCAAGCGTTGGCTGTTACACGTCGCACTACAGAATCTAATTTGTCGTGCTAAATGTAGGCACCCATTCGTAGCATGTGAACGGAAAATACCCTAGTTTGAGCTTGAATGGCTACGTGTGTCCTCAGTGTTTTGATAAACGTCTATTTTACCTGAAGCTTGATAACAAATTTTAGTGACATTACGCCTGCTACATACATAGGCTGTTATACAGAGTTGATAGACTAAACTGCAGCAAGCCCAAGAAAGAAGGCTCGCAAACCCCAGGCGCCTGGGTCAGGGCATTCTTGGAACCCGGTACCTCCTACGTAGACTGTCCGGCCGAGGCTGGCTTTCATACCCTTGGTCTTCTCTGCGCCTATGCTTGCAGCCTTTGCAGCTTCCTTTAGATCTCCAGTTTTTCCCAATGTTTCGATGAAAGGATACAGAGCGTCCACGAGAGTTCTATCACCAGGCCTGGCACTTGTATACTTTGACATGGCTGCAGAGCTTTGTTCTAATGCCTTGGCCCATACTTGCGGCGTGGCCTCACCTGATGGAGACGCGGCGAGAGATCGAACTAGTGCATTCAAGAAGATGGCATATAGAGCGCCGGATGTACCATCCATTGTCTTCTCGACAAGAGGCACAATCTCTGCTACGTCGACCACTGCGTCGCCGGAGAAATCTCTTGTTGAGAGAAACATAAGAATAGCTAGAAGGTTATGCATGTCAGATTGGAATGGTTACAAAATGGAGCTTTGGGGAGTTCACTAACCTTCTGCACCGCGCTTCAAGCCAATGCCACAGTCTCCATCACCCACAACCTCGTCGTACTTGGTAATTTCCGGCTCTGATGCGACCACCCGCTCCAGGGCCCTCACGAGTGCCGATTTCGCATCTGCAGGGCTTAGCTTGAGCCCAGTTGCTTGAACTGTTCTTACAGGCGCCTCCTTATACTCTCGAGTTGACTGAACTTTTGCTTCCCATGTTTGTGTAGAGATGGGAGCGGACCAGCCCGTAGCTTCTGAAGGGGCATCCAGTAACTGGATCATTGTAGACCCGTTGATGCCTGTGTCGACTACCTTGAGGAGTGAAATGCTAAATCCCAGGCCATTAAGACTAGTCATATAGGTGCCGCTTAGGATTCGTATGGGGCGGATACCGTATTGTCCCTTGAGCTGTGTCACAACCTCCGTGGTGATGGCTCCCATCTCGAGAACACTAACACCACCAAGGTTGTTAACAAGAAGCACTACCTCATCACAAGACTTGATGTTGAGAAATGCTCTGTCTTTGTCATTCTCATCCAACAATTGTGCTAGCATTGCAGTCACGAGTTCAGGCAAGTCAGCTGTGCGTCTGCCGGACCCAGGTTCATTGTGGATTCCCATGCCCAGTTCAACTTCGCCAACTTGAAGTCCGTCGTCCCCATGTGCAGTATGGCCTGGAACATGCACATGTTCCAGACTAGCACCAACACTGACCAGATTATCAGCTGCCAATCTGCCGATCCTATGCACCTCCGCCAGGTCAGCGCTCTTTGCTGCGAGAGCACCAGCGATTTTTTGAACGAGCACAGTTCCAGCAATTCCTCGACGTCCCACCTTGCCGGCTTTCTGACGACCAACACCGACGTCGTCAGCAACTACTAGCATCTCGACGTTGAGACCCGCAGACTTGGCTTGCTCTACGGCCACGCCAAAGTTGAGAACATCGCCCGTGTAGTTCATGACAATGACAAGGACGCCACGAGTTGAATCAATAAGACCCATGATTGCCTTGCGAACTTGCTCGGTGTTGGGTGACGCAAAGATGGTGCCAGCAACGGCCGCGCTTAATAGACCATCTCCCACGAACGCAGCGAAAGAGGGCTCGTGGCCAGAACCGCCGCCACTCAGAAGGGAGACTTGACTGCTTCCATTGAGATTTGGGCGGCGATAGATGGTCTTGTTGTCAGCGTCGAGGGCGACGGCGGGGTTTGCAAGGGTGATGCCAAAAAGAGCGTCATTGACCAACTTGGTTGGGTCGTTGACAAAATGCTTAGATGACATGGTGGTGAGACTTGGAGTTTGGCGTTTGGTTTAAGGTATTTGAAAGAAGGGTATATAAAGACAATGCTCATAATCTATTCGATAGCTTTCTGATACCATGGATATGACTAGATATATATGTTTAATTCTACAAGTCAATGTGCTCGTCTAGCTAAACTAGCCGAGATAAAACCTTCAATCACCGAGGACGACATTCGGGTGAATTGACGATATTGACTCTTCGTACAAATGATCCAAGCTTCATGCGCTCGGTCAGTTCGCTACACATTCCCCGATGTACATAATACTATCGCCAAATAATTATTTCTAGCCATTCTGGCTATTTGCCCATCGTCGCCAAACTGTGTCGGGGGTCGCCCCGGCCAGCCCGAGGGTGGAGTGAGCGGTTTCTGCATGAACCGGGAGGAGGGAGAGGCTATAACCTGCGGAGTCCCGCTTCAGAAACGTCCATGGACGCTTGTTTCACGACCCTGAGTTGCAGTGAGCTCAGCTGATTTCAGCAACATACCCGACAGCCACAGCAAGCAGCGGCTTTACACAAGTTAGTGGGCGACGCAAAAACCATTCTAACGTTCCCAGCGCCAATATATCGACTCATTTACATTCAATTCCCGATAGTCAACAACCTCGTTTAAGGAATCCGACCCCAACTCCAGCTTCCCACGTGGCGCACGGCTAGACTTGGAGAAAGTAACGTGGGGTGGCACTCAAGACATGGAGACGGAGACTGTGGGGTCTGGGGATTGTCCAACGCTTACCTCAACTAAAATAGCAGCCTAACTAGCACTGCAGCTATTTGTCTGGCCCAGAACAAGCTTCGATGGTGATTTGTTCATCAGGTTTCGCCCCATAGTGTTGAGCCAGTCCTTGTCTCTTGTGGCTTCAAGCTGGAAGCTAGAGAGTTTAAACTGTCCAAGTGAAGCTTAGCATGTCCTTCTGATGACCTTCTGGAAGGATGACAGTTACCCCATAAACTCCCCCGCCCTCCCGACTGAGTGCTGACTTCATTCAGCTTCTGCTTTCCTTTGGCCATGAATTTGTCGCTCATGATCCTGCTCTCTTTCTATACACACAGCTTTGTGGGAGCGTTGACACAGCTCTCGTGCCGATGACAAGATGGTGTATCGCGGATTTCTCGTCCCAGACAACTACGTCTCCGAGACTCCCGATGACACCGATATGAACATATCCAGCGTTTTCTGGGGACTCTCCCTAGGGATTGCCATCTTTGCGGCAGTGCAGGCAGGACGGCAATCTTACCATTCCTGGAAGCGGAAGCATAGGATAACCACTTATGTTGCCTTGATTTGGGGCGAGTGGATAGCAAGTATCATCATTGGGGCTCTTACATGGTGTTTCCAGCGCGAATATGTCGGTCCTAGGTACGTATCTGCTACAAAATCTTATTCTGCTACCGATATAGCTCTTCTATGCAGATTAGGTGTTCTAATTGTAATTTCATAGTTTCCAACTGTTTTTTCTCATCTGTACGGCTTCCCCTAGGATATCATATCTCTGTCTGTCAGATACTAACCATTTGCCCACCTATAGCTTGCTGTTGGTCGCTTCAGATCCAGCTGCTAATGCAAATCATCATAAATCGCATTGCTTTTTTAATGGCTGTACCCGGAGCTGCACGAAGCCTTAAATGGAGCGTCTTCCTCCTGTTACTCCTAGTCAACATCAGTGTGATGGTTATTTGGACTCCAGCCCATCTCCAGCTTTCACCTCGCTGGATCCACATAAACGATATATGGGACAGGGTGGAAAAGGTAATCTTTTGCATCATCGACTTGTCTCTAAATGTTCGCTTCATGTACTTGGTCCGGTCTCGCTTGATCAAGAGTGGGCTGTCCAAGTACATACCTCTCTATCGGCTCAACTTGGTCTTGGTCTGTTTTTCCATGTGCCTTGATGTAAGTACTTGATCTGGTTAGAATCAGATACAGGTTCAGCAGCTCATGCGCAACACTTAACAGGTATCATTGATTGGTCTTATGTCGTTACCAAGCAGTCTCAGGTATGTCCTTATGCCCAAATGCGCAATTCTCCAAGATCTCCTAATATCTAATAATCTTCAGCTACTTGCAGTTTCATCCAGTTGCATACCTCCTAAAGCTCTCCATTGAAATGAACATGGCAGAGCTCACTGCGAAAATCGCAAAATCTCAAAACTTGGGTGCCATTCAGAGACTAAGCTTCATCACACCTGCAGAACAGAAGCACAAGCATGATGAAGGAAGCTCTGTTCATATTGAGATTAGGAATGATGGAGATATTGAGCGAGCAGTCGCACCACCTGGGCGTATCCGGGTAACAGTAAAGACCGCTGTGACGAGGCAGACGGTTGACGAGACTGAAGACACCGGAAGTAGCAATAGCTCAACGCCAGAGTTAAGGAAACCTAGTGTGAGTTTCTGAATATTGTTTTATGCAGCTACATTTATATAGAAATTAGAATTCACTGATATCGTAAAATCGTTATCTGAATAAGGTCCAATCATGTTCCCAGCACGCCATGTGATCCAACGGCAGCTCCGTCTTCAACCATTCGCCATAAGGCGTTTTTCTATTTGATATCTCATAAGGTTCCAATTTGCACCCCCACGACCCAGTTGCTCCCTAGACCCAACAGAGAACACATCGTGTCTTTTTACAAGAGGCCTATCTCGCTCAGGACGGTGAGATGGTCCGATAAAGACCGAGGCGGGGCAGAGGCGTAGCGCTTACAGCACAAGGGTGAGAATCCTTGTCGTGAAGTGGATTGACTCAGTCAAGCCCCCTCGTTAGTGCCATCATCTTCGGCATATGTGTCCGATCAGCCCGAATAATAGTTCGTTTTCGGTGTTCAGCACGATGTTGGCTTGAGTTTCTATTTAGTCGCTCGGGAGATGAGGATAATTCGGAACTGCCTAGCGAGCGAGCGAGGAGATAAATCGTCGCCAGCCCACATGGGTTGTAAGATTATATGTTAATCTCACAAGAGTAAGATGGAGCAGGCGAATAGCGGGAGATTTCTAATTTTGGGATTGACACCAACAGAAAGGTCGGTGGTTTATCGTAGATAGATAGTAATAATTGATACCTAGCTATCTAATTATTTGACGCTGTATATTAGATGAGTACCTTCTTTAAAGGACAATGACACACGATTTGTATTCTCCTCTCTTTCGATCCATCTCATCACCCCCGCGGGGAGAAATATGATGGCTTTCTATGTTCAAGGCAGCCAGTTCGTTAATGATAGAACAATATTTCGTTTCACTGTAGCTAAAAGAGTCGATATAGGCCTTTCGCAAGATGCGATGGATGCCGTGTTCGGTGAATCCGGAGACCGCAAAAATCGACAAAATGGCGTCAATATTCATCACCACTTCTCTCTAACGATCTAGGCTCTTCATTTTGAATTAAAAGTTTCAGGTATTGAGTTTCTTCGTGGCCAAAGCTACTGAGTTACATGAAAAAATTCACGGTGTAGCTAAAACTTTGGACGTTTCGAGAGTGCGCTAACGAACAGTCTCTACCTCTGGGTTATATTTTACAAAAGCATGTGCGAGCTCTTTATTATCTATTATGAAAAACAAAACCGACTCATAATCTAACGTCTAGATGCCTTTGGATTGGTATCATTTTATCATAGAATACTATAGAAGAGGTTGCGTTGAAACATTACGTCTTTATTTTCTGTTCACTACTTATCCTTGAAAGCATTTTTCTAACACCCAGTGGGCTGATAGGCCTGAAAAGAGGCAATATATAACACAACATGAAGACTTTAACCATTGTCGTCTTGAAATTGCAACCTCACGCTATCTGTTTTGAATCATCAAATTCAACCATATCACATCTATTTGGGTTCGGGTCATTCTAGGCTGGCGAATTGTCTTCTACTTCAGTATTGAGTTTATCCATATTACTATCTTCACCTAATATCGCTAGTTTGAGTACCCAGTGGCCTTCACTAGATTCCTAATATGATGACATCGCGGAACTGCTAACTGTCGAACTCATTATAGCACTATGCTCCAACATAATGATCACAGTGTCGCACTTATTGACCTCAGGAGCCAGTGACAGTGATGAGCCATAATATCTCTGTTTTGATCAACAGATGCATCAAAGGTATTGAAGAGATCCACAATAGCTATCAGTGTTAGGAATATAACTTGGGGTAATTGTTATATTAGGAAAGTTAGGTCTTAAAACTTCCACTTTTTATATAAACGTTTTGTAAGGCCTCTAGAAGCCGGTCGGACAGGAGTTACCCTGCGTTCCATATTGCGCTCTTCAGAAGCGGCCAGTGCGAGAGGTCTGTAACCCTCTAGCTCTCTGGCCTTAAGATCAGCACCCCATTTGAGTAATGACCTAAGAGTTGGCTTCTGTTCGTGAAACGGGGCTGATGAAAGAGGCGTGTAATCATTTGTCTCTCTTGTTTTAACATCGGTATGCCGTTTGAGTAATAGTCGAACAATTGTCTTATGTCCGTTAAAGGCGGCTAATAAGAGAGGTGTGTAACCATCTGGCTCTCTGGCCTCGATGTTGGCACGCCATTCAAGCAATAGCCTCACTGTTGGTTCATGCCCATTGAATGCAGCTAGTGAAAGAGGCGTATATTGATTTCCCTCTCTGGTCTCAATATTGGCACCCCGTTCAAGCAGCAGTCTAACAGTTGGCTCATTCCCATTAAAGGCGGCCAACAAAAGAGGCGTGTAATGATTTCCCTCTCTGGCCTCAATATTGGCACCGGACTCGAGTAATAACCTAACAGTTGGCTCATGCCCGTTAAAAGCGGCTAATAAAAGAGGCGTGTAATCATCCGGCTCTCTGGACTCAATATGAGCATGCCGCTCAAGTAATAGCCTAACAGTTGCGTTATGTCCATGCCAGGCGGCAATTAGTAGAGGCGTGTAGCTACCGGAATCTCTAGAATTAACATCAGCGCCATTCTCCAGCAACAGTCTACCAACAGCCGTTTGGCCTGTCTCGGCGGCCCATGACAGTGGCGTTCGTTCATTGCTATCGGTAACTTCCACATTTATAGAGTTTTGTAGTAAAATTGCCGATATGCCTTCCAGTCCAAAGTACGCTGCAAGATGTAGTCCTGTTACATGCCTCGGTGGTTTTTGGCTATAAGCGTAAAAGTTCCCAGAAGCCAGCATTGCTTGACTCGATGCAGATACTTTATTTTCGTTCATGAGAAAACTCACAATGGAAGGATTTTCCTTTGTCGATGAAACACGGGCGTGCCACCCCCATTTTTGCGCTGCGTAGTGGTACAGAGCGTATGACCGTAATCGTTTTTCAAAAGCATTATCCGAATCAGAAAAGCCGGTTTCGAAAGTGTCAAAGCCGAGATATGTTACACAAATATCCGTGATGTAATCATGCGCATTGGGAAAGCGAGCATACCAAGTTTTCTCTAACCATTTCCCCAGTGCTTCGTTGGTAAATTGGAGAGTATTCATGTCTGTAGTTATCGTGAGATAGCCACCGCACGCCGAGACCATATCTTCAATTTTCGGAATATTGTTTTTTAAAAGACTATTATCACCAGCTTCCACGGCAAGCGCATGTTGAAGCTCAAGCACAGTCATAGGTCTCATTGAACATGTAAGCCATGATATAAGTCGCCAGGCGAGCCTCTTTGTGGTTGGCCCTCGCGAGCCGATTGTCTCCATCATTTGTTCATAAATTTTCTCCGGGCTCTGCTCTTGTTGCGAGACAGTGTTGTTTGATGACACAACTGCAAATCTTTCTGAGATTTCGAGGGGCTTAGAATGCACTCTTGGTGAAATAACCGGAGACTCTGGTTCTGGTGATTCAGGAAGCATTTGATCATCACTGGGTCTTCTTGGCTCTTCCACTATAGTCGGTTGAATGTTGGCAAACGGTTCTTCGCTGGTGAGATGGGTTGTAGTTGGGCCATCCGCGCGATCTTGGCCACCAGTTATCTGTCTCCCTCTAGAGGAACTCGGTTTTTGATGTTCATAAGTGAGATCGAATAATGAAGCAAATGCAAGGGCTTTGAGATGCCTTGAAATATGTTCTGAGAGAAGTGAGTATGGCTCTTCGGCCAGACGTGAAGCTATCTCCTTCGGACAGCAGTTGCAGAGAGGACACGTAAACGCTCCTCTAGGTTGAAATTTTCTACTCCTCCTTGATTTTGCTAATATTTGGGGTTTTGTGAGATTCTTCCCATGAGCTGTTGATAGATGATGAATGAAGTCGCTTTTGTCATCGAAAATCTTTTTGTCAACATTTTCCTCAGAGTGATCCATTTCACAGCACCAAGTGATTGCGTGAATATTTCGCGCCCAGTCAACACCATGCTTTATATGCATATGTGTTTCCCAATCTTGAATATGGGCGAAGAATCGTGGGGGCTGTTTGCACTCCTCGGAAATACAAACGTAAGGCTCAATGTCCTGGTCAATGTGAACACTAATAAATGACGGTTAGGTGCGACACGTTACTGAGATCCCAATTTGAAGAATCTACATACTTCCACATCCGTCTCGTTAGACTAACTACCTCCAGAGATTTGGAACAGATGGGGCACATAGCATTTAGTTCGTCTTTTGCTGCAATAGGCATGTTAGGATAACTAAATTCTTCGTTCTGAATCTCTCGAATGGAAGGGTTTTCGTTGCTGTGAAAATGTGTGGCTTTAGACTTTTCCAGTGAGCTATGAAGCTCCTGTACGTTGATATGAAAACCAGCTGCCTCAGATATGAAGATATCTTCACTCGTTGAAGTTGTATGGTGGTTGGCCGGTACCTCCATTTCGACATTCTCAGATGCCCGCGTGATATGTTCTTTGCTTTGTGGCCGACTTAAACTATATTCTCTTCCGATGACAGAGTTCATACCATTCTGCTGCTGGTAAAATATCGACCTTTTTCTGATACATATAGACTGGCTAAGCTGGCTAATGAGACCTTGCGTGGCATTTGGAAATTTAATTTTCACAAAGTCTTTGAAGCAACGGCTATCATCTTGATGCTGCGAGTCGAAAAATTGTCTCTCTTGACATTCTTTTGCCATAGATCGTTGTATCAATCTTCCTAAAGCATGAAGCCTTCGAACAGCTACATGAACAGCACGTAGACCCAGAAGCAAAGGCAAACTTTCTGGGATCCCGTCAATTGATTCTGCTAGTGTCGCCACGCTATCAAGCTTGGTATCAAGCTCTATAAGGCATTAGTTGCTTATAATATAGAAACAAGCGGAGAGGAATGTATTGTGCTTGCCGTGTTTCAGGTTGTCCCGTATCATAATTAGAAGTTCGAGAATCATACTCTTGAGGCCATCTTGCCCCACTAAGCGAGCATCGAGAGAAGACTTAGTGGTAGTAATTGCCCCAATATAGGCTGCCCAGAGGTTAAATTGACCTTGAAGGTCCTCGGCAAGATCAAGTTTACCTGTAGTAGGCCCAAAGGTTTGTACATATTGTTCAAAAAGGTGCGAGCAGCTCGCTGCTGCGTTATATATACTCTCTCCGTTGATGGCTGAGGCCATCTTATAGAATATATGTGTATGTGTATGTATGTAATCAGTTTCCGTGATTGAAGAAGCTACAAAGATAGAGGGGCCAAGCGGGGTAATAAGATGAGGCTCTTCGGATAAAGAGTGCGCGGATAACGATCGATCTATTATACATTTACAGAATATGTGCAAGTAATCTTTTCAACGGTCTTCATCACTTACTGCGATTCAAACAATACGTTACGCAAGTTGTACGCTAGCTTACTTTACCAACTCAAAGGCGTAAAGCAAATCGGATTTGGCGTCTAAGAAGATGTATCTCGCCCGTGACAGTGGAGGACGCAGCGAGCTCTTATTCGCGATACACCCCGCCTTCGTCGATGCACTACCAGTGGCATCTCCGAGCCAGTCTGTCCAAGAAAGAAATCATATCACCCTTCTGAGACATGAAATAGCCAACATTATGCAAGTATTCGACACCAAGTGCGCCGAACAGGATCTCTCGGAAGATACATTTTGCATTTGCATAGATTCCCTGAACAGTATCCTTGTTCTATTTGAAGATCTAGTTGTCGGAAAATTCCCAGCTAGAAATTGCAATAGCAGCGATGAATTGCATGCAGAGTTTCCAAAGCTTGTTGCTCTTAAGTACCAAATTTCCACAGGAGAACTAGTGTCTGCATCCTTTTGGGTTTCATTTGGGGGGAAGCCAAGGCAACACAACACAACACTAATTGTACAGCATTTCAACCAAACCATATCGAAACTATTCTCTACAATTAATTATGAGTCAAATACTTTTCGTTTCTATGAAATTGAAGATGACTACGAGTCAGACAAGGCTCTGTTACGCAACGCCGAGGAGCTCGCGGCAGCTCTGGGAGCAATTTTCGAACAACTCAAAGCATTGATATGTCTAAAAGATCCGGAAGGCCACAATTCCTATGTGCGACTCTCCGAGTTTGCGAAAAATGAGCTCCAAATGATGATATCTATCTGCGGACATCGAAGTCTGTGGCAGCACGTGGTCTTTCATATGGAGACTACAAACAATTGCAATATGAAACACTCATGGATAAAGGAGATTTGTTCGGAGTTGACACGTTCATACCGGAAAAAAAGGGTGTTATCCATGACCTTCGATGGAAAAGGGTTTTGCAAAAACTCCACTAGTGAGGCTCACGGGAAGGAATCGGCGATATTATCAACGGAGACCCTGAGCAATATTCTCCAAAAGGAAGAACAGCTAAAGCAAGGGAAAGCTAGTCACTACAAAACTATCAGAAAGAAGGACAAAAGGCGACTCAGTTTACTCCTTTCTAATTCCCTTATCCATTTGTCCGGCAGCGCCTTATTGCGAAATCCTTGGAGTGCCAACACCATTCATATTAGACAACGGAAGGATGGCTTCATCGGCCAAGATACCGCTCCAGAGGCATACATGACATACGCATTTAACTCACAAATTATCGAGGAAAATGCCATCAACGAAGACCTAGAACCGGGGGATCCCTATGTTTTAGGCCTGGCAAAGCTCTTACTAGAACTAGAATTGGGAAAGGAAATCACCGTGCTTGATGAAGATATTGACGAAATCACTGGTAAAACATCGTTATACATGGCAATTACCCGAATTCACGGAGACCTGGATCAGTATTTGGAGGACATGGATCCATTTATTGGGATAATAGATTCATGCCTGCAAATTTGCACCGATCTCTACGACATGGACCTCCGCCACACCAACAGCAAGGATTATTATCACAAGCTTAGGGAAGAGGTATTAACCAAAGTGATTAGACCTTTGAATCAAAGGGACAAAATCATCAGCAAACACTGGAAATTTGTCCAAAGATCCAGAACATCAACATCCGAGAGCGTGCTGTCTAACACAAGAGAGAGTCCTTCTCCAGTGCCCTTTATCGAAGCTTACCGCCAATCGTCGGTTAATATGGCCGAGATTGCCAAAGGTGGAACCGCTACAGCTATAGATTCATCAAAAGATCATCTATTGTCCTCTATATCAAATTCTGGACTACTATGTGAACCTTCCAGACGTAACGTAAGTATATTCACACAATGATATGGAGATGGGCTGATCCAAGGATAGATATCAAGTAGTGTGCAATGGTTGAAAGAATTTGACTTCATCAACCGAGATATGGGGAGGTTAATTTCCGTGTCCAGAGTCACGTCAAAAAATAGAAATATCAGACTAGCCATTCTAGATACGGGCTGCGATTTGACTGCACCTTGTATGGCAGTCCTTCCTGGCGTCCCAGCACGCTTAGTAGGCCACTGGAGAGATTTTCATGAAGGCTCAACGGAACCGGTAGATGAGGATGCGAAACAGCACGGAACAGCACTTACAGCTCTTCTATTCAGAGTGGCATTCAATGTCGATATTTACGTAGGTCGAGTTACGAAAGATCAGGCAGATTTACCCAACTCAACTCAAAATATATCCAAGGTAAAGAGGAAGGTATTGTTCTCACCTGAAATTTTATCATAAGCTAATCAATCTCTTCTAGGCAATTCATTACGCCGCGGCCGAATGGAAGGCTGACGTCATTACAATGTCGTTTGGCTTCCCGTTTATTGTTGATGAGATTGAATATGCCGTTACAGATGTAAACAGAGGCCGCCGAAAGGACGGAAAGAGTGAAGTGGTCTTTTTCGCGGCCGCGAACAATGATGGGCTAAACTCGGAGGAAATGTTTCCCGCAAGCCTCGAGACTGTTATATCAGTACGTGGAACAGATCATACCGGTGCGTTTATCAACAAGTTCAATCCAATACCTAGGCCACAGAAGGCAAGAGGCCTGTTGTATGGCACGCTTGGTCAAAATGTTCCATACGACATAGGAGACAACGGTGCCCAAATGTCGGGATGTTCGGTGGCCACTCCAATCTTGGCTGGTATTGTGGCGACAATTGTGCAGTATGCAAACTACACAGTAGGAATGGACGCAGAGACGATAACAAGGCTGCTAACAAAAGATGGTATTCTTCAAGTATTGGAACACATTTCTGTGGGGGATGACTTTGGCCGCCGACGATACGTTGCGCCTTGGCTTTTTTTTAAAGGAAAGGAGGAGGAGAGATTGGCGACTATTAAGCATGCTTTATCCAAATTAGAGCGGCATATCACATTGGGGCGGCAGGTTTAGTAAGCTCAAATTCAACATGTTGCGCGACTATTAGAATTGCACAATTCACCTAGTTCCTTTAGCAGCGAATTTTCATTCGTCTTGGAAGAGCCATTCCTGTTGGGCTTTGTCAGGATTAACTTCGGTAATGCCTTCTTGAATTGTGACCACTTCATCAACTGTTGCACCACCATACTCAATTTCGATTTCTCCTTCTTCTGTTTCGTCGCTGCTACTATCCACGAGCATGGCCGCCTTGTGACGATAATCATCCAGCTTGAAAGTCGCATTCGGACCCCAGCCTTTTGGTTTAATGATGAGCAGTTGGTATGCAAAGATGATATCACCTGCGGCCTCAAACCCATTCGAGGTGGTCGTCGTTCTCTCAATGTTGGCATTGCCACCGACAAACATATCTGGAGCAACACTTTCTGATATTTCCGCAGACAGTCCGCGCCCAGATGATCCATAATGGGTTAACTGGAATCCTTTTGCAACTTTCAGACCAGTCACCATGTAAACTGGGCTTCGAAATAGGCTATCGGTATTCAGAATACTGCGAACAATTGGCTCATTGGCGATCGCTTGGATGTCTTGCATCGAAGGCTCATCTCTAAAGTAAGTAGTCTCGAGAGATTTCATGACAATTTTGACAGACTCTGCTCTCTGACGGTTCGGCCCGAGTTTGAGGCTCAGTTGATTGAACAAGCGAGTCCAGATGCTCACATTCACACTCCGTATCTTTTCGGTCTCGAATAGCCAATTATTCTCCGTTACTGTCTCCATCTCAGGTAGAGGCTTGGTGGGCTTGGAGATTGCATACTGAGGGCGGAACGGATCAACAATTATGTTTCCAAGAGCAATCGGGCCATTTGGGCGGTAAGTCCAGTTCGGCGCAAGTAAGTATGTAGGATCTCGAACGTGAGGCATCTTCAAGCAAACAAAGCTAATATTGTGACGGCTTGTGAGCAAATTATTTGGGAGAATGGGAAAGATCTCATGCTCCTTAACGATCAAAATGCGGGGTGATACTGCTGACCACTGGGAAACGATTTATAGGTACGATCCTTAGATTCATGGAACTATTGCTGCGAAACTGTTGATATGCGGAAACATAATGCATAATAGTGGCATTCACACCCTGCATGGGGTTCGGTATATTAGCTGTAAGAACAGCGTTATTCTAAACATAGTCGCTGACATTTTGTCTATAAATGAGAGCTAGCTGATGTTAATTTTACTCTAACATATACTCAGGATTTTGTAGCATGCAGAGGCCCTTTATTTCTCAAGCCGTTCGTAGGGTAGCATTCAAATACCAACCCCACAGATGAAATCACCTATTTTATGCATGCTGCTGTCAGTGAGCTGAAGGCGAGTAAGAACACGAGAGCGGCATTTGTGTGCAGATCAGAGGAGATTGAGTTTCTTGGGTCACATATCATAAGAGAGTAGGAATACGGAATAGACCTCAATCAATTACAGCTGACATCGTCAAAGTGATGGGTCAATTTGCATCCTCTTACAATGAGCGCTTCTTGGCGGCTGAAGAAGAGAGTAACCCCTCATTGAAATCCAATCAGAATCAGAGGCTGCCGTTTTGTTACCATCCGTGGCTGGCTGAGGTCGCCCATTGAGGAATATATCTTCAACTGCACAGCTTTCAGCTATGTCAAGATTTCCGCTTTGATGTAAATGCAACCGCATGGCGGGAGCCATACGCTCAGCGGCAGATGTGAATACTACAGAGAACAACGTGTCGGGCATCTATTCGCTGGATTCTCTTTGCAATTGATGCTGCGCGGAGATCAACCAGGATTTGAAAGTTGCGGCCCCCATGTTGATGAAATACTACAACGTCAACATACGTGATTCAGCTGTTTACCTCGATGGGTATTAACCAAACTGGTAATCAATTGAGAGATGATGCCTTCAAAGGAAACTACTGGAATTGCCATGAGCGTGACGCGTTGGCCAAGCTGAAACTATAGCTATATAAGTCGCCATGGAGGCAGCATGATATACTGTTCCTACCATTGCACAACAGCGCAGAATACATCAGTAACTGCATCTAAATTCTGTCTTATCTCCTCTCACATCATGGACGTCCCATGGATCATATCAGGATCAGAGGATGGAACGATCGAAATCTGGGATCGAGCTACAAGTCAATGCATTGCGACACTCACGGGCCACAGCGGTCCCATACAACGCTTCGCATGGTCACCTATTGTCCAATCACTTGCATCAGCATCGGACGATGGCACAGTCAAGATATGGAACATAGCCACGGGCGAGTGCATATTGACGCTCAATGATCACATCGGTGGTGCTAATGGGGTCGCTTGGTCTCCCGACGGCAAACGGCTTGCAACCTCAGACGACAACATAATCAAGATTTGGAATCCAGCCACAAAGCAATGTGTATTCACACTAGGAGGCCATGACAATCGTATCAATTCCATTGTTTGGTCACCAGACGGTACAAAACTCATCTCGGCATCGGCTGATACGACTCTCAAGATCTGGAGCTTGGCTACAGGCCAATGTATTACAACTTTTGAAGGCCACAGCGACGAAGTTCTTTCAGTTGCTTGGTCGCCCGATACAGTTCACATTGCTTCGGGTTCAAATGACAACAGTATCAAAGTATGGGACGAAACCACAGGCACTTACACCTTGACACTCAATGGCCACAACTCGGCTGTTCGCTCTATCGCCTGGTCGCCTAATACAATTCGTCTTGCATCGGCATCACTGGATAATACTATCAAGATATGGGATACATCGTCAGGACAATGCACAACAACACTTGAAGGTCATGAACAGTCCGTCACGGAAGTTTCATGGTCGCCTGATGGAGCCTGGCTTGTATCGGCATCGGACGATAGCACTATCAAAACATGGGATGCAGCTACCGGCCAATGTTTATCAACGCTTACAGGTCATGAAAGCCCAGCCAAGACGGTGCTTCCTGTGACAAAGATTAGCAAACTACCTCTCGGCCAACTTAGGTCGTTGCTCCCGCGCAAGGACGAGAAAGACAATGCCACAGTGATCGCATCGGGTTCCCAAGACCAAACAGTGAAACTTTGGGATCCAGAATCTGGTCTCTGCATCAAAACACTGGAAGGTCACACCGGGATAATTTGGTCAGTTGCGTGGGCTCCTGATCAGAAACATGTCGCATCTGCAAGCGACGATGCGTCAGTTAAGATCTGGGATTCCACAACTGGCCTTGCCAAGTTCACGCTTCAGCATAAATTTCCTGTCTACTCTGTTGCCTGGTCTCCCGATGGCACTAAATTGGCTTCGTCTTCAGGAGATGGAAACGTTTGGATCTGGGATATCACCTGGGATTCAGATGTGGCCCCGCAAGCTACCATCCTTACCAACACTGGCAATGCCACAACACTTCTGGCCTGGTCTCCAGATAGCACTCGACTCTTATTGGCATCGCCGACGGATAGCAGGCTCAGAGTCTGGTATTTGGTTGCTGGCGAGAGCTCGGTTATCGACCTAGATGTCGACCGCCGAGTCGATTCCATTGGCTGGTCACCCGACTCTAAGCTCTTCGCGTCCGGAGGTAACGACAATGAAATTACTATATGGGATGCAGATACGAAAGAGAGTAAATTGGCTTTGAAGGGCCACCGGGGTTCGATTCTTGGACTTTCATGGTCTCCTGATGGCACCAGAATTGTAACGGGATCACAAGATCGTATAGTCAAAGTATGGGACCCAGTCTCTGGTAACTGTCTCTCAACATGGGAGGGACACTCCAAATTTGTACAGTCTGTCTCTTGGTCTGCGGATGGAAAAGATGTTGCATCAGGATCACGAGATTACAGAGTCAAAATTTGGGATGAAGCTGAAAATAAGTGTAAGGCGACACTTGAAGGGCATACTGGTGAGGTTTGGACGGTTGCTTGGTCGTCTCATCCCAAGCCGCCAACGCCTCCGCCGCCTCCAGGACCTGATCCTGACTCCGGCTTGGCTCGGTGGATGCAAATTTTCATGGCTTTGCAGGGCCGCCTACATGATTTGGAGTCGAATGTCGATGGCGTTGTCGATTCGAGTGTCAAGGCAGCACTGGGATCAATCGCAAAGGGTCTCGCCAAGTTCAACGAGCTCATCGACCTTTGGCCAGACTATACAGGAGACGATGCATCCAATGAAAAGCGCAAGGCCATCATTCAAGAAGCTACAGATCTCATCCAAACTGGTGCCGGCTTTGTAACCGGCTCAGGGACAGACGGTGGGGTAATTCCTCAGGTAAAGAATTGTTCAAAGCCACTTGTATAATTACGTGCATATATGCTAACATACATAATCTTCTCACAGTTGAACGACATTGAAGAAGAACTGAAGGAGAAGAAAGCCAAGTTTTACGAAGAGACTGAGGAGGAGAAAACCGAAATATCATCGTTGGAGGCAGACATTGACGCGGCTATAGACAAGATGAACACCGACCAAGAGGCGTATGAAGAAGCTCAAGCCATATTGCTTGCAAAGATAGAAGAGGTTTCTCTGGAGGCTGCCATGCAGCGCCAGGAATCACTCAAGAAGAAAATTGTTTTGGTATGCACAACTCCAGTCTGAGATGTATAGCGACGCAATCAACAGCTAGACTAACATACTCTGCAGGATGGAGTAAATTACACGTCGCTTCTTGAAGGAAATGGAACGCTGGACGACCTTCAACAAGCCGGCGAATTGGCCTACTTGATTCTAGACAGGGCTCAGAACAAAGTCCGCAACCTCGAGTTCCGAGTGCAAGCCCTGAAGCGCATCCAGAAGAATCGGCCCATGGTCCAGCGAGCGATTGGCAGGGCCGAAAGGCTTATATCTATCTTGAGAATGATGACCCAGGGCTTGACCAACGAAGACGGTGCTATTCTAGCCGTGGTCAATCTCATCCTGCCCACCATCGAAAAGCTCGGCAAAGTGGGTGAGCCGCCGTACAATCGCCCACACCGCAGCAGCGAGGATGATTTGTGCACTTATATCTTGACGATTCACAGAGAATCTCTGATTGATGTGGCATTTGTTGAAAGTGCTAGGAAGGCTGTGGCTCAAGTACGGGATTGGTTCGATGATGACATTCCGAAGAAGACTCAGGATGAGATTGATGCGATTGTTAAAAACCCTTTGTACTGAAAATGATTTAATCAGTAAAAAGTTTCTTTATTCTTTTATTTTTGTCTATTTTCTCTTCCTGGTATGTAGAAATCATGTCGGTGGACAAGATGGGCGAGGAGTATGGGCACGACTGGCCTTTGTCGCACGTTCAAGATACATGTACTGCTGTATAACTCCATCTCGTATTTATATTCCCACTCGTCACCAAATGTTTATTCGTGCTAGGTTCAATTTATGGTATCTAGCTTGGGGGAGGCACGGTCATTGACCCGTGCCTGCGCTCTAAGTACATGTAACATTGCGGAAGCTTGTCGCCTGCTAACGGGGCAACGGTTTGTTCGCAAAAACATCGAGTGTTCAGTCACCTCTCATTCCAAACATCTTCTGTTCTATATCCAACTATCGTTCAGCTCAAGCGCCAAGACATTCTTTTAACTGTATCATCACAGTAACAATGTTGTCATCCAGTCATATCAGGGCATCCAGCAGGTCCAGCTCGTCCAGTGAAGAGGACGCCCCGGGTGATTCATATTCACATTCACATTCGTCCGATCCTGAGGGAGGGGATGCCACTCAACAGCTACCAGCTCCAGCAGAAGTCACCAATCCTTCATTGAGATGGCATAGTGGGTGCGCACTTATCATCGATGACGGGTTCCTAGGCGGCCAGGAGCTCGGCTTGCCAACCGACATTCGCAGCCGACTCATGGTGCATTACGTCTTAGGTCATCCTGCGTGGCTTACATTCACCATTGAATTTCCCCGTGCAAGTGAAGGAGAGGAAGAGGGTTTTGGAACGTTTTACTTTAGTGAGATCCTTGTGAATCTCGATTGCTATCTGTGCTAACACGCAATTTACACACCTAGTTATCCCACGTCGATATCAAAAGCCCATGCCATCTTCATACCACAGAATACAAGTCAAGTTTCCCCTGGGTAAATTGGTTCATGCTGTTAAACCTATAGAGTCAGCTCTAGTCAAATCACTGCCTGAAAGAGGAAGCAAATTCTCAGTGTTCGAAATTGATGTCAAAGATGGCTCAGATCCTGTTGTCATTGATTTTGGACTGCCTTTCGACAACCCAGGCCATCCGAGCGACGGATGGATCAACAATTCACAGCCCATCGCTGGAAACCAGACACTACTGGATGTTCTCTCCCAGCGAACTTTCCGTTTTGTGGTAGACTCGCCTTCGGAGGATATCCCGAAATCGTTTGTCCTAGACTACATTCCACCTTCCTTTAACTACCCATATGGCACAGATCACAGCTGGGATCTTGGGCGCTATAACCGAATGCTCTCCTAGGCAAAGGGCAGCTCATTTTTACCAAAATGGAGATTCAAGGATGACAACGATCATCTTGCAGCGATGACGCAGTCCCAAGTTCAAGATTTCGTTTGGCTACATGCGGCGGCCGACGGGATTTACAAGATCAAGTTGCGAGCGTCCTTTGTTTCAACGAGTGGTTCGCCGTCATCATATATCGACGACTTCTACGTCGTCGTGCAACTGAAGGAGTTCCCCAGTCGGTATGATGCTGCTTTGCGCTGCCTTCTCAATAGTGACACGCTGTGCCTACATATTTACGATCCTGCCGTTCGAGCTCCTGTCGATCGCGAGAGGCCAGCAAAATGGCCAGCCCGAGTCATTCACGACTCCACCATCATGAATGCACTTGTACACCAGGGTATAGCAGATGAAAACGCAGTTTGCAATTCGTCAGATGAGCGACATTTGATCCTTGCAGTGCGTCGGCCAAAGGAGATCGACTGTCGGCCCAATTTCAATGCCATGGTAGTGGGCGATGAAGGACGAAAAGATTACTTGGTATCCTTCAATTTCCTCGCGGACTCTAAACCATGCCAGCGTAAAGTCGAGGCTGTGCTGCAATTTCACCCCGATGCAAACCCGACACCTCGAGGGCAGGGCGGCCTGCAATTATTCGGAGCCAGGAGCACTGAATCTCCTACCTCATCTAACATCAAACTCAAGATGAGACTGCACAGAGACCTTTTACGCGGGTATGGATTCTTCAAAATTCTGCGGGAGAATGCTGAGACGCAACCACCGATGCAGCTTGCACAAGGCCGCTCTTTGCCAGCAGTAAACCTGCTTCCAGCGTCCCAGCATATCGTCGACCCACTGATGGAGGATGTTCTCCCCAGAGATCGCAAAAGGTTCTGTACATATCTCAGCAGGGTACCACTGGGTTTTGGCCTTATCACAGGCGTAAGTCTCTTTGCCTTGCTCCTTTGAGAGACGATACTCACTAGTTTGGATGCAAGGATCCTGGTTTTGGAAAGACGACGGTCCTCTCCGTAGCCACGCTCGGCATGTCTATCGCTCTCGGGCCGATCTATGCATGTGCTGCTACCGACGTCGCAGCTGACAACTTTGCGGAGCATCTCAACCGAATCTCTGAGAAATTCACAAGTCGGCTCAATGAGGCCAAAGCGTTGGGCGAAAGTCCAGCTAGGCGTATCCTCATCGTTCGTGGCTACGATATAGATGACGAGGTTGCTGCCTTTCACAAACTCCTCGAAAATCCTCGGATAGGTGATAAGGCAGCTCCTCCATATAATTTTGCTCTTAAACCGAAATGGAGACTGCACTTATCCCTGGCATTCTGGCTGCTTGTGGCCCTACGATCGCCTGCTGTTCGTCCATTTCATTGTGATGATCCTGTAGGAATACAGTCGCTGCAATCGTATTTACATAACCAATCGAATCTTAAGCGGCTTCGCAATGTGGCAACTGGAGTAATTGGCTATCAAGAGTACAAAAATGGCCATACGGTGGATGCCGACCGCATCAGGTTCATGTTCCGGAACATTTTGCGCTGTACTAACATCCTTTGCACGAATATATCCCTTTCTTGTCAAAGGCCATACGATTTCTGGAAGAGCTTAGCCAAGGGTATCGCAGTGGACGAAGCAAACAATGTTGGCCGTCCTGACCTCTACTCAGTATGGGGCAACACACTTCTCCCATGTCTCCTTTGTGGCGACGACAAGCAGCTGGAACCTCGTGTGGTGAGTTTTGGACAAAAAGATGAGAAAGGCCACTCCATAAACAGGCTTGAGGACGACGGTAAACTGTCCGCTCTTCTTTTCTTCAAAGGGAATCGCTGGCCTGTGTTTCGCTTGAGGACCCAACTCAGAATGGCCACTGGACTTTTCGACCTCTGTTATGAGGTGGTCAAAGACATGCCAGATTTTCGATACGGACCCGATTGCGACATCAGTTTGGATCGGCATGCGTGTGGCCGTGAACTAGAAGCCTTTCTACAGAAGAGATTTCCTGGGTTGGCTCTTCCTCTCGATGGCATGCTCTCAGAGGCGTTTATCAACTGTACAGGATCCAAGTTTTATTTCAGTCCAGTGACTGGGTCGGGGTGGAATCCGGCTCAATCCAGGCGCGCGCTACACTTTGTCCGCGACCTAGTAACACAGACAAAGATTACTCCCCCCAATGTCTTCATCATCACACCCTACGAAGCCAACGTCGATTTCATCGAGGGTGAGAGGCAAAAGCTATACTACTCAGCAATCTCATCCATGGCCCCAGCTGCAACAGTTGATGACTTCCAAGGCCGTCAAGGGAACATTATAATCCTTGTGACGGCAGCGACAGAAACTTCAGAGATATCAGAGCCAGGCTACATCTCCGACCTACATTATCTCTGCGTAATGCTCAGTCGTCACATATCCGGATTGGTCATTTTTGGTGATCACAGCATCCCGCAAGCGTGTGACATAGATAATATCCGGAAGGATGTGGCTGAAACCGATAAGAATTCCATGAAAAGCATGTTGAGTATCTTGATGCGGAAAAGGCGAGTTGCTACACTACCGGCCTTTTAACTCTCCAACAATATCACATCCGACGTCTCGTAGTTGCTTTGCACTACGTGTTGTTATTACCCATCAAACCGGCTATTGCATTACATTTCAGACTATAGGAATACTTGAACAGATTACTCAAGCGAGAGACTGGATGAGTAATCTATAGCGATAGAAAAGATAGCGATGAAACACGTCTTTCTGAATATACTCCATCTTGACGATGCATCGCTAACGGTCAGTCGAATGATCGGTGACAGAATAATTTCGCTGTCTCGATTTATCGGCATTTTAACTGTGATCAAACCCGTTTTCGTGCATATATCAGCTACGAATTGTTGATAAAAATAGCATACTGCATCTTGGCCCCATACAAGCCTTGCTGCGATTCAATCGTGGCCACTGCCCTGCTCAACCAGCCAAATTCATTACAGAGCTAATGCAGCATGATGTATCCGTGCCCAGGCTTGTCTAGGTTATTTTTATCTTACAGTCGGCTTGACTTGAAATGTCGTGTTCCCCTGTGCATGAGAGCCTCGTAAAAAAAGGGATGCACCTATTAATAGACACTCATCCTACGAGAGGCACGTTACGTGTACTTTTATTGGTTCAGAATGGCTAACACCGATTTCCGCCTCAATGACTTCATTCAAGTCTTAGACACGTAGCGGTACGATAACGATTGATGGCCTATTGACCCAGCCATTCCCACGACAAAAGTGTGTGAGTGAGGCGGTGCAGTTTCACCCCTGCCTAACTATGCTATTCCGCTCCGGCAAGCGGATAACTGGTCCTTAGGCCTCTGTGCCGCAGTATTCCGAAACACTGATACGTGGGAAGATGCGGGTGACGGAACCGTGAGTGGTGGAATTGAATGGTTGGCGAAGAGCGTATAATGTTGGCAATTACATATTGGTCTCTTAAATTGAAAAGATAAAGTTTTCTTCTCATCGTCAGTTTCCTATAGATTCTTATCACTCTTAACCATAGGACTAAGTCAATCTTTTGGTCAAGCTCCTATTATCATGTCTAAAAAAAATAATAACATTGACAAAGAAGGCAACATTACTTGTAAGTTTCTGCCATCTACTATCCTAACTTTAACATTTTTAACACGTCTAGATCACTCGAAAGTCGTCTCGTCCCCGAAGCATATTGCACAGGGAAAGCACAGAGATTTGAAAGCAAAATGGCAAAATTCGAATACCTGCCACTGGCTAATACAAGAGAGTGCTTTCCAGTCCTGGGAGAAAATGGAGGCGGAATACTCTTTACTCTGGCTACATGGCGGTCGTAAGTTTTCGCACTTACGGCAGACAGTTTTATACTGACTATTAAGTAGCTGGATGTGGAAAATCAATTTTGATGTGAGTTGCTATACCAACCATCCTTGTTATACCTATGATGAGTAGAGAATAATCTTGGTCTGTAGGTCTCGTGTAATTGAATGCATTCGTCAGAATCAGTTCCGGATAAAAGGCCCCGACGCGGTTCACTTGCTCTACTACTATGTCGGCTTCCATATCGAAGACAACCAGAATACGGATGAGCCCTACCGAGATATTTTAACGACATTTTGGGAGCAAACGATCAACAAATTCAGGGACCGATCGACCAATACATACGATAAATATTCTAGCCTTGAGGAAATCGAGAACACTCTGCACGAAATGCTCGTTTCATCAAAACGAGATATATATATTGTCATCGATGCGCTTGATCAACTTCCTGACGTCTTGCAGGAACGAGTGATTTGTGGATTCAACGCACTAGCTCGAAAGCTCCGGTATGAAATGAGTAGCTACCGCCTTAGCGTAGCCATCAGTTCTCGCCATTGCAATTATACCGATGAGTTGCGAACACGTCGGCTGTTCCTGGTTCAAGTTACAGGGAGGAAAAACAGGCAGGATATCAAAGAATATCTAGAAAAAAATCTCAGATCAGCACTCCTTGATGGAAAGCCACAGCTCAAGGGGCGACTATTGGATGAGTTGGCCCAAAAGGCAGACGGAAGGTAAGTGCTGTGAATCCTTCTATTTATACTTTCACTGACGGATAAAATTCAGATTCCTATGGGTTAATCTACAAGCATTAAGCATACGCAATATGAAGCAAGAATCACAAGTCATAGCGGCCTTGCTAAAGCTCTCTCCCCCAAGGAGTTTGGAAGATTTATACAAGACCTATGCTTATAAGTTTAAGGTCTTACAAAACACAAGGGAGCAAGAAATAGTTCAAAGAGCTGTGGCCCTCCTCGCATCTAACATGGGCTCAATGTCGAAAGACGCCATGTGCATAGCGCTGTCAATTGATGCCGACGGGACCATCAACAAGAAGCTTCATCAAGATCTGGTTGAAAATACCTCTGCGATTGTCATGTCCTCTGAAAATTTGATTCAATTCAACGAGCATCTTGGGACTTATCAATTCTGTCATCTGACAGCCTTTGAGTTCTTCAGAACATACGAGCCAGCTGCTTACAACCTCGAGATTGCAGAGCTCTGTCTAGCTTATCTGCGCTCTCTGAAACTTGGTCAAGGCTCTGTGGACGATGCTACATGGCGTAATACCGAGAACCTTGAGTTGGTGATGCAGAATCATCCATTTCTATCATTTGCCTCTTCAATATGGGCCAAAAGCATTCAGAAGAGTTTAATATCCAAGAATATCCTGGCTATCGAAAAGAGGTATTCAACAGTCCTCGACCTGCTTCAGATCCTTTTTGCCAAAAGTCAAGGAGGCAAATTTGGGAACCTTCAATTGGCATTTCTAATCCATTTGTTTAATATGGGCAAGAGATTACCAGTCGGAGTTCACCACGAGCACATTGTTAGCTATTACGGCCTCGCCGAGCTCTACGATATTTTCGTGGCCAGGAGGTGGTTTGATGTCGCAAAGCGTGATGACGATGGATTAACTCCCATCCACTGGGCTTTACGAAACGCGGTGAAAATATACGATGCCAGCTCTATTGTTGCGAAACTGATAGGAGACGGTGCCTTTATCCACGCGAGAGACAGAAAAGGTCACACTCCTCTGCACTATGCGGCTCGTTACGGGAATTTACAAGCAGTGGAATTTCTTATTAAAAAAAAGGCAAAACTCAATCTTACAAATGCGAATAATGAAACAGCCCTCATCACTGCTTGCAGAAAGCATCATGAAGATGTGATATTGCGTCTTGTTAAAGCCGAGGCAGACGTAAGGATACAAAGCTCTTTCGGAACGGCTTTACAAGTCATATCTTTGATCGGGTGTTGTCGTTGTGCCAATGCGATCCTCAAAAGCTACAGACATTCCAAGATCATCAGTGAAAAAGACTGGCCATTCGGCACTTCTCTCCACTCTGCAGCATTCTACGGTCACTCAGAACTTGTTAAACTACTTTGCTCGAAAGGTATAAATACCCGTGCAACGCACAAAATATACGGAACCCCAGTGACAGCTGCCGTTATGGGGTTCAAATCAGGACTAGACGTGAGCCCATTTTTGGATACTATCAAGATATTGCTCAAGTATGGTGTGAAAGTCAATGATCGAAGCGGTACACTCGGACCAGCTCTCCGGGCAGCAGCATACCACGGAAACAGGGAAATGGTGATTCTACTTTTGGAGAACGGCGCCAAAATAAGTAAAGCTGGAGGACGAACGGGTACGGCGTATGAAGTTGCAAAAAATCGTGGACATACAGACATTATGCATATTTTGTCGGAGAGAGGCTAAGGGGTTCTAGATTATGACAAGGATCATGACCTCCCTTAGTATAACCGTCAACAGATTCTGCGGCAAGAGTTTAGGACGACTTCCAGAGCTGGTAGTATGGAAACGATCAATCGTCTCATCAAACAATTCGAGAAATCTTTGAAGAAAGAAATCCAAAACGGCAAAACTCTTTTCCTCAAAGCATTGGTTAGGCTGGGTAAGGACGCCTTCAAGGACGTGATAAAGTTGGCTACAATGTTGCACAAGGACATCGACGTACCTACGACTAGACAAGACAATAGCCATATATCACGTCTCCGAGACAATTTGTCCGAGTTTCTTGGTTTAGGCTCTGCTAACAAAAACGGTGAACCCACCTTGAATATGAAGCTGGCACTGATGGTATGGCATCACCTTATATCGGCATATTGACAAATTCACTTGTCCAAGGCAGTCATGGAAAACACTTCTCTCGAGTCCTATATCGAATGGCCCGGGCTGCAGTGAACATATTGGACACTGCTATTGCGACCAATGACAGACAGCTAATCAGATTGATCACGAACACATGGGTCGAAGCATTGAACAATCTCGTCTCCCATTCTGAGTTGGGAGAGCCAACATTGGAAATTGCAGTCCAGAGGCGTGCAAACGAGCTCAAGAGACATCTTATTAACGAACACCTAAGTTTGAAACGAAGGTTCCAAAAAGCAGAGACTTCTGTTCTGCCTGGCATTGAACTGCTTTTAGTGGCTGTTGAGCGCGGCAAAGGTTTCAGGCACTTGTCCTTTGTTATCTCTAAGCTCTGGATGATTGCAATGAGCGACATAGTAGGGCATCTTGGCAAGGCAGGAGAAGCACCGATGCAGGAGCTGATTCGCATACTTGCGGAGCGATTGTCGGTAGCAGTTAAGGATAAAGATCAGCTGAATGCTGAAGTCTGTGGACAAGCTGGCATTGAGCTCCTGAGAGCGGCAGCGTTGAGTCCGAGGCCAAAATTGCTATCCAGATCCAGTGAGAAAATGGTGATAGAACTGGGAGTAAGACTTGTGGAAAGCATGAACTCCATGGTTGACCAGATTACAAGCATGAGGTGGGAAGAATACCAAAGCTGCTGCAAACATTCGGAACATGATGAAGCTCTTGGCCTTACGCTTGTAGGTCTGGGAGTACTACGCACAGCTATCAAGCAGGATACCGACCATGTGACATCTAAGTTGCTGCCTTTTATTGAATCAGGGTTTGAAATGGCTCGAGAAGCTCATTTGGATCGCCATGCATCTACTGGTAACGGTATTCCGGTTCGCGACCTAGAGGTTATCTTTGATGCTGCTGTCGACCTGTTTGCAGGAACTGAAGAGATACAGCCTGGCAGCCTGAGGATTATGGCCTTGAAGATTCTTGCCTTTTTGGGAGTCAAATCAAGCAACTACCAGCAAAGCGTTATTATGCTCGCCTTTCAACGCGTTGAAGAGGCCTCTCGAATCGTTAACCCTACTGAGAGAAGAAAACAAGTTTTCCGGATTGCTAGGACGATTCTTGCTTTCGCAGATGCTGATATGGGTACCAAAGAGAGAAATCTCACCGTTAGGCTAACTTTTGCTCAACTAACTTCGGGGCATTTAGCTAGATTATTACCGACTATCGCAGAGATAAAGGAGCTGGCCGGATATAAAAAGGTAATTGAGCATTTAAAGAAGGAATTAGAAAAGATGGAAGAATGTAAAGATAGAAGAATATAAGGATGCGCGACCTTGATGATAAACGTTTTGCAGCTAATGGTTCTTTCTTCGTGAAATCGCTAGTTCTAGAGTAGCTCCTCAGTGTATCCAATCTGCATGAAAATAATAGTGCATCTCTTTTGTGCACTATTTTTAACTATAAAACTCATACCAGTTATGGTTTTTCTTCTATCTATTCGGGTGGACTATTGAACATCGCTACGTATATCTAAATGGCGAAAGAGGTTTAAATGACACATATTCGTTATGAACAGCGTTAGGCTGTGCTTTGCGCCAAGCAAAGGCTCATGCATCCTAGGCCTCTTAACTCTCCGAAACTCTTTAAACCAATAATGTGCCCGAGCGTCGTCAGCGCCCTCACTCAGATATTGCATACATTCTAGGCTTCCATGAAGGATCCGTCCAACGCAACAAATTAACCATATTAAAAGCCAGCTTGCCTCAACGAGGAGGAAATTCATCGCTGACACGCTTAAAGACAAAGCCGACTGACTCACACGAACATGGATCAAGATGAGCCTCTTGAATGCCCCGTTGCAGTCCTACTTCCACTCATTCGTCCAGCATACTTATGAATTACTGTCACCGATCATAAGCCATAGTAAAATCCCAATCTTCATCAAGGATATTGACCATCCATGGATCAACGAAAACTTGCAGTGGCTGGAGAATCGCGACGACCCATTCAAAGAGCTGTGCGACCCGAGTTCCGAAATTTATAGAGGAATTGATGGTCGCGTGTGTCCGTCTGATCTCTTTAACCGGCTGGTAATCGACAACAATAGTTGGGGGATGCAGAGGATGCCTTGGAGAAATGCTCGAGAACGGTTGCGAGAAATGGGGGACTGTCCCATGGCTCTCGACTCGGTTAAACATCTCCACGTAGACATCTACGTCAGCAGCGGGGAATACGGACTCAGATATGATTCACCGGATCCGGGAGACGAAATACCCGAGCTCTTTGCAGATATCCTGACTTTGATGCACAATTTGGAGCGAATAGACTGGGGGATTTCTGCGGTGTCTGCCAATTACTTTGAAAGTGTCTTCTCAAAAAGAAACCTTTCACTCCCGTCGGTCAATCACCTCGTTCCAAGCCAGTCTTCCTTCTATCTCATCCCCATGTGTCCGAACCTACGAGCCTTGGAAGCCACGGCATCCAGAAGCGACCAAGGATCCTTTATCGAGAGCACTTCTAAAGTGCCATCCATTCGATCTCTCAATTTTCAAGCTGTACATAGATGGAGCGAGCCTCTACTGTCTGGTAAGTTGCAACGCACGGGCATGGAGACTCAGTTTATAATGAATATCTAGATCTACTCAGAGCCATGCCGAACCTCGTTTCCCTCTCTTTAAGAGGAAGAATTGGTGAGGGTGAGTATAGCGACGAAAGCTTTCACTACGTGGAAGTAGACAAAGAGAAACTACAAATGATGAAAAACAACCTCGGTCTTGAGCCTGATGATATAGTCATCATTAAACGACCCAACGACCCATACCTCAAGGTAAGCGTTCAAGATCGACAAGACTTTTTACGACTAACGTACGTAGACTTTCCTTCGAGAACTTGTCGGCTACCCAAATATAAGACACCTTGATCTTCCTTATTCAGCAGATCTATCTTTGGGGTTTGATGGGGGTCCCTGGTGCGGTAATGCGTATTTCGGGCCGGATGGGCGAGCTTATCATCGCAGAGTGTTACAGGAAGGGGCAGAGACAGATGAGAAAGCGGCAAGAATAGCTTTATCTGTCCTACCACATTTGGAGAGTATATCAATTGGAGGGTCGACTCCCCATATGACCAAAGAAGGTGGGAACAAAGTGGTTTTTGTATGGCCATGGACCGGGAGAATGGAGGAATGGTTGCTAGAGCAAGTCCCCGACGTATCTAAGGATGACCCATGGTACGATGCCTAGGTACTAAGCTGATAAAAACACATTCACTGCAGGTTCGAGCGGAAGAGATTTTCCCATAGATATAAGAGCCATATTAATTAGGACCAAAGCTTTTCTGGATCTCCAACATGTGTGATCAACAGAGAAATCTTACTTTCATGTTAGCACATAATCAACTGACTTTGGGCATTTGGCTAGTTTAGTATCGAGTGTTTCCGAGACGGAGGAACTGGCTGCATATAAAGAAGCCGTTGAGTATATGAAGACGAAACGAGCGAAGATGGAAGAACATAAGAATGAAGAATATAAGGATGGGAGCGAGAGAAATCTAGACAGTTAACTCTTATTCGTATAGTCTATTTCTATTGGTGTTAAGGACAGTCGTTCTGTGCAATACATATACAGACAACGGTGCACCTGTTACCTACCTACCTAGATGACTACTACTTCAATGAATGATTTATAAGCACTCTCGTTGAAGAAGCTGTATGAAAAGGACGTGAGATATTAAAGAGAAAGGAGGACACCATACTAAATTTACAACTTAGAATAGATAAGATCGAAGATTGCTGCGGTATATAAAACGAACGCTCCCGATATTCCAGGCTTTGACCATGTGTAGTTCGCATACAAAGGAAGAACTCATCACAAGGGACATCAGATAAGAGTATATTTCACTGGCATAAATTTCACTATCAGACACGATCTCTCATGGGATGGGATTTTGATCCTTGTCAAGTCCTCTTTGCGGTTGATATCATCGATGCAAAGCAAGATAACCAATTACAAGATTCGGAAACTCTCCGGCATATCACATCCAATGTTAAAAGACATCATGAGAACCACGACTTAGCTCAATACAACCTCCCTGGGCAAGCTTCCCTCCAGTTTCTGCAAACCATATCGTCGTGAAAAAAACACCATGACTCGCTACTTCGCATCATGTAGCACACTCGTGACCAGTCCAAGATGCATAAACCGCAACGCTACCACAACATATCCATGCCTAGCTCCCAAGACCAAGTTGCCCGACGCTGTCAAACTCGACATCCTTCAGCGGTCAATATGCACCTTCGAAAAGCCACATCCCGCTTTCGACAAGTCGTCCAAGGCCCTCCTCCACTTCCAGGCCTATATCCGGCCCCGGGCCCTATCACGACATAGTACAGTTAGATACGATACGAGTTCCAAATAGTAGGCCCGGTATTGGACACACACCGCCTCTTTTGATGCATTCACACCAACTCTTTTTTCTCGGCCGATGCTACTGCCGCCACCACCACCTCACTTTTCGTCCATATAACCGGGCATGGCAAAAGCCGGCACATCACTCATCTCCCCATCTTCCCATCCCGTTCCCCCCAGACACACTTTTGACTTATGTCGGGTCTCAGTGGCCAACCCTTTTTCTACTTTCGCCATCACCTGCCAAACATCCGTATTGCTGGCGCCCTTCTTGAGTCAAGTTTTAGTCCTATATTTACATTCACCGTCGACACTATATTAGTCCTTCTCGACTTACTTACTTACTTACTTACACAAAGCCCTTCTAACCTCTCTCACTACGCCATCCCCCCTCGCCCCCAGCTTCATAGCTCTCCCGTCCCCAGCTTTCATAACTTACTAACTAGTTCATTCAGCTGTATAAGCTCCAGCTGCCCCCTTTGGTCCGACCCGACAAAGAGCAAGCAAGCTGAACAAGAGATTCCATTCCGGTGCATTTTCTCAACCTCTCCGCCCATCCACCCAATCACGCCCCATCTTCGCCCTCCTTTCGCTGCACAATCCGGCCGGGCCTCCACACCGAGTTTCCCGCGTGGTCTCCCGGGTGACTTTTTCTGTCGTCCGAAAAAACAAAAAAAAAATGGGAGGGGGGAGGGCGTGTGCATTATCGTCCTCTAGCCCCCCCTCCCCTCCATGCGAATATCCCGCTTTTTTTCTTTCTCTCTCTCTTTTTACGGCATCGTCTAGACTACTAGTAACCTTGACGTGCCGTGCCTTGCTTCTGGGTGCGGTCCATGTAATGTAATGTACATGTGTGTGTCTGTTATGTATGTAATCCGGGCAAGGGGACGTGCGTTACATGCGACATGTTACATGCTGCTTCTCAGTCTCTTCTCTTGTTTACGGGTCCGTCTGAGTGCGAGTGTGTGAGTATCAGTGTGAGTGGGCATGGTGTTTGTTGGGGGAATAGCCGGGCTTGACATTTTATTTTGGCCTGGACCAGGAACAGGACACATGCTTTTCTGAGAAAGTAGAAGAGGGTAAAAAAAAAAATCGAGATGGTGGGTTAGGTAAAAGCTGAGACCTGGCCAAGAGAGGAAAATTCTGTTTCATCACGAGAACGGTTTTTAGCCGGTGCCGAACCTGATTTATTGAGACATTCGGCTCGCTCGCCCTGAAGCTATCGCGCCCGTGATCGCAACCACCAAACCTTTTATATGTTCGCACATAATTATCGCGTCGCGATATCATTTCTTCATCGTCCGGCTGATTGATCGCATTCATTACTTTTCTTCTTTTTTTCTCTATCCTGTCTACTGTCACAAGTCTTCCTCGGCAAGAAATATAATCGCGCATGTCGGCTCCAGTCGCATCCATAAACCGCTCAGTCGCAAAGCCATAATACGGCAACTTTTATCCTATAAATTAAAAACATAAATCTCTAGGCAAATCCACACAGAAACATCAACTCTTTTCCCACAAAAAAATAAGAAGAATCTCCATCCTCTCCGGCACCCTGTCCTTCTTTTCCATCCCTGCTCGAATTCCCCTGGTCCCCATACACTCGCATGCACCCACTCACACTCATTTCTCCCCCTCCAGCCTATCGTATCCCCAGACTCGATCCACGAAGGCCAGGATTCGAGCATCGTTGCCAAAACATGGTGTCTCGCCTCTTGTTCCTACTGGCGGCGCCGGATCCGCTTGCTTTGACGTAACTGGCAGCTTCGCAGAAACTACACATTTATCGATAAGCCCGGTTTTGCATGGTGCATTTTGGAACTGCATGATGCATATGCAAAATGCATCCTTCGTCACAAGGGGGTGGGATGGATGGGAGAATGGGATAGGAGAGACGGGCGGGCGAGGGAGGGTTGCGGTTTGTGGCCAGGTGAGCCAGTTTAGCCAAACTAATCGTTGTATTTCTCTATTCTAGGAAGAGTAGTCTTCAAGGTCGATCACTTATGAAAAGAAAATGGAATGAAGTTATAGATACAGTAGTAAGAAGAGTAAATTCGTGGGCATTCACACGTTGAGATAGACAAGTGTGGCGACCAAGACTCGGTGGAATGAAACACTAACACTCCACTGCTTATTGCATCCAGACCACCTCGATTCTGTCACCATGCAGCTCTTGGCCCGTCAAAGTGTAATAAGTAAATGAAGGGGCGTGTATACAAGCACGAGAGCGGGAGGAAAAAAAAGTGCGCAGTTGCATGTACGATATGTGCTCGTTTAATACTCCAAGAAAAAAAACTCCTCTGATATTCATTATCGGGTATTATATGGTATCATAAATCTCATAGTATACAAGAAAAAAGTTTCCAAAAAGGAAATAAAAAATAAATAAAAAATAAAAAATCATCGCTTGCTTGTCAAAAATCCAAATGCCAACCACATGTGTTCTGTTGTTATTCCAAATGCCTTTTTTTGTTCTTTTTCGTTTCTTTTTTTACTTTTGAAAAGATGGCTTTTTTTTCCACCTCCAAGTAATACAGGCAATATGCTCAAGTCATGCAAAAAGTAGTTCGTATCAATACAAAGGAAAAGAAGTAAAAGGAAAAGGAAAGGATGTCAATGTGTAAAGACAAAGACAAAAGGAGTGATGCGCGGGAATAGAGGATGCCGCTATGAGATCATCATCCGACTTCCTTTACTCCCATCGATAACCGCCGTCATCGTAGAGCACGCGGTCGCGGTGGCGACGGCCGCCGGAGCCGATGGTGGAGCGGCGTCGCGGCCTGATGCGCTCGGCAAGACGCTGCCGCTGGGCCTCGTCTTCCTCACGCTGGTCCTGCTTGCGGGCAATGTCGCGAGCCTTCTCCTCGCGGCGCTCCTCCTCAAAGCTCATGCGCCTGACGCTGTCCGTCAGCTTCTTGACATCGTCATCGCCAACGGCTGCGGTGGTCTTGAAGGAGAAGGCGCGGATGGGGGCGGGAGGCATCGGCACGGGCGGGCGCTTGTTGATCTCAGCGTTGGCCTTTGCAATGCGGAGGCGGATGCGGCGCTGTCGCTCCTCTTCCTCATCGCGCTGCTTGTCGGCCCGTCGCTCCTCCCGCTCGCGTCGGTGTCGAATGGTCTCCTCCTCGTTGGCGCTGCTCCGTCCGTGGCTGTCGCGGGAGCTGGTGGAAGAGTGGCGATCATGCTTGGAAGTAGTGCGGGCCGAAGGAGGGATTGCCTCGACTACCTCGACCTGGATACGAGGTCGCTCAACCCGCTCCGCACGCTCATTGCGCTCCACACGCTCATCCCGAGGAACCCGGCCATCGACAATGATGGGCCGGCGGGAGAAGCTGGAGCCAGAGTCGCGGGGTGAAGAGCCGTAGACAGAAGGAGAAGCGGAAGCATGGGCGGAGGCATTGGGCGAAGGCGGTGCGCTGGGGAAGTTGAAGGCGGTAGGAGGAGTTCGTGGGGTGGGCGGGCCTTCAACTAGAACGATGCGCTCGCGCCGTGATCCATCGCGGCCAAGGTCATATACTTTCTGTCCGTTGATGTAGAGGCTGGCAGAGCGGCGCCGTGAGCTCGAGGTGCTGCGGCGAGATCGGTCGGACTCGTCGCCGGAGCGGTAGTTTGGTGTGCCAGATCGTGGGCTGTAAGTGGGCGTGGGCGGGAACTGGCTGACGAAGGGAGAGCTGGGCGAGGTGCCGAACGATGCCTCTGAGTGCTGGATGTACTGGTTGGGGTGCTGGAAGACGACGTTGTTGGAGCAGACCTTGCCCTGCCGTGATGCAGAGCAGAAGACGGGCTGGCGAGACTGTTCCTTGTGGCCGTCTGAGTAGACGTAGGTGTATACGTTGGTGGTGCACATTGTGTCCGATTTGCGGCGGATGAATGTGCGCGTCGTACGCTGTTGTTGAGTTGCTGGTGAGCGAGAGACCAAGAGTCCTTGCGATGGCAAGGCGTTCGAGTGAGCGCCGAAGCTGGTCCTTTTGTGTGTGGTCAAGTGTGGTGCGATGGCTATTCTTGTTCAAAGACGACTCCGATTATGGAATGTGTTGTTGTTGTTCTTGTTGTTGGTTGGTGTAAGGATGAAAGAGAAGATGCAGCAAAAGGTGGGTATGAAGAGCCTTTTGTACAAAGTGTGTGTTCAATGTCTGTCTCTCTTTGATCCTTGTCCGGAATGCAATGCAATACAATGTAGTAGCAGTAGTAGGTAGTATAAAGAACTTGTGGGGTTGCTGTGCGTTTGTTGCCTGGAAATGCTGGATCGAGAACGAGGTGAGGGTGCATCGCAGACTTATAAAGACAAAGCGATGGGAGTGCGTGAGAAGGGACAAGACCTTGGCCGCTTTTGGCCGTCGTGTCCCTGTTTCACACGCCCCCTCCACTCTCCTTGTCCAGCCATATCGAGTCTCGACAAGAGTCCTGCACCTGAACCCCTGCCGTCTTTCCGCTTTCTGCCTACTGGCAACATGGGGAGTGGGTTTCCTCCCCGGCGAGGCATGTGAGGCATCTTCAGAGCGCTAGCGAGTCCAAGGGCTTCTCCGATGACTCCCTTCCTGTTCGTCCCCAGTGTGGATGCGCAGCAGCAGAGAGAGAGGAAGCCAGTCCAATAGCGGAGCGGCTGAGCGTCCATAGCCACGGACGGTGGGTTTTTGGTCTTCGCAGTTCCTGAGCGGCCAGCCAGAAGGGGGAAGGGCAGTTGAACGGAATGAATTGATGCTTGCTCAAAGCGACCGATGCGAGTGAGTGAGGTCAGAGGTACAGTAGACTAGAGTAGATTCTACCAGATTGCAAAGGTGCACCCAGGCTGCCGCCAATTCTGGCATCCATCTCATCTAGATCGAATCGAGAGAGCGCGAAGAGGGAGCCAAACGATGCTTTGCTCACGGCCATTGCATCGTCGCAGGCTGCAGAATTTCGAAACGGCAGGGCGCTGAAAATAGCAGCACAGACGGCCTCCCGAGAATATTCTGCTGCATCTGCGCTTATTCGAAACGCACGCTGTTGGCCAATGGCAGCGACCGGCAGCGGCTGAAAATACCGTCAAATTGAATTGACAGATGGCAGAGACGCGCCTTACCCGGGCGGCTGATGAAGCTGGCCATGCAGTGCCAATTCGGATCCTGCACAAAGATGCGATTCTAGCCCTACCTTGAACACCGAAGCCAAAGCACCATCCTCACAATTGGCCAACGGGCGACGGCGGTCCAGGCCGAAGAAGCGATGCAGAACACACTGACGCACGTCTCGGATCGCGGGTGTCGACGGGGGATTGACTCATTCAGTTCGGTCCAGAAACCGCACTGACTATGCCGTTAGCAGCAGACCTGCCTGCCTGGCAGTAGCTTCGTCGCATCGATTTGATTTCGTACAGTAGCAATTGATCCATCCAGTTTTCGTATTAGCATCAGCAGTAGCATCAGCAGTAGCGCCAGAGTCTTTTTGGTGATGTCTCTCTGCCTGGCATTGGCATCGCATTAGCAGGGCATCAACCTCACCTGCATCAAATCGACCAGCAGCAGCAGTAGCTTCGACGTTCGGGATCGGCGCGATTGAAGCGATGCCCTCTGGGATTGTGGACAGCCACAATTCAATTTGAAGCTTGGAGTCCTACTCCGTAGATGGTGGAGAGCGGGACACGCCGGGCAATGGCGTCGGTCCGCATCTAGGGGTCCCTGTTAGCGCCCTCCGCACAGCGACCGCCAGAGCACTAACAGCGACCGCTGCAAATGCTGCAGGGCATGGACGCCATCATGCCCGTCATGTCATGTCAGACCTCCACTGAAGACCACTAAAATCCAGGCTCCTGCTTAACTGATTTTCAGCCGCCTGGGCTGTGCTGCCTGCCCCAAGTCCACTGGAAAGTCGCCCAGTTTTTGTGGCCCCTCGCTAAGACCCTGCTGGGCCCTACGCTAAGCTGCTTTCGAGCCAGCCACAAAGCCACGGGCTATGCGCCACACCTCCAGGAGATTGCCGGCTGTCGGCGACACCACCTGCTGCAACACACAATCTTCATCTTCACCTTTCACTGCCTCACTCAATGATGCTTGTTTGTATGCTAGCAAGAGGCAACCAGAGGGAGATGTTGATGCATCGATGGCGACACCCGATCGCGACATCCACAACTCTCCGCGTTCACAGCCTCGCTGACGTGCAGGCATTTGTCCGAAGAGCCTCATTTTTCGCTCCTGCTCCCCCCAACCTACCTAGTCTGGTTCAACAATATTTGCCATCATGACGATATCGCGGCAAACCAAGGCAAACCACCAAGAATCATCGTCATGGCAGAGCAAAGCAGAAGAAGTCCTAGACACGCTACACGGGCCCTGCTACGCAATCGCCAGACTAGCGACGACTGTCAACTACCGGGCTAGCTGAGAGGGAAAACAGTCATGGGACGTGGTCCTGCATGCCCCATCCACCCACAATCGGCCATGAGCAATGACACACTCGCTACCGCGTCTGCCTATCCAATATGCGAAGCCCAGCATCTTATCCAGGCGACATCATTAGTCAACAAGCGCTATCGCTTCGGGTCCGATGCTGCTAGTCTCGCTCTTCTCTCTCACGAGTCTCACCGCGGTGACGCACAACTGCTGCCGGACTCTTTTTGCATTAGTCCGCATGACCACGGCGATCCGAGTGCCTACGTACTTTCGTGTGTGTGCTCCGTATGAGTATCAAGGCAAGGACAGAGATGCTGTTCAAAGTGGCGAGTGGGTGCGGGTTCCAGCAGTGGAGAGGCCACCATGGATGGCTTCTATTGGCTTGTGGCTGTCACCACCAGGTTAGACTTGTGGGATTGATATCAGGCATGTCAAAGATGGCAACGACATCGCCAAGGCTTTTGGATTTGGATACGCGGTTTTGTGAGTTGCATTTTTCTCTTTGAGCATTCATTCATCCATCTTTCCCATGCTACTCCATGCACACACCCTTCCTATTGCATGCCGGCAACTCTATTGATCGCCTTGTCCTTTGATGAATACCCTACACCACTGTCAGTGCGCGTCGTAAGCCCACCTACCCATCAAAGACGTCTACTGTATGGCTTCTATTTTCTGCTACAAGCATGCTTTGTATACGGAGTCTCCTGCCCGTAAGCAGTCCTCCTTTCACGCCGTCCGCCATAAGCAGCGCACTAGACCTTTTCCTTTGAAGGCTGCCTGTCTACCCGGACCCGTCGTCAGCAGTCAAACTCGCCCATTCACATTCACCCCAGCTGTGGCGCTCTGCACAATGCGGCCCCCAAGCAGCCATTTGCACTTATTCTTTCCAGCCGTCGTCCATATTTGGAGTCCTCAGCAAGGGCGGCCTCCTTGTGTGGCGTCTGTAATACGAACGACGCGCAGTGAATACTGGCAGCTGGATGGAATGCGCGAGACAGTAACCGTGGAGTTTGTAGCGAGGTGTCTTGATACTACAACAATGGATGCGATCTATCATAGCACGAGTAGTGGATGGACAATGCCCTTTCTTCTTTGAAAGCACGTTGCAACCTGCCATTCATTCTATTGCTCGCTAGCCCTTGAATGCTTCCCTTTCTTTATCCACTTTCGCTCTTATACTCTCATATTCCAAAGTTCCTGATTCGTCTCTTCTTCATCTCTACGCCGCGACTAACCCACCGACCGTGCAGAACAGGCATCCAATCCCATTGTCGACGTTCCTCTTGCATGCAAGGACGCAAAAAGCAGAGACAGAGGGGGGGCGTGTGGACTGTGTCGCTTGCCAGAACCGGCCGTCGCTCGCGACATTCACGCCCCTCCCTTGTCCTGTGTCTCTCTTTTACTTGTATATTGCATGCCATACCTAGACTGAGACACACAACCATCAATTGTCCACTCGAAATTTTCTTTTCGCTGTCTCGGCAACCCATTTTTTTTTTTCTATTCTGCTCTTGAGAGGGCAGTCAGCCCTGCTAATCAAAAATTGTGCGCCTTGGGGCCTCTCATCTGACCTCGTCTCGCCAAACAAGCTACACTTTGCCGAAGCGCGAGCCATTCGGACGGCTTCCGTTGGGTCACTTGGCCCTTTTCGGGAGGGAGCACGCTGCTCTAAAAATTTTCTTGTCATGATCAGTATTTTTTTTTTTGCTCCCTCTTCGATTTTACTCTCGTCACTTTTGTGGTTTGGCATGTGAGATTCGGTGAGAGTGCGCAAAACCACGCCACACCAGCCACTTTGTTAAAGTGTCCTCATTAAAGTGGCCATTACAATGACCGTTAATGTGTAAGACAGAAGGAGATTATGCATTGTTGACCAGATGGAGAGCATTCCCTGGCGAGGCGAGCAATACAATAGACGTTGTCTCAGCCGGCCATGTCTTGGCCGTTTCCGTCGAGTCGGGCCCTGCCTCTCTGCCCATATTCGGATCCTGGGTCTTTGACGCGCGCCTCCACAGATCCCATTAATGACTGTTTCAAATCTGCTCGGGCTAGCACTCTAAACTCGGCCCACTGTCCCAACGAAACGGTGCAGCTTTGAGGTTTCACAACCTTTGATACGGCTGGACTTGAAGGTTGAAGCTCAGCGCTGACGAGCGTCTGGTGTTTCACCCGCCTCCGTACCCCCTTATCCCCCCATATATTTGGTACTTGGATGCATCCGTTGCGTAGGAGATAGATAGCCATATCCATGATGCCAAACCCCCTGCATCTGCTGGTCGTGGATCTGCCCTCTCGCGACCGCGATGCGATCCTGCAGGAACAGGCCGCGTATTCATCGTAGAGTTTTCCATGTAGTTTCTTTAATTAGAACAAAGGAGACAGTTTGTAAGCGCTCAAACTTTGTTGAGTCTCTGTGGCGAGACCGTGGCCAAGCCAGTAGTTGGTCACGATGTCACTTAGTCACGATCCTCATTACCTTTATACTGTGAGCTGACGCAGTGGCTGAACATGCTGCTTTTTTGGCCTATGTGGCTCGGTTTTCGTAAGAGGCGAGTCTGCTGATGGGTGTATAAATCTACAGTGATTTGAGTCGTAATAGGGCTGTGCAGGTTTGCAACGCCTTTGAGATTGTCAAGTTTGTTGCTGTCCGTGATCGGAGAGGCCGTAAAAGACACTATGAACTCGCGAGGTTTCTATTTTTGTATCACAGTGCTTTTTGTCTGGAGATAATTCCTTCGTCAGTGGCATTTGGAATCACCTAGATAAATCTGTTTCTAATTATATCGTGCTAGAGGAGTCTCCAAAGGTACGATCAAAAGAAGTCGTGAATACTCGCCATCAACTCGTCTTGATCAACGTATTTATTCGTGGCGATGATAAAGTTGTGGGGTAATTTAGATAGAGATGATTCGGCTGCAACGTTGAAAAGTGTTGATCAAACTCGTAGGATTCAGTTCATTATTACTCCTTCGTTGATCGACGCTTCGCTTAACAGTGGCAGTGCTCGCGGATGATGATCCGTCTGACGTGATCTGGAGGCGGACCCAGAATGTGGATGAGGGAATCTCCACAAGGCGTAACTCCTTGGTTTCTCTTTTATTGGCATACAGATGTATCTTGAGAGTTGTTAGGACTACAATGAATGTGTTGAGTTGCATCTACGACCAAGCATATTGAGTAGAGTATCAGTTGCGAAATGTTTAATTGACTGGGTAAGAGTAGAGAGTATCAAGCCTGCGATTTCATCCCCATGAATCCTCAGTTTTAGGAGCTATCGTAGCTCTTTTCGCCAAATGCAAATGTCGTAGATAATGCCCATCCATAGGAGATAAACCCGAATTATTTTCACCGAATAACTGAAGATGAAGCCGATGCCAACGAAGACGACCGGAAAAAGAACTTTTGCGAATTCAAGTGCGAACGAGGTAAATGAAAGAGAAAAAAGAAAAGCAAATAAACCGAGTGCAAATGTCCCCAAGTCCCGGCAGTGCACTCTCTCCCAATTGTGCTCATGTGTATAGTCGACGTGTCCATTAGGTGTACCCATCACCGTCCCATCAATTCAAGTAAGCCCAGAGCCCAAGCCAACCGACAGAATATTCAACACGGGCCGGTTTGTTGGGGAAATAGCGTTTGTCGTTGTCCAAGAGGTATTGCATCCTGTCTGCATATTTTCCCATCTTGTCTGCGAGTTGTCCAGGTAGCAGCTTCTCCAGGATGGGATTCCACTGCTCCTTGAACCAATTTAATTCCTTCTGACCATCAACATTTGCCTCCTTTTTGATCAGTATGTGCTGCTGGCGCAGCGATATGAAATTGTTGTACACGTCAGGCAACACAAGTTCAGCTGCCGGATAGAAATCATCATCTCCGACAGCAGGAAGGCTAGCTAAGTCGCACATGGAAGCTACAATGGCTTTCATGTTCAGAGCTAGAAGTGATTCGAAAGTTTGTACTGTCTTTAGAGCGTCTAGTTGCTCCCAACACTCTCGTTCTTTCGCGATGGCGGATCTGAGAAGAGCTATGACGGCCGGAGCTAGGTTTGGATTTGCTGGAAACTCAGACAGCACCACTTGTGTCGTAGTCCAAATCGAATGCTTGACTGCTGGTGCTAGGTCGATGAGTCTCTTGGCAACTCTCGCCTCCGCTCCAGGACCCCATATGATACATGTATCGAACTGGGGCTCTTTGATGGACCCTTCAACAGGGGATACGGCACCAGTCATTGACATCTTTCCGCGTTCATCATAGTAGATGTGCTCCCCATCAGCTACTTTTACTCCGAGCTCTTTCTCCAGGAAGCTAATATTGAGTCGTTGGATCTCAGCATCTAGGCAAACGGGCGTGTGAAGGACGGTGTTCTTGAGGTCCTCCGGAACTTCCTCTTGGCTACAAGAATCAGCCATGGTTGCCGTCAGTGATGATTTCGTTTCCGAATGAATAGTTTGAGACCTTGAGGGTGAAATTGGAGATCAAAAGACTGAATACGCTTGGAGGGACCGGTCTTGATAGACTCGTTGCTTAACTGCAAAGAGATAGTCGAAGATGAATGGATAGAGGATAGAAGGATGAAGATCAAAGTCAGAGTCGGGAGAGGAGAAAAGATGGGGAAGAAGAGAAAGGGAGAGAGTTCAAAGAAAAGCCAAGTGCTTTAAATGCTCAACGGAGAGCGCAGGAGAAGCAAACGAGAAGTGGAAAGCGGTCAAGAGGAAGTGCAAACGCGAGCGTTAAAGAGGGCGAAGAGGGTGCTACGCATGAGATACCTTTAATAAAGTGAAGTATTCTCATTAGATCAAGTATTTCTTGCTGGCGACTCTCCATTCAAACATTTGGCTTTGGCTATTCAAACAATGTCATCTAGCCACCAGTTTCTCTGCTTACTTCATGTCTCCAGGTGAGGAACTGCACGTAGTCAATTGAAGGGACAATCTTCCAACATGTTCACCATATTAGCAGAGACTAGAATTGGGTCAATAGAGCTACGCTTTAGAGTTATGATAGCATTGACAATTCTCGCTCCAAGTCGTGCAACTGCATACATGTATACTCGCTGCATCATCTCTATTTTGTGCTTCAAATTCACTACATGCGTATATATATGTACCCGACACACTTTCCCATATATTCCAGGCTCATTTCGACAGACCTTTGTAACCATGCCACGCTAAAACAATAAAAGCAGCAAATAATGACGTCGCTCCCGTCACAATCACCATGGGCTCGTACTTGTTGCCCGCGTAATGCTCCCGAATAACCTCTCTGGGCGCCATCAATCCGGCACTGAGAGGTCCAACCAAGATATTTCCAACACCCATCAAAAACACAAATATCGCATACGTGGCAAACACTGTCGACGGATCATCGCTGACAGCTCGACCCATGGCCACACGCATGGTTCCGAAGCCAAAAGCAAAGAAGCCGTAGATGAAGCTAAAGACGGCGAGTAGCGGCAGTGACTTGGCCAGGCCCCAGAACGTAAACGACGCCGTCGCCGCAAAGGCGCAGCAAATAGTCATTAACAGGCTCACGGGCAGACTCTTATCTGAGAGGTAGCCAAAGGCGAATTGCCCAAGAACCTGAGCAATTGACATGAGGCAAACCAGCAACGCGCCCTTGATGGAGGAAATGTCGAAGAGAGAAGCGTAAGAGGGCAAGAAGACGACCGGGAAAAAGAAGCCGATTCCTTGAACCAGGACTGCAGAGCCGTAGATCCAGAAAAGAGGCTGCTTCAAAAAGTCCCAGTTGATCCTCGCCAAGTTGGCCTGGTCCGAGGCTGGCAGTCGGGCCTTGAATAGAGGAAGCAACGGAGCAGTCAAGACCGCCATCGCAACAGCACAAGCCCTTAACGTGACTTTATATCCGTATCGTCGGAGAAGAGCATCAATGATGAAGGGAAGAACCGCACCGGTGGCCCCGGAAGATGCAGAGATGAGTCCAAACGCCATGCCCTTTCGTGCAACCCACCACTCATTCACCATGCTCACGATGGGCATCGAAATGAGCACGAAGCCGAGTCCATAGAGCGCTCCTTGAGTAGCAATGAGGCCATTGACAGAGGAGGTAAATGACGCGGATAAGAGTCCGGCAATGCTCAGAACCCAGCCCAAGTAAATCTGATGTCTCTGGTATTTGGGGAACTTTCTCGCCAGCATAGCGGAAAAGGGCGATCCGAAGTAATAGAAGCCCGTAGACAAGACTCCAACGACGGGGATCCGGACAGCGTCCTTCTGGAATTCGGGAACGTCAGAGTAGTATCTCTGAAAGACTCCGTAGCTGCCAGGGAAGCCTATCTATCGGTCAGTCTGCTGTATTTGAAGGAAGTCAAGCGATATAATGTACCCCAAAATAATGCATCGAATGCAAATGCGCCTAGAAGAGTTGCCCAGGCATCTCGGCCTCGATCAACGGGTTTCAGTTCCTGCGTAACAGTTTCGTTTTCGTGAGGGCTGGCAACCGTCTCATCACGATTCTGGGAATAGAGCTGCAATAGCTCAATGTCCAACTGCCCTCTTTCAAGCTCTCCATCCCGCTTGCTTATCTCGTCGCGAGAACGAGAATATCTTGGCGAGAGTTCAAATTCCACTTCAGTGGTTGTTTCTGTCGCACTCATGGCTCAATTGGTCTCTTGTCTTCATCAATTGAGTCTGTAAACCAACAATACTTCCACCAGTGTAAAAACACAAAACAAAACGAAGCTTAATACTTCTTTCAGACACCCAGAAAGCTTCCAGAATCAACGATTGCGTTTCCTCCCCCACAATCCTAGCGCCCGCAAATCGCGATGTCGGAACCCGACCATAGCCGGAATTCTTTCTCGGCGGGGCTTCTCGACGAGTTCCACAGAAAAGTTCGGTGTGAGTCAAATTCAAAGCATCTGCGCCCTTCCAAGTACAAGCAGATGGAATCGTCCGAAGCCTATTGTTAGGGGCTCTTCGGCTATGGTTTTAACCGCCTGCAAATGCCGGGGCTAAGAGCGTATCACAGCGAGCCACGAGGCAACCCACAACGAAATCTCATCGCTCAAAGGCGCGCCTTGTTATCCATCTATAGATCTATTAATCTTCTGTAATCTATCATCATCATATCATCAAATCGCCCGGTTTAATAGTATACATAATATGTACAATGTACACTTCTAATTCCTCACCTCACCGTCCGTCTTTGGCTTCGCAGTTCCCCTCACAAACTTGGTGTGATGGCCCTTGGTCACCAGCGTCTTCTTCTCCTCTCCATCCACAACCTCAACTTTCTGAATCAAAATCGTCACAAATGCCATTGATCCTCCAACCTTCTCCGCTGTCGCCACAATCTCCACGACATCTCCAGCTCCCGCCGCGCTGCTCAAGTAGCTGATGTGCATGTCGACGCTCGCGCCCGTCTTTTCCCTCAGGTCCCATGAGGCAATTGCCAGTCCCGTTGTGAAGTCGATAAAGGCAGCTGAGACAGCGCCATGTAGACCGCCTTTGGAGTTGAGATGTGTAGATGTAAGAGTGAGGCGGCTGACGACGGTGCCAGCGACGACAGAAGTTTGCTTGATGCCGGACAGGAAGATGTTGTAAATGCTACTGTTTTGGAGCAGCCAATCGGACAGCTGCTCGACGTGGGCTGTCCGCTTGGCCTCGAGTTCTAGTTGGTCTTGTGAAGCCATGGCTGTATCTTCCTCTTGTTTCTCACTTTTAGATATGTGGTGAGTGAGAGAGGAGGCGAGTTGTATGTTTGTGAATTGTCGAGGTTGAGGCTCCACAAGGAATCCGGTGGAGATTTCGGCTCGGGTCTTCTTTCAGTCTTATCGCAATCAATCTCAATCGCCACGGCTATTCCGAGCCTCACTTCACTTGGCAACTCCAATTACAAAATCAAGTGTACAGCACAATAGATGCACAGTATCAGCCTCGTGAGCAGTAAACTCATAGCAACTTCATTATTATTTAATTGAAGGCTCAATATGTTCCACCTCTAAGTAGGAGTTGTTAGAGCCATATGAAGGCAAATATACGCATGCTTCGTCAACACATTAAGCCATTCGTACTAGAACTAGATTACAGCACAACGGCAATCGCCCAGGTGAGAGCGAAAACACCAGCAACAAGGCTCATCTCCAATCGAGAACCTGCACTGGGAGGGATGGTTGGGGGAGCGGTTGGCTGACTTCCACCTCCGTTGCCGCCTCCATTACCTCCTCCGTTTCCACCGCTTCCGCCCTCTCCTCCTCCGGAACCTCCAGACCCTCCAGAGCCTCCTGATCCGCCGGTAGGCTCGCTGCCTCCGCTGCCTCCGCTGCCTCCGCTGCCTCCGCTGCCTCCGCTGCCTCCGCTTCCACCTTCACCACCTCCGCTGCCTCCAGTAGGAGAACCAGAGCCTCCAGAGCCTCCGGAGCCTCCGGAGCCGCCGCTGCCACCACTGCCACCGCAGTTGGAAGAACCACTTGAACCGGTAGCGCAAGCACACACGGAAGAAGCTCCGGTGATGACGGCTTCCAGAGAGGCTGCGGGACAAGCTGTCGCAACGCAAGGAACCAGAATCTGGGACAGGCTGGCCTGAGCTGCGGGCTGGCACTGGCATGCGTAGTCGTTCACACCGCAAGAGATCTTAGGAGCAGCGCTCGTGAAGCAGGCTTGAGCACAAGAAGGAACAGCCGAGGTAGCAACAGCACCGCAGTCAGGGGCCTCAGTGTTGCAGGTAGGAGAAGCACCACCACCGCCACCAGGAGTCGTGGTGGGAGATCCGCCACCACCGTTACCACCGCTGTTGCTGGGACCGGAGCCGCCAGAGCTGCCGCCGCCAGGGGGGCCAGAACTTTGACAAGTTCCAGGGGCAATAAGTGTAGGTGAAGCACTAGCACAGGCGCAAACTACAAGACGAACGGGTCAGCATGGAGGTATGTTTTGAAGGAGATGTATAAACGAGTAGGCTCTTACCTGAGCTGGCTCCAGTAATAACAGCTTGCAGAGAAGCAGGAGGGCAAGCCGTTGCCACGCAGGGAACGAGCAGCTGGGTCAAGCTAGCCTGAGCTTCAGGCTTGCACTGGCAGTCATAGTCATGGACATCACAAGGAATCTTGGGTGCAGCAGATGTGAAGCACGCCTGAGCGCATGAAGGAACTGCTGAGCTGGCCACGGCGTCACAGGTCTTGACAGGCACAGGCTGGCAGTTGGAGCCAGTGGCTGAGGTTCCAGGGCCGGTAGTTGTGACTGGTGGCGGTGGGTAAGTGTTGCCACCTCCGGGCTGCGATGAGGATTGAGAACCTCCGGGACCTGTGGTGGTGGTGGCCGGTGGTGAAATTCCGCAGTCGCCAGGGCTAGGAGGCGCGGTGGCACAGGCACACACTATCAGAGAGAATGTTAGTATGACAACTTATCTTTGATATATGGATTGATTTGATTCTTACCCTGAGAAGCACCAGCAATGACAGCCTGGAGCGAAGCAGCGGGACAAGCAGTAGCAACACAAGGGACAAGCAGCTGAGTCAAGCTAGACTGAGCCGCAGGCTGGCACTGGCAAGCATAGTCATGAACATCACACGGAATCTTAGGAGCGGCACTGCTGAAGCAAGCCTGAGCACAGGATGGGACGGCGCTGCTGGCAACAGGACCACAGTCAGATGTAGTTCCGGGCTTGCAAGTCGTGCCGGGACCACCAGGGCCGGAAGATGATCCAGGGGGAGCTGAAGTAATCACGCTGCTAGAAGTAGTGCAGGGAGTCTCTGATGAATTAGGAGGCGCAGTGGTCGTTGCAGTTGTGGTTGCTGGGGCTGAGGTGCAAGGTGTAGTTGGGTGCGCTGTGACGCAACCACAGAGGCTTGAGACTTGGTTAAGAACGTCAAGAGCAGTGTTACCACAGTTTCCTAGAACACAATTGACAGCAGCACCTTGAATGACATCGGTCTTGCCACATTGACACTCATAGTCAGAGACAGCACAGCTGGCTTGAGTTACGGCAGCGGACTCAATGCATGGTTTGGCACAATCATACACGGCATCAGCGCTAGCCTGGCAGGGAGAAGTAGAGTCACAGCCGGGGGCAGCAGTTGTAGTAGTGCCTGGTGCAGAGGTGATGGGGCCAGTCGTCGTTGAGGGAGGCTCTGTGGTGTCTGACTCTGAGCAGTCCGAAGTAGACTCAGTGGTAGCAGGAGGTTGAGTCGTAGTGGCGGGAGGTCCAGTTGTGGTAGCTGGAGCCGAGGTGCAAGGAACAGTTGGGTGCGCAGTCACGCAACCACACAAGCTGGAGACTTGTCCGAGAACGTCGAGGGCAGTGCTGCCACAGTTTCCTAGGACACAGTTGACAGCAGCACCCTGGATAACATTGGTCTTACCGCATTGGCATTCATAGTCAGAGACGGCACAGCTAGCCTGAGTGACAGCAGCAGACTCGATACACGGCTTGGCACAGTCGTAGACAGCATCAGCGCTGGCCTGGCAGGGAGAGACGGAATCGCAGCCTCCAGTCGTGTTGGGAGGAGCCGTAGTCGTCGGGGGTTCTGTCGTTGGAGGAGCTGTCGTTGTGGGAGGCTCAGTAGTTGTGGGAGGCTCAGTAGTTGTGGGAGGCTCAGTAGGAGGCTGGTAAGGAGGGCTTGTCGAGGATGTTGTAGGAGGCTCAGTAGTTGGAGGCTCAGTAGTTGTGGGAGGCTGGTAAGGAGTTGTTGTTGAGGATGATGTGCTTGTTGATGAGCAAGCACTTGTCGGGTTGGCCGTGACACACGTACAGAGAGCTCCGACTTGGCTCAGAACATCAATGGCTATATGCTGTTAGTTAATGAAGTAAACAATCTGGGTCTATTGGGCTGTTACGAACCTCCACCGAATCCACACGCGCCTATGATACAGTTTGCAGCTGCGCCTTGAATAACGCCTGACTGGTCACATTGGCATTTGTAGTCTGCCGTAGCACAGGCTGCCTGAGTGACAGCGGCAGACTGGATACAGGATGTTGCACAGCTGGAAACAGCATCGGCACTGGCCTGGCAAGGGCTAGAGCTATCGCAATGCGTGCCCGCAACGATGTGAGCAAGAGCCAAAAGGCCCACGGCTCCGACGGTTTGTCTCATTGTCGAGTGATGAGGACGAGTTGAGTCCAAGACAAAGCCTGAAGAACCACTGTGGGGGAGAAGAAGGGGGCTGCCGGATCGCCAGATATATACGAGTAACTCATTCCGCGCGATTCACACAAAATATCCGGGGGAGCTGAAAGGATTCTCCTTGTTGACTCGCGTGTGGCCCATGTTGTTCGCCGGCCCAGTGCCCAATGCCACCTCTCCTTGCATGGCTGGCTTGTCCCCCAATGGCATCTCACGATCTGAACAGAGCAACAGTAGCAGCCTCGTATTTAATTTTAAAAAACCTGCAGCCGGTGCAGCTTTTCATGCACGATGATCAGCTAAAGCCAACAAAAGATGGGTTGCGCTTGTGAATTATTGGCCCACATACACGGCGATGGTCCGAATACAGCATCGAGCAAGACGGTGAGGTGGAGCCTGCCGATGAAAGGGGGGCCATTGGGAAGAGAATCCTTGCCTTTCACGAGTTTCTATGATGAGATGGCTCTCGCTCTTCATGTTGGTTCGCTGCCCTCGACTTTCGATCAATGCGGGGGAGAAGCAGCCGATGGCCCGAGGAGATCCAGACTCTCTAGCTGGGCGTCAATTGGGCTCACACTGACCAAGCATCTCGTATACGAACAGTCCTACATGTTTCAGTGATGATGATCATGATGAGCTGAACTAAGCTAAACTACATGTTTGTACTAAGGGGCAACCAACCGGTTCAAGTTTGCCGGTCGTGCTGTCATGAGCTTCCCGTAGCGCAGCGAGAAACGAATTATTGGCTTGGCCCAAGGGAGAGGCACTGGCCCAAGTGGCTTAAATCCTGACCGCGCTTCGGGAAAAATCTCTTCGACAAAGCTCGTATCCACAGCGGCAGCCCGTGAGGCCCATTTGAGCGGATGCTGAGCCCAATTTGCGCTCCCCTAGCGTCTGATCCGTTCCGTTCAGCTGGCAATTGGTCACCGCGTTGTCCTGAGCATGGCTCTGCCGTCACTATTGAGTCAGGGAAATGGAACCTGAGCCCAAGATCTGTCAATGCTATAAAGCTCTCCATATAAAGATGGGCCGATCACTCGTGTTGATCAATCATAAGAATTTCCACTAGTATTCCGCCCTCAAGTATGTATAAACGCCAACGCGGATGGAGCCGAGAAAGACATACGAAGCCACCCTCGCCGGGAAACCCATCTTCAGCCACAACAACTCCCCAACACGACTGCTGGAATCAGATGTCAGATCGAATCATCAGATTTCCCTCCTCTGAGCCTCGGCGAGTAAGCTCTGCCTCCAGGAACAGCGACGCCACTCGCCAAAAGTCCGCCAGCCTCTCTGATCAGGGCCATCTGCATATTCGCTGCTAGGCCTGGAATAGGAAGCCCAGCGGCGCGTTTAACGTAGCGTTACATCCGGGAACATGGATTCGGACTAGCCGCATCAACTGCAGCGCGGGGAATCCATGCTCTCGATTTAAGCCAGTGAATCAGTCTCACGCACAGCAGTATTGAGTGCGTAATAGCATCACGCTTGAAGAGGAGAAGAAGCCGAGCAACATGTGATGACGCGACGGTAAATTAGCAGAATGCGGAGTGACGATGCCATGTTGGCCGCCAGTTCGAAAGGATGCTGGTGCCTGGCTTGTTGTGATTTCCGGTTCGTATTCCCGTTTGAGTAGCGGCCGGACAGCGTCGTTGGACGAAGTGCTAGCCATTTCCATCATAACAAGGGAGTGACCTGCTTGCTCGGGAGAACCGACACCGATTTCTTGTCCTGTCATCGCTACAGCCGTAGCACAAAGCTAGACCAAGCCAGCTGTTGCTTCGGCGGTGTTCTCAGCGTTGGGGGTCAAGTGAAGATGTTGTGTACGTGTGTCACTCACCCAACACGCCGCTGGGCCACACGAATTATATGCACTCGTAGCATACTCGTACTGTAACTTCTGAGTCAACATCGCCAAGGATGCCCAGGTCATGGCTTTGGAATGGTGGAACCTTGGCGGTGTAGAAGCAAGAAAGGCGCCTGTCGGAGGATTTCTTCCTTGGCGATGTGAGCGATGAGCCGATTTGATAAGCCAAGCCGGAAGTGTTGCCAGAATACGGAGTTTTGTGCACCGCAAGCAAAGCTACCCAATACGACACACTCTGGGCAAGTAGATGGCAAGCCAGTAGAAATTTCAAGTTTAAGCTTAACAACTTGAATTCAAGGAAATAAGAGTGATCTACTCCGTACGGAGGACTCCGAATACTACTTTACATGTAAAAAATACGATGCATCACCGCCGATCTCCCGCTGCTCAGCCACGACTCTTTGACCTGATCTACGCCCCACATCTCGTACGAATGTCACATTTATCTCATGATCCATGTTGCCACGATGTGCGAGAGCGAGATCCGGCAGTGGTTCCAGTTGCATGGATGAGATCTCAATAGAAGAAGAGGAAGATAAGACCAAGTTTACAAGGTCTAAATCCCTTGTCATAAAAGTTGGCAGCAATGGGGCTTGCCCGTACAACGAGATGCGCCATGGGAAGTATTTCTTATACCTCGGTCGTCCATGTAACTGGATAGGAGCGATTGACTGGAACCATTTGTTCAGACCGAATTACAAGATATCGGCAATGAATACTCGGGATAATTAATTTCTCCCTTGTACCTGATAGTAGACGGGTATCTTGGATTCGAACCCACATACCTGGTACCACCTCTGTGCATGAGTTAGTTTGTACTTGAAGCTATCGCCATACTTGACGCCAGCCGTTTCGACTTGCTCATCATATAATATTTAGTTTCGTGGACAAAGTATGCTTATATCACTTTGTAAGTGTCTACTGTAGGCAAAGAACTGCAAATTTCTCCACGCCGACAAAACGTACGCAATTATCCGACGCTACAGGGTACATAGACTTACACGAGGCATATTGAACATATAGAACAGGCGATTTTTATTTGCACACCTTCGCCTGCTGCATTTTCCCATGGTTTGTCTGTTAGTGGCTGCTGTCTTTGTTTTTACTTTCTATATTTACTCTGTTGGTGATGACACTGTCTTTCTTTAGATTAATGGGAAAGTGAGGGATCTACGCATCGCCGTTATTGAGCAACGGCAACATCCTGCCAGTAATGGACACTCATTCTTATTAGAACTCGGCAGCGTGGAGTTGGAAACACTCCTGTTGTCAGATATATTCCACTGAATGAACCGAAAAGGAAGATTAGCAAAGCTGTCTGCGCAAACTTACAAGCAAAAGGTTACAAAATGCCAGGGCCTACTCAAGAAAGAATGAATCATCCTGAGAGCAGTATCTATCTCCCTTTATTTAGTACAGCCCTTTGAGCAACAGTCTGCCAGCGATCTTATTAAAAGGCATTGTGATTATACAGGTGTTGATCTTTGAAATATCTACACCATCTAAGTTAAAGTTACAGTTAAAGTTGAAGTTAAAGTTAACAGTCGCAGCACAAGCCGCAATCCAAACCAGAGTGAGCCCAGAAGAAAACGCCGAAGCCGCTCCCTAAGAGCCATAAAAGCTTTCAGACCACCAGGTCTATCGCCCTTGCGTGGAATTGTCAACATGAGCGACGCCAACGCTCCGCCATGGCATTTGATCTCGCTCCGGTCCAAGGATGACGGTGGCCAAGAAGTCATGAGCCCGACAGGAGCTAGACTCGTGGAAACGACAGCAAGCGGAGGTCAAAAAAGGCGACAGCACAAAGCGAATAAATGCATACGTTCAGCGATATAAGCACTCACATAGCTTATTACGTAGTGATTTATAAGAGAACGCCTAGGTATTCGGCTAGCACCTGAATTTGACTACGTAGCTATAATAGCAGTTAATATAAAAATATAAATATAGTAGCAGTTAATATAAAGATATATATATAGTAGTAGCGACTAGAGAAATAGAGATATAGTAGTAGCTACTAGAGGAATATAAATATAGTAGCAGTTACTAAAGAAATATAAATACAATAGTAGATATTTAAAGAACAGATGTAGAATTTAACGCGTGTGTGTTCGTATGTAATCTTTTCGGTCTCGGTTTTTCTGTCCTCCGCTTGGGCGGACATACCCAAAACACCCAAATATCCAGGAGTTCAGATGCCAACTCCATCACAGTCATTTATGATGGTGACCTCGTCGCCTTCGATGTAATTGCCCGATGCTGTTTCATTGGCAACGGTGTCGACAAGGCGACGAGCCGAAAGGCCAACAAAGATGGCCAGAGAGACTGGGAGAGACTGAAGGAAGAGTTGAGAGGCAAGAAGAATGCCGACGGAAAAACAATCGTAACAGCTTACTACATCGGCTTCTCTATGGATATGAGAGGACCAGCTTCATGAGGCACCAGACGCCTAAAACCCGAAAAGGCGAGACCCGGGAACCGGGAAGAGTCCACGACCAAATCCCAGAGAATAATCTCGGCGGACTGGTAATTAAAAGCGAGCCGGCATCTACCATTACCGGAAGAGCCATTATTCCTCACAATCTCATGACAGTCAAAGAAAACCTCCTGGCTGCCAAGAGACTCGTTTCTGGCGTCCCCCTTGAAGACGTCTTTAATACGCCAGAACTACTTGCCCACTATAATGGTACAATCGAGACGCTTATTCGCAACCTCGAGAATGGAAAGGCTTTGGAACCTCCAGCTCTTATCACTCCTCATGAACCGCAAGGCGTCAGAGCCGGTACATCAGTCTCAGGCCTGTTTCCAGCTGACCCAACCGCTTATCCTGGCAAACGTTTAAGCGACGTCGTTTGTCACAATCGTCTCCTACTAAAGGCCCTACAGGCTTCAGATTCTGTCTTCCCCCCATCGAGGCTCTAGAATTCCCTCCGGAGCTTCTCCGTATCCTCGATGAATTCATCAAACTATATCCCGGCGATCTTATTGATCGACGGGTGGCTCTAATCGGCTGTTTTATTTTTCAAGGCATAATGGACCACACGGAGATGCAAATGGAAAAATATTTCCAGATCAAAAAGGCAGCGAATGAGCCATACCAGGCCGTCCCTGAGCAGAGTCTTGCTGCTACAATCATCTGCACGCCTCATGTCTTACGATAGCCCGAATAGATGAGACTAGACAAGTTCCCTCATCCTTTTAAGTTTGTCTTCAAGTCCCTCAAGACCAATCCTACGGCCACGCCCGCATACTTGAATAATAATTCTCCAGTGCCTGGCACAACAGCTACATTTCTATAACATCTACTACTATATCTATATTTCTCTAGTATCCGCTACTAAAAATATTTTTCTCTAGTATCCGGTACTGAAAATATATTTCTCTAGTATCCCCTACTCAAGATATATTTCTCTAGTATCAGCTACTAAAGATATATTCTTCTAGTATCAGTTACTGAAGATATGTTCTTCTAGTATCAGTTACTGAAGATAAGTTTCTCTAGTATCTGCTACTATACCTACCCGACGATTTGATCAGAAGTATAAGTAGTACTAAACGTGTGTCACTCAGGGTACATCAAGATCTGGGAGTGAGTTTCTTTTCGATCTGGTGACTGACCCAGCTTAGACATGGCCGACGCAGAAAAGCACCCAATCATCGCGGAGAAGATCTTTGATCTCTTTGATCTCTTTGATTCAGCATGTACGCGAGGCCTGTAGGACGAAGATGAAGCGCCATCAGCTGCTATACTGGCAGTTTCTCTCCTGGCCACGCCAGGATTCGAAGAATGTGGGCTTCCACAAAGCTGGTTCGACTTCGCCGAAACATACCCCAAGGTCGCGACGACTGTGAAAGCTGGCGCAAAGGCTTTCGCAATTCCTGGAAACAAGACGATAGAAGAGGAGTTTGAGAAGGGACTACCAAGTTTTTACATCTTGAACCCAATCTACCAGAGCGGGGTGTCGGCTCAATCCCCCGGAGGAGGAAGGAGCCGGGGCCACGGGCCGGGCTACGGCGCGGCGGGTCTAAGCCCGGCAGAATCTGCGCCCGAAGGTGGCCAGCGAGTTCATTATCGCCTGAGGCGACGGCTGCGAGGATCTTTAATCGTAGAGACATCTCTGCGGGCGTGGGCGTGGGCGTTGGGGGGCGGGGGCAAGGAGAACCCAAGTATCAGTTTTCAGCCCTCTCGCAGTGATAAGAAAGACCAATCAAGGATTGCCAGTATCACTGAGCTTACTTTTGTTCTCATATCGACTCTCGAAGAAAACAGAAGCAAGTTATACAGTTTCAGTCGTGATTTATAGATTGGCCAAACTGTATGCATGGTTCTTTCGCTTTCTAGTTTGTAAACCATGTGCATAGCTGTCATAGCAGATAGTAGAGCAGTATAGCTACAGTAACTGATAGTAGAGCAATATAGCTATGGTAGCCGACACTGGAGAAATATAGCTGGAGTAGCAGATCCTGGAAGAAAGTAGCGATGCGAGAAGAAAGTACTCAGTATTAACAGTAGCAGATACTTGGGGAACCTGGTATCTACTGGCTAAGTGAGTACATGTAGTAAGTAAATAAATGACCGCCATTCTTTTTGCATCCTATTCCGTTGGTTGAACTCTACGCGGCGCTAGACACCTCGTGCCTCTAATCCGGTTGCTGCCATTGTCTCTGTTGGTTCCGTTCATTGAAATCATGGAGAGTTTGCTAGTTCCCGTAGCCACCATGTCTTACTACTTCAGTCTCATATTCTACAAAATTCTGCGTAGGAGGGAGCTCGATGAGTTGTTTGCGTGCCATGTCCAGTTGTACCAATGTGAGACATTGACATTTGCCGCCAATCTCCCTCCTCTCAGTTACGACTCCTGACCTGGTGTCCCCCACGAAAATCAGGGGGTATCTAAATCAAGACAGCCCAAGTGGATCTTGTATTTCTACGAGTCTTGTTTTTGGTGCAGGCTCAATCCATATCAGTATAAACATATTCAACGGAGCCAGCTTGTCAGCTAGAATAGATCAGCAGACTTGAACTTGAACGGTACATACCTCTATACTAATGAAATTGATCTCTTGTATGCAATTGACAGTTTTTAAGAGATCATAGAACATGCCAAACTCCTTCGACCTGACAATAGATGCGCACATTGCAAGTCTTCGACGAGGGCATGCTCAGTATAGGGTAGTCGTCTACCAGGCACAGAAGATTCACTTCACGTTTTCTTTGCACACCTTCGCCCGTTGCCTTTCTGCATGACCACCTAGAAGAGACTAATAAGAACATGACTTTGCAAAATTAGGCCAAATCTTTCTTCCTCATCTGGAGGCGAGATACCCGACATCGGCTTACGAGATATTGATTTGACATTTGATCAAACAAAACACCAGCAATGCCCCGCATGGCGTCATAACGACCGGACTGAGCAATTACTAACATTTCCGGCCCCTCAGAACAGAAGAAACAAAAGGCTGAGTGAGGCGTCGAGGTTTCAATTTGACAAGGACATTTGTTTTCTTCCTTTCCTCTACCATTGTGACATCTTGCAACATGTCTGAGCAGACAAGCACAGGCTCACCGCAGCCGACGTTGGACCACATCGTGATCCTCGTCTCAGCCAGCGATTTGGAACAACTTCCCGACCGCCTCAAGGACTCCTTCGTTGTCAGCCCTGGAGGAACTCATGCTGGAGGCCAAACTTTCAACAAGCTGATACTCTTCGAAGATGGCGTTTACATAGAACTCATCGCGTTCGCCGAGGGCATCAGTCCCGAAGAGCGGGCAAAGCACCGATGGGGCCGTCAGCGGGAGAACACCATTGTGGACTGGGCATACACCTTGCCTCACGAGAGCGACTTTGGCGCCGTACAGCAGAGAGTCAGAGACGCAAAGGCGGGATTGACATACAAGGACCCCGTTCCCGGAGGCCGGACGAGACCAGACGGGGTTGTCTTGAAGTGGGCGATTGGAGCCCCTCAGGATGAGAATGGTGATGAACCGGAGCCTGGCATTTTGCCCTTTTGGTGTCTAGACAGAACACCACGAAGCAACAGGGTGCCGTACCAAGAGGATAAGACACAGACACAGCATCCCTCTGGTGCCCGCGGAGTATCTAGGGTGCGGCTCAACGTTCCCCAGGAGCATCTCTCTGCTCTACAGAGTGTCTATGATGCTATTCACGACGTTGACAGCGCAGCGAGGGGCGAAGACGAGTGGACGTTTAGCACTCCGGATTCCTCGGCAAGGGCACGGCATACTTTGGGGGTGGCATCAGAGAGCGGGCCCAAGATCAAGCTCGCTTTTCAGGGGAGCGTGGGAAGTCCTTCGTTTTTGGAGATTTTGCCAGGCATTGTCGTCAAGTTTGAGGCTTGATGTTTGATGCTTGATGGACTTATATCTCTTGTGTCTGCTTGATACACGTACATGGGAGACACAACATGTCATTGACTGAGGTGACGGTCAATGGGCCATTCTCAATTTGCAAAGAAATCAAATATATATCTATATGTTCTAACGAAATCAATCAACGCGTGTAATAGTGTTTTCTAGAGTGCTTGTTACTCCGTCCAAAAAGATCAGTCGATATAGATACTGTGCGATTAACAAATACACCACACTGTACGCACATGCAGCTGTTTGCGCATCTGGTGCTATTATGGGGACTTTTCGGTACTTGGCTCGCCATATTAACCAACAGCGGGCAGCAGGTACCACTCAATTTAGAGCTGAGCGCGACGCGACAGAGCTTCCGCCTTCGTCAACATTTCTTTGTCCATCTGTGCAGCTTCACCGCAGTCACGCAGCCTCTTGTCGACCGTGATTTATTATTGGAATTGTTCAATTCTACACAGAAAAGGGCATTGACGGATTATTGAATCTCGAACCCCGTCTTTTCCAGCGCAATCGCATTCACGATGCCTTCCGACGAGGTCGACAAAGCGCCCGAAGACGCAAGCACGCAAAACGACGTCGAAATGGACGAGCCTGAACACTCACAACAGCCCGCAGAGTCGGAAAAGCCCGACGAGAGCAGCGAACGTGCTCCTCTAGCAGACATGGAGGCCTCGGAAGAGCAAGACGCCGATGCGGATCCGGTGCAGGAGCGCAAGACATTCGCCAGCAGCTTAATGAGCCCGGTTGTGACTCTGCTGGTTGGCAAAGAAGAACCCACGCTGCTCACGGCGCATCAGGAATTCCTCGTTGGCAGCCCGTACTTTGAAGACATCTGCAACAAGTTTGCCGAGGATGGTAGCGTATGGGCTTTCTTTCCACCGCCATGAGAGTCACGAGAGTAACCTAATAGCTTTATCATTCTTCAGCCTCGCCACATTGAGCTCCCCGACGAAGACATTGATGCCGTCGGCTGCTTCCTCGAGTTCCTCTACACAGGCGAATACTTCCCTCGCAAGCTGTTGGGCCAGAGAACCCTCGAACACGACCCCAGCATCCCGGCCGTCGATGATTCGGGCGTCCAGCTCCTCAAACATGCAAAGATCTATACCTTAGCCCAGAAATGGGGTGTCACTTCACTCCAGTCACTGTCGGCATCCAAGATCCACTGCATCAACTCAACAGTCAAGGGCGAGATTGCATACGCGCGCTACGTTTATGCCAACACCGCCCTGGACGACACAACCATTCGTGCACCCGTGGCCAGCTTCTGGGCTGCCAGGTCACATACATTGCGGTCCGAGGCCGAGGACGAGTTCAAGGCCTTGTGTCTGGAGTTTCCACAGTTTGGTTTCGATATTCTCAGTATGTCTTTTCCGCCACCATTCTCATTCCTCCGGTCAGTGAAGCTAATCTATTGTAGCCCGTGTTTTGGACGACAAGCTCAAGAGGGAGCGCAACGAAAAGATGCACCCTTCCTCCGGCAGCGTCCGCAAGCGCCCCCGACACGGCAGCGGCGGTGCTGCGTAAAAAGGCGAGATGCTCCCTGTACAACATGGTTTGCTTTTTGGCTTGACTCGGACTCCAACGTGCTCAATGTATTGAAGCCCTGGCTATATATGATGAGATGGATTTGGCGTCCAATGCTGGATGCTATAGTATGGTGCAATAGGCGTAATAGGCGTTAAGTTGGGTAGAACTGAGCGCAGGTCGGCGCATCCATATAATGAGGGAGGGACAGCACACGCGCGTTGCTGTTTCTCCATTTTGCCATTTTCATAATCAAAATGGTCTCTCCAAGTCGACATTTGCAATCCGGCGGTGACTGGGTCAAGAAGGGGAACTGACTCTTTGAAACCTTGTCAACATCCAGTGTCTTCCATTCCGCCTCCGTACTATCTAATCTATATGTGACAGAAATTTGAAACAAAACTGCTAGCGCAATCGTGTCATTGGAATGATTACTGAATTAGGCAACCAGACATCTCTACTCCGTATTAGTAGTTCCTTGGGAGTCACATCAGTGTAACGTTCCAGAGACGACTCTTGGAGAATGTATGCCTCCTTGTGGCTGGCTGACTAGACATAGTTGATTCAGTATAGCACTGATGGGCCGGGCATATCGTGCCCTTTATACGAAATAATACCTCCGCCATCTGAAGGGGTTTGCTCGGAATCACGATCCCGGTCGTTACAAGCCGCCTTTGCAGGGGCCGCAAGGAGCAGCCCTCAAGGAGTCGGGGTCATAATACCAGAAGCTGCTCGGGAGGTGGAGGAAAAACACCGACGGTCTGCCACTATAATTTATGTGTGATTGGCGACGCTGTTTTCTTTCCACCTCTTGCACTTCATTTCCTGGTATCGGAGATTGTTCCGAGAACAGAAGGGAGCACAGGTCGGAGTTTTTCTTCTAACGGTGGTGAGACATTGTCTTAGGCTCCCGGACGTCTTCCTCCGTCTCCCAGTGCTTTCTTCCCTTTTTCACCATAACGGACTTTTATTTCGCATTAGGCAATATAAGTAAACTCATGGGACTAGAAGCCCACAGAGCAATCTCTTTATACTCGCGGATAGTTACTCGTATGCAATCATGGTTTATAGGGACAAGTAGGTCACAGCATCTTCTATCCATATTGCATCTTCTCTAAACGCCAAACAGAGGTCAAGGTACAGCTGGAGCTCTGTCTGAGTTATCATGTCACACATACCGTAGGCTATGTGTACTGACTGTAGCAAGCATGCTGAATTGGAGAGAATGTAGGCTACTCTGAACTAATTACTGGATCGGTGCCCATTGTTGTAATCATTACCCATTGTTGTAAACGCATACAAGATCTCAAAATCGATGACCTTTAATTGTCAACTGAAGACATTGCCTTCTGTACCTTCTTAAATCACCGAAGTTTAATATTGGGCCCTTCAACTACGTCGAGTGAACTGCAGCATTTCAAACTACTCGCCTCTCTAGCAATTACAGAAAGACGGTGTTGGCGTCGTTTACACTGCCCTTACTAAGACACTGTATGAGAGCTATGATACTAAAGATACGCAGAACTCGGCGAATAATAGATCGACAATTTTACGGTAAAGATCTTCTCATATCTGTTTTCATTTCTGTGTCTGAGCCATGTTTGGGTGATACTGGATCCACAGTTCAACTGGCCACCATGGATCTCGCCCTGGAACATGGCGACATATCTTCCGGCATGTGATCATGTTCGCCAGTTACGTTTCTGGAATGACTGTCAGGTGTTTCATCCTTAATCGTTACAATCTGAACTAAAAGGGGGATTTACTTTAGAGTATGTGGTAAAGTAGTCAGGTACGTGAGCACAGAATTTATGTCTCACGCCGATCTTATGTACTGTAAGCACGGGAGAGTACAATTGGGTTCATTCTCATGGGAATGAGGATGCAAGTTTAGGTGAGATTTCAGAAACGACTGGATATAGCAGTTCGTTTCTCTACACTGATTATGCCGCTTTAGATGGCCAGTCGTCAACAAAGTATGAGTATCAAGACTTGATATAGACTTTATTAATTATTGCAACTCTACTCGTCTGTGACTACATGTCCCCAAACCTCTTATTGTCCTGTCTGCCAAGATAAACCCGTTAATCTAGGCTTATTACGTTGGGAACCTACCCTATCATGGTTATAGGGAACGGAAGATTACATTACCTGACTGTGTACTTTCAGCCCTATACCCATAATATTGAAACTTCCCTATTTTCCGGTAACCCATTGATCCATCTAATTATAGATGAGATAGAGTATCTGGACGGTTTGAAGCCATGCGAGTTACGAATGCGTAGTTCACGAGTAATCATTTTCTACATGTACTCAGGGTAATAAAAGAAATGGCTGAAGCCAGATGGAGCAGGGCATAGCAGTCCTCAGTATAATGTCTTCAGGCCGCAATGTCAGATGTACGCTGCAAGTACCACTATCAAACACACTTTTACGCTGTGCAAAATGTACTCTGTTTACTTCAAAACACACAATAACAAAGAGGAATCTTGCCGTATGGAGCCTCATTTAGAGACATCTACCAAAAACATTCAGACTCAAATTGAACTCAAAATGATCGCTTTCTTGTTCGGCCTTACCCCTGGACTAAACCGATCGGATCTTATCTGGATTCCTTTGCATCGGATGACTGGGAGATCGTGAAAACGGACTTGTTCCAAGATTCCACAGGCCGTTGCAATCGTTTGTTTCATATGAACCCGTAGAAGTTGAGAGAATGCGGCTAGCAAGCAGATTCTGGGATATAATTTTACTTACCATCGTTGACGGGCGCGTCTGAGCGGCCCAGCATTCCTCAATACCGCCGCACACGGCTCGTCCCTTCGGTAAACCGTTTTGGCCGATGAAACGCTCATACAATTCAGGCATTTTTTCATTCCATGCTGACACTGGTCAAAAACGCATGTAAACACGATGTCGTGATGGCTGTTCAACGGTTTTATAAATATCACCGTTTAATCCTGTGATGTCCGGATCTTGGTTCAATCAATGTAATCAACTACCTGGATAAGAACCTACTCGACTGGTTTATTTCGACATGGCCGTTATCAGCAAGCTCCTGCCGGTGGCAGCCGCCTTGTTGGGCTCCGTGAATCACACGGCCGCTATGGCTGTGCGTTCATCTGCGGACAGATGGGACGTATCCTATCGTGTCCAGATTGGCACTCGGCTTGCTCCAGTGTAAGATAACATGACCCAAGAATCCAACGGTGTGTGTTCTCAGTCTAACAGATTTGGTAGCTCGGGATTGGCTAGCAATGTTACTGCCACACATGTACACAAGCGAGAGGAGGATCATGGCCCTGACTGTGATTGCGAACTCCACGTTGTATATGTGACCCCAGATAGTGACCAGGGGCGCTACCAGGGCGGCGAAGGATCTTCGGACCCGTCTGGCAAATGGGAGAACGCTGAGAACCGGAATGGCGAACACCGGGAGGAAGGGAAACACTGGGAGAATGGCGACAACCGGAAGAATGGTGAATATCGCCAGGACGGTGAATACCAACAGGACAGTGAGGGCGAACACTACCAACAAGATGGTGAATACCAACAGGGCAGTGAGGGTGAACAATACCAACAGGATGGTGAATACCAACAGGGCAGTGAGGGTGGACAATACCAACAGGACGGTGAATACCAAGAGGATGGTCAACTCCGTGAGGGTAACCGCTACCAGCAGGGTGGTGATTACCAAGAGGATGGTCAATCCCGTGGGGGTAACCGATACCAACAGGGTGGTGAATACCAAGAGGATGGTCAACTCCGTGATGGTGATCGATACCAACAAGATGGTGAATACCAACAGGACGGTGATTACCAACAAGATGGCGAATACCAGCAAGATGGTGAATACCAACAGGATGGTGAGGGTGAACAATACCAACAAGATGGTCAATACGAAGAGGATGGTCAACTCCGTGATGGTGATCGATACCAACAGGATGGCGAATACCAACAGGATGGTCAACTCCGCGACGGTGGTCGGTACCGACAGGATGGTGAACATCAAGAATATGGTCAACTCCCTGAGGGTGGTCGATACCAGCAGGATGGCAAATCCCGTGAGAGTGGTGAATACCGGGATGGTGAATACCAAGAGGATGGTCAATTCCGCGGTGGATACCAAGAGGATGGTGAATCCCTTGAGGGTGGTGAATACCAAGAAGATGGTGAATATCTAGAAGACGGTAAATCCCTTGCGAGCAGTCAAAACCGCGAGAGCGGTCAACACCGGGCGCATGGTCAACACGGTCAGAATGGTCAACATGGTCAGAGTGGTCAAGACGGTCAGAGTGGTCAAGACTGGGCGAATGGTAACCTCAGTGAGAATGGACAACTCCTCAATGAGGATGGAGAACTCAGTGAGGATGAACTTCTCAGGCTTCTTAATGATGGAGAACTCAGTGAGGGTGAACTTATCAGGCTTCTCAATGATGGAGAACTCAGTGAGGATGAACTTCTCAGGGTTCTCAATAGAGCTGGACTTCTCGATGAGAATGGACAACTCATTGTAAATTCAGAGGGCGCAGACCTACTCGAGAAATGGCCATGGGGGCAGACGACCCCTAATCAAAATGCGCAAGGCCCTCAAGGCCCTCAAGGCCCCGAAGGTCCTCAAGGCCCCCGAGGCAGCCAAGGTGTCAAAGGTGATACTGGCTCTCAGGGTCCTAAGGGAGACCAAGGAGCTCAGGGTGCCCAAGGTGTTAAGGGAGATCAGGGTGACCAAGGTGTCCAAGGTAACACTGGCGCTCAGGGTCCTCAGGGTCTTCAAGGTTTTCAAGGTCCTATCGGTCCTATCGGTCCTCAGGGTTTTCAAGGAAACCCGGGCCCCCAAGGTCTTCAAGGTGATCCAGGTGCTCAGGGTGATGTTGGTCCTCAGGGTGATCCAGGCCCTCAGGGTGATGTAGGTCCTATTGGTCCCCTCGGTCCTCAGGGTGACCCAGGTGCTACCGGTCCTCAGGGTGATGTAGGTCCTA